ATAGAAATTTCCTCGCATTTTTGATGGAGAGACAAATTCCATGACAACAGTAGGGTCACATTCTAAGAGGAGAGAAGCTTTAGCGTGAAATTTTACGTTTCTACTTTTGAAGGCTAACAGAAAGTGGAGACATTCAGAGTACACTTTTTAGAGCTAAGATATCAATGTTCTCTCGAAAATAAAATTTTGGAATGTACCCCAAGCCAAACATCTACTACGACTAGCTAATATTAACATACTGCATTATCACAACTTATTTTTCAGCACTTTAAATTTTTTGATTCGTAGAATAAATGTTCATAAATGAGAAACATATGTAATTAATGATGCAATGATCCAATTTATTATCATCACATAATTATATAAATAATAAAGATTAAACATGATGAACATATTTATACATATACTCGACTCTGTACTTTGTAGGGGCTCATCTGTCTTATAATTTCCTAATAACTCATAATGTTTTTATCAATTCATCAACTTTCTAGCATAAAATAATATTCGCATGTTAGTTCTACGATTCTGAGGAATGCTGACAATGTACATTTATTAAAACATATGAAGCAAAATTTGTAAAAGATGCATTTTTCAGTCAAGTCCAAAATAAAAGTATGTACTACTCGTAAACTGACGTTTTGTATGACTGCGTTATCCAGTATAACAGCAGCATCGATTTTGATGTTTTGTTATAAATAATTCTATGTCACTTTTAAACACGAAAAGGTAAACGTGCAGAGTGAATTCCAGTTACATGAATTTAGAACGAAACACAACGATAATTACCTAAAGTGCATATCAGTTACGCATTTTATAGCCAATAATTATTAGAGTTAGGGCATTCGGTCTACACAAAATGCGAAACATTTTATCGCAGATAAAAAGATATCAGTTAGTATTATCAAAATTTGATTCCTGACATCTATCTGTTTTTATCAAAGTTTTGTTAGCAATTATATCACACACCTTATACAGTGCTGGCCAAAGTCGTGTTTCCTTTTAGACAAAGGGATAAAGAGAGAGATAGACGTGCAACACTATGCAACAGGAAACATGCATGTTAGAAAGACTGTGCACTGAGTGTGCGTTTTAATTGTCGTAACTACGTTGTCTGGCAACGGCAATGGAGAAGGGTTGCCAGACATACGAGAAATCTCGTACATGTACGAAATTATAAGTTTCTATACGAGATTAATACAAATCTTGTAAGTTTTGTGCGAGATTTTGAGAATGATGGAAAAGTTCAATAGTGCATACAAACATGACCATCGATAGTAAATCGATGTTTCAGAAACATCGAGATATCGTCTGCGTCCCTCCCAATACTTACTTATTAGCTTTTTCAGTTGGTGCAATTGGTCAATAGTTCATCTGTCAAATATAACCACCTCAAGGACTCCCAACGTGATGCCAGCGATGCTATTCTTTAATACTTTACACTGATTTTGACAAAACGATATCCATACGGACTAATCATTGCCTTTCTCTAGCTGCAATAATACACCATCATTTAAGTAAATTTTGATCTTACTGCATCATATCAACTCTAAATACTCCCATTTTATACTACAAAATAGCAGACAGTGCGTTGACATTTCGTAACCTGATTATCATATATGACAGACCAACACCACCTTTGACCAACCAAAGCAACTGAAAATACTTTAATTGGGTAATTATTCTATAGTCATGTTTATAACTTATTCTTTATTTTTATTTTGCAATAAATATAAATGACATACACCAAAATGTTTTGGTACATTATATTACACCTCCTCCCTCAATCCGCTCTTCAATTACTTCCAATTCCAATTTGTTCTGTGTCAAAGACAGCAATCAACGCCAAACCCCCCCCCCCCCCCTTGGCATAGACTTCTCCCGGACTCAAGTTGACGCCACTGTGTACCAGATTATCTGCTGAATGTACGAGAAATTTGACATCTCTGGTACGAGAAAGAGATCTTAGCGCCTGGCAACCCTGGTGTAGAGCGTGGTTGTCACTCCTCCCACATTGTCGTTGCCAGACAACGTGGTGACGAAGCTTATATGGCGCACTCTTTCTAACACGCTTCGCTCTCTTTCTCTCTCTCTCTCTGGAACACACGGAAATCTAAAAGGGAAAACGTCTTTAGCCAGCACCGTATAAGTGAAATGGGTGTTTGGGACCCGCGAAGCTTCTGACGTCATATCTAGAACCTACGCAATAGATTTATCTACCTAACAGGAAACGAATTTCTGTTCAGATTACAGATATGCTATTTTTTTTTTTAAGAAAAGATACAAAACAGGGAGAAGGAGGTACTTATAATGCAACTCGCTGAATTTGTAATAGCATATTTTATGGACTTGATAACTTAAACTGATTTATTTTTTAATGTTTCTACCAAAATGTACAGCAAAAAACCTAAGTGAATACTAGAGTTTACAATAAAAAGCTTTTCAAAAAAGCCGTCAAGTGGATCTCCTCTACTTGACAACCACTTCCCACGCCTTCGAAACAACTTCTAATACAATTTTCTAAGTAGTGCAATGACGTCAAAAAGAACGTAGGTTTTGTCAGAACCAGTGATGCGCTATTTCGGCATTTCATGAAAAAAAATGTCCTCACATTACACCAATTAGTGTACCCATACACGGGAGCCTCATTTCTTTGGAGCTCTTCTCGGGTGTTAAACTATTGTCGACAATGTTTGATCAATGATTATATACTAAGTGACATATAAATCCGAACACCCAGTTTAAATGGTTTTATTTTAATAAAAGTTGATGAATGTATTTATCTTACTGTAAATAACAAGTGAAAAAATTTTCAGCCTTATCAGTTGGACATTCCGGTTTTTATACTGCTTTTTTTAATTCACTAACGCTCTGAAAATGAATATTTCAGCCGCAGTAAAGAATCAACGTTGGCGGGTTTTGGTTCTTGACATCCTTTACGATCGGTTACGATGCCTGGAGTACGGAGACCTGTACGATTTCGTCAACTTAGTGAGTTTGATAGGGGCCGTATAGTGGGACTTCAGGAAGCTGGACTTTCTTTTCGGGCAATTGCAGTTAGAGTGCAAAGAAGTGTAGACACTGTGGTTAGGTGTTGACAGGCATGGCTTCGAGAATGCCGTACGCAAAGAGCAAGGGGCACTGGACGCCGCCGTAGAACAACAGACCGTGAAGATCGCCGCCTAAAATTATTGGCCTTAAGTGACCGTTTCTCCACTACCAGGTCCATTGCAAATGAATGGTTTGCAGAACACGGAAGACCTATTGGCATGAGAAGTGTTTACCGACGAATGAGAAGTTTTGGCTTGTTTTCATACCGGCCACACTGGGTCCTCCCTTTAACTCGAGAACACCGACGTAATCGCCTTGAGTGGTGCAGACAACGGTTACTCTGGGATCAGGAATGGAACAGTATTGTCTTTAGTGACGAGCCTCGATTTTGTTTAGGCATGCACGATGATCGTGCCAGGGTTAGAAGGCGACGTGGTGAAAGGAGGAATCCACAGTTTTTTGTAGAAAGACATGTTCATCACACTGTTGGAGTTATGGTTTGGGGTGCTATAGCTTATGGTTCCAGGTCACCTTTAATCTTCATCAGAGGTAACATGAACGCGCAGCGTTATATCCACGGAGTTCTAGAACCCGATCTTTTACCCTATCTTGATACCCTGGCAGATCCAACTTTCCAACAAGATAATGCCCGACCACATGTTGCAAGAGTCACAATAGACTTCTTTCAACATAATGATGTCACATTGTTACCATGGCCACCAAGATCTCCCGACTTATCCCCAATTGAGCACGTGTGGGATATGATGGGTAGGAGATTGCTCAATTTGCAACGTCCTCCTCAGACTCCAGAAGCACTTCGAGAGGAGTTGGTGGTTGCCTGGAATGAGATACCACAGGAGGACATTGACCACCTGATCAGAGTCATGCCTAGGCGCGTTGGAGAATGCGTAGCACATCAGGGTGCATCCACACATTATTAAAGGTCAAAGGGCATTAAAGCAGTGCAATCATTTTGAAATTTTTATCATTTACTTATTATGCTTCATTAAGTACTTATACAAAATTTTGTTAAAATAAAACCATTTAAACTGGGTGGTCGGATTTATATGTCACTTAGTATAATAGCTCTTGAAAAATATTTATATAATATTACCTCACGAAATCAAATATCATTGAATTACCCTCCAACCATAACGGTCACACATATATGTAGATCTCTCGTCCCCTCTGTAAGTCGCCGCGCTGCTTGTCTGCTCGTATCGCGTACCAACGATGCAATATTGATAAGTGGCGCACAGCATATGCGACCTATAGGCATTACCGAGGATGGAACTGTATTGATGTACTAACATCAAAAAATTGCGATACGGTCTCACCAACCCACCCTACAACCTCCCACCCCAAAAAACAATGTTTGAGCATTTTTTGTTTTGTTTTTTGCCTGTAGTGCCGCCAACTCTGAACCCATTTTCAAAAACTACAAATCTTTTTTCATTCTTGGCATAGTAATGCCTTGTGTGAAAATTCCATCAAAATCCATGCGGCACTTTCCAGGTTATAGGCAGTCCAAGGATTAGCGGACAGACAGACCCACACACACACGGAAATAAGTGATATATATGGTATCTTATAACATCCAAAAACAACAGTACAATATGTCTGACCGGTTAAGTGGTACCACAAGGTGTAGAGTGGAACAGATATGTACATAAAACAAAATATCGTGATGAATTAAACGTTTTATTTGGTGAGACAAAGCATTATCGTAACGATTTAATCCGTATCCGTATATAAGTCAAAAAATCGTGAGGTGTCGTGGTGTTGATTTTTCCAAAAAGTATCTTTCCCCACCTTCTGAACAATATGCAGCCAGTAAATATCAATTATAATATTGTTACCTGTCTGTTCAAGCAATACTAAATACCATGATTTCCAAATAAGTATTTTCAATTATTGAAACATTAAAGTTATTTTACGAAATAGGTACTTACCCATCATCAAGCGTAAGCCTTTGTTTCTCTTCTCTGTCATTTCCCATGTTAGCAATCAATCATCAATTGTTCTAAATACCGATCAAATTACGAGTCAATGTTCACTTGATTTATCACAGCCTTCTCATTAAAATAATACGAAACACACTAATTATGGGTTGATCCTGTAATTCTGGTTTTGTTTTGTCACGGATCGTCTAATTAACTGACAAGGCAAGTTTTGCAACTAACAAAGTCGTGGTTTGAAATGCGGGAGATGAGTAAACGAGACGGCTGGTCGGAAAATTATATAACAACTACGATGTGTTAATTCTAAAGTTAATAACACCAATTAATACTGCGAAAATCACGTCGTATTATCGCATTGATAAGTATCGATCTTTGTTTTATGTCAATAATAATTGCTATGAGAAACGGGAGTGAAAAATGAGAAAATGGATCGAAAAAAATCGACAATCGAATTGTTTTAATATACGAATTGTTAAGGTGATAACGAGGCTGCTGATCGGTTTCAATGCGAGATTTAATGAAGGTCAAGACTCGCGCTAATTTTATCAGAACCGTATTTTGAAATGTAGTCCGTAAACATTCAAAGTTCCGAATCGGTGGGATCAATAGATATACTAAGTGACATATAAATCCGAACACCCAGTTTAAATGGTTTTATTTTAATAAAATTTTGTATAAGTACTTAATGAAGCATAATAAGTAAATGATAAAAATTTCAAAATGATCGCACTGCTTTAAAGCCCTTTGACCTTTAATAATGTGTGGATGCACCCTGATGTGCTACGCATTCTCCAACGCGCCTAGGCATGCTTCTGATCAGGTGGTCAATGTCCTCCTGTGGTATCTCATTCCAGGCAACCACCAACTCCTCTCGAAGTGCTTCTAGAGTCTGAGGAGGACGTTGCAAATTGAGCAATCTCCTACCCATCATATCCCACACGTGCTCAATTGGGGATAAGTCGGGAGATCTTGGTGGCCATGGTAACAATGTGACATCATTATGTTGAAAGAAGTCTATTGTGACTCTTGCAACATGTGGTCGGGCATTATCTTGTTGGAAAGTTGGATCTGCCAGGGTGTCAAGATAGGGTAAAATATGGGGTTCTAGAACTTCGTGGATATAACGCTGCGCGTTCATGTTACCTCTGATGAAGATTAAAGGTGACCTGGAACCATAAGCTATAGCACCCCAAACCATAACTCCAACAGTGTGATGAACATGTCTTTCAACTGAAAACTGAGGATTCCTCCTTTCACCACGTCGCCTTCTAACCCTGGCACGACCATCGTGCATGCCTAAGCAAAATCGAGACTCGTCACTAAAGACAATACTGTTCCATTCCTGATCCCAGAGTGACCGTTGTCTGCACCACTCAAGGCGATTACGTCGGTGTTCTCGAGTTAAAGGGAGGACCCAGTGTGGCCGGTATGAAAACAAGCCAAAACTTCTCATTTGTCGGTAAACACTTCGCATGCCAATAGGTCTTCCGTGTTCTGCAAACCATTCATTTGCAATTGACCTGGTAGTGGAGAAACGGTCCATTAAGGCCAATAATCTTAGGCGGCGATCTTCACGGTCTGTTGTTCTACGGCGGCGTCCAGTGCCTCTTGCTCTTTGCGTACGGCCTTCTCGAAGCCATGCCTGACAACACCTAACTACAGTGTCTACACTTCTTTGCACTCTAACTGCAATTGTCCGAAAAGAAAGTCCAGCTTCCCGAAGTCCCACTATACGGCCCCTATCAAACTCACTAAGTTGACGAAATCGTACAGGTCTCCGTACTCTAGGCATCGTAACCGATGGTAAAGATGTCAAGAACCAAAATCCGCCAACGTTGATTCTTTACTGCGGCTGAAATATTCATTTTTAGAGCGTTAGTGAATTAAAAAAAAGCAGTATAAAAACAGGAATGTCCAACTGATAAGGCTGAAAATTTTGTCACTTGTTTGTTTACAGTAAGATAAATACATTCACCAACTTTTATTAAAATAAAACCATTTAAACTGGGTGTTCGGATTTATATGTCACTTAGTATATTAATAAAGGTGGCAAATAGGATCGCTTATAATCCAAGTTTCCAGGGCACGCCAGGTTCAAACAACTTCTTTTCTAAAATACCAAACGTGGGGCACTGAACAAGGACGTACGCAGCTCAAAATGGAATGGGGCGTACCTTCAAAAAATGTCTTGGTAGAAGTTACACAAATCATTACATGCTTGAAATCTTTCTTTCTATTTGCATTTCATTTATATATTATCTTCCACGAAGATTTGACAACTCATATCGATATAGAAAACTACCAGGCTGCTTTTTTTAACACTGAATAAAGTGCAACAACGAACTTATTCAGATAGATTTTTTTCAAGGTCGTCCTGATTATGTTTTGCGGTGTTTACATAAATGGAAAAATTCATGCGTTATCTGACAGTAGGAAGTGCTATAATCGCATACCAAATTCTTGCTAGAAATATTTTGATTGTGGTTTTGATTTTGAGGCGAATCTAATACACAAAAACCATACTGTTGAATGCCTTAGTTCTATCAAAGTTCTATGCTTGACTTTAAAAGAAAGGAAAACTAGGTTGACCAGCATGGAACTTGATGTCCAACAAGTTCAAATTGCGTAGAGAAATCCATTATGTTCTTCATGGATTTATTTGACGTCAAATTCCTGCTTTATACCATTGAAATTTGGCGATGAACTTAATTCATGGAGAAATTCATGGATTTATTGTCAATGTAAAACCGTATTAAGGAGATAAGAAACTGGAAGAAAAGCAGGGAGGCCATGGCCAAAAAAGGTGTCCTTCACTGTAAAAGCGCAAATAGTAGCGTCTTGAAAATACGACCGTAAGCGTGGTTACAGTACAACGCTGGCAATAAGCGACAAAAGACGTGGCCAAAAGTATCCAAGTGGTCAAAGACAAAAGTAGCAAGCGATTAACTTGTCGGTTGGAAACAGCGGCAAACACTCTGCTTGTACACGGTGGTTATTAGACTAGCGATCACTTACGCAAGTGCGGCTTGGTGTATTCTCGCCAAAACGCATTTGCGTAGCCTGCAGGTTTTGCAGAACAGAACCTTGCGTACAATCACTAACGCCCCATGGTAGTCCTAAGGGACTACATCAAACAACAAGCGCAGCTACGTTATAGTCAAGCGGAATCGCATAACAGCCCTTTGTTGCGCGAGTCAGTAGACTACACAGTCGAGCAAGTTCGCAAGCACACAAGGCCGCAACTCGCACTGTGAACAAAATTAAATCGTGCGACTCTTGGTCCAACCAATATTATAATTCTTCTTCAACAACCAGTCCCAAAATTGGCACCCCACTTTTTTTCTTTGCTCTCCCTCCTTCCTTCCTTTCTTCTTCCCTTCTTTCTTCCTGACTTTGTTTAGTATCTGGGCAACCAGACCTGACAGACCTACTGACTTACAAGACTTCAGCCAAGAGCGAAGGTCCTAGGGACCACTCTGACAGACAATGACGAATAGAACACTCAGCTTGTATGCATGGAAAATGTGAACTCCTATTGGTTGCCTAGTTACGACATTTAATAAAAGATTTTTTAACCGCATGTATGTTCCATTAGGCGATCAAGAAATACTTCCCTGTGTATTCTGTATTTCGTAAATGAGGCTCAAATATAAATCAATCTGCTCAATCCTATTCTTTAGTACTTAGTCCATCCCTGTGCCCTTGTCAAAGCAAGGTTATGTCCAATGTGAATGTCATTCAATTTTAAATTTTTGTTTTAAAACGTATGTAATAAACCCAAGAAATCCAGTGAATCAACAATTACGTGATGCAATTTCCCTTCATCGTATATATACATCATGATAGAATTTCATTCACAAAAAAAATGATCTTCCAATTTCAAACTATTGAATGAAAAACCTACCTTTTTCTCAGGCGTTCGAGCAGTAGCCTAGTTCTTGTAATTTGTGACTGAAGAAATCATAACATAAAGCAGAAAGTATTGAAAATTCCCCACAGTCAACCTTTTTCATTCAAACACATTTTCTTTATTTTGATTTTCTGCGCTCCAGTTACAGTGGCAATCAAAATGTTGCAAAAAACATATGATCCGTATAAAGATGAGTCATACCAATTAATATCGAACTTTTCATTAAAATCTCGATAAGTGACAAAACGACTATTTGATTAATCTCATCACTATTATGTAAATATAGAATTTCGTGTTCCATGTTAAATGCTGTCAAAAAATATAGAGCGCTTTTCTCATGTAATTTTTGAAGAGACGAGTGCTGCATTCCGCCATCTTCATTGATACTAATTATTAAGATTGTTATAAATACAGATGAAATAGGGCATCGTTCTCCAAAAAATTAATGATTAATAAATCAAATGCAAAAATTTAGTTGCTACTGAAACATTACCAAATATAAAGATTTTTTTTCTGCAAGAGGGCGCAGACAAATCTTCTATCTAAAGTACCAATAAACTTTATGTTCAATAATGCGAATAGGATTAGGAGTTTTTATGATATCTTCTGTTGTGGATTTCAGGAATTAAGAAGTGCTATATGCACACATCTGATTTCTTTACCCCTTCCTCTAGACGTTTTCGTTTTTTATATATTTATGCGTGAACATTACATGATATAGCTATATATTATTTTTCCCTAATATCTATTAATCATACTCCTAGTTTCTTTTCTCTCTACTTGAAGCGCCTTTCTCTTTTACGTGTTTCACTTTATGACACATCGGAAAATCGTTGGAGTGAAAATGATGTTGAGCTCTATATTTTTTGACAGCACAGCAGTTTTTTGGGAAAAACGGCGGGAAAACTCTTTAAACTTAGGTTATACAAATTTTACTTTAGAGAAATTTGAATATATTTGCTTCAATTTTTGAAATTTTCTCTGCCTAGTGAAACACTTTCATCACTTCCCTGATTTAAAATTTAAATAGGGTAAACATGGATACAACCGCAGGAAGGAGAAAAATCAGGAAAATCGAAAAAGATCCTGAAGGTGACTTTTATCCCCATGATGTAAATATGTACATTGAACCCCCAGCAACTATTGTTCAATTAGCAGAATTTGAAGAATTAGCTTTAGAAAGGCTCCAACTTCTCAGAGTAATAGAGCAGGCATCATTGAAGGGTTCTAAACCATATAGCGAAGAATGGAAAAAGACTATCAAAGAGGATTTGTCAAAAATTGGTTTGAAAAAGTATATTAGGTTGATGAGTGGATATAATGGGTAGGTATGAAAACGTACTCAACGTTTTAAAATTGTTTTTTCATTCATCATATGCATGGGCCTGATTCTAAATGAGTTTTGACCATTGAAATTGATTTTGATGGTGCCTTGTAATGATATACTTGATTCACTATGATAATTTTGACATCTGATCATATTGATCTTCTATATCCAAATTATCATGACAGTGTCAAAATTATCATAGCTAATCAAGTGTATCCTCACAAGGCGTCACCGAAATCAATTTTAACTGTAGAAACTCACTTAGAATCAGGCCCCACAATAACTTCTTAACGCACACGTGCACCCACCCCTTCAATGAATACCATCTCTCAGAACCTAATGGTCCAGATCATAGATTCTCAGGTGTTTTTCAAAATTTTCTTGTAGGGATCTTTAGTAGGAGAGTTTTTAGGATTTCAAATTTCATTTTAGTAAGAATTCAAGAAAATGAAACTTCATTCATGTATGTAATTTGGAGAGATGAACTCAAATATGGCCAAATTGTGAAATATGTCCTGTGCCTCCAACTAACATCAGATTCGCCAATCTAGGCATATGATTGACTTGGAAACAATTTTTCATCTAGATCACAGATCTATGTAGGGACTATTCAAACTTTTCTTCAATATTCTCCTCTTCTATACACATTTTTTTATATATATTTTTTCCTATTTTGAAAATTGACTATTTTCCAAATTACAGGACTAATGACCAAGATAATCAAGCAAGACGAGCTGATCATATATCACACTTCATCTTAAGACTTGCCTACTGTCGATCAGAGGATCTGAGGAGATGGTTTATCAGCAAAGAAATGGATTGGTTCAAAATTAAATTCCTTGCACAGACCCCTCAAGGGGTTATGGATTTTTTGAAAGTCAACAATTTAACATATAGGCCTATCTCTGAAGAGGAGAAGAGTTTGAAAAAGAATGAACTTGTCACATCCACACCAGGTTAATATTTATACATTTTTATTTTTGAAATTTATTCCCAAAATGTTTAAAACAATTATTTCAGGTGTTACAGATGTATCTGTAGATGCAACAGATTTTTACAAAGTCCCTTTTACTGATGTCTTATTATTAGTTAAAAATAGGAGGGTTCATGTAACAAAAGGATATGCTTATATTCCTACACAAGACCTTGTGGTTTGCATCCAAACAAAATTCAGGGCCAAACTCAGCGAAGCATTGAATGTGAGTAAAACTATCTAATTCTGGACAGATTCACAGACTTCAGACTTTTACAGTATTCAAGTCAGAATCTTTTTATGCTCTATACTTATATGCTTTATTGTCTGAGGAATGCAATGATTCTTAATGACAAAGCTAACTTAAAGGTTAAAATATTGTGGATCTCAAGTGAATATGGTTTATTTATTAGAATATTTTTGTGTTCTCTTCATTTCATTAGGGAGTCACATATAAATTTTCAAACCATTATAGATTATTGAATCTCTCACAAATGTTGATTTAGGTACTATTTTTTTACATTACATGGTAACCTAGATTTTTTCAAATTTAGATTTATTTTTAAAAATGTGAGTTGCTGTTTCTAAAATGAACAATGATATGATGGTAATTATTTTAAGATTTAGAAATAAAAGCCCGCATGTAACTCAGCGATTGCTTTTAGTTACATATCCAATAGATCACTTTTGGAATATAAGCACCTTTTTCGAGTAATTTTAAGAACAGTCATTCCAAAACAGAATGCTTGTTCTTATAATATATACTCAGTGACATTAGAAGTGTTAGACGTAGAAAAGATAATTTCTTCAACTTTTTTTTGTTGGCAATGCTTACATCAAGAATGAAACGATAACATTCTCACGAAATTTTATTGAGAAGTAATAAAAAAATTAATAATCTGTTGGGCGACCCTGCAGCTGAATACACTCCTGTATACGTCTAGGCATCGGCAAAATGAGATGATCGATGCCTGGTTGTGGCACCTCATTCCAAGCAACTCGAACTTCTTAGATTAGCTGTGGTAAAGTCTGTGGCAGATGGTGCAAAGTGGATAGTCTCCTCCCCATCATATCCCACACATGTTCGATGGGTTTAAATCTGGTGTACGGGGTGGCCACGGCAAAACAATAACGCCTGCTTCGTGTGGATGGCCCTCTAGATACAACAGTGAAGTGGTTTGTAGGACATCATCATCGTAACGCGCAGCAGTCATATTGCCTTGAACAAAGAGAAGAGGTGATCGGCTACCATTACTCCAACATTCCTGTGTACTCTCAACACCAAATCCAATATCACGCCGTTCTCGACCGCGGAGTCTTACCGTTCTACGACCACCGTGCGTACCCAGTCAGAATCGCGATTCGTCGCTCCAGTTCAAACGTTGACGACAGTGGTCCGCAGTCAGAGGAAGCACTAACCGTGGATGGTATGAAAAAAGTCCAAAGGCTCGAATGCGGCGATAGAGTGTGTACGCATAGTAACAGGTCTACCTTCTTCTCCAAACCACTGGTCAGCGGTCTGACACGTAGTAGCAAAACGGTCTCATAGTGCTAGTTGTCTGAAGCGTCTATCTTGACGCTCTTTGGTACGCCTCGGTGGACCAGTTGGCCTTCTTTGTGTTCCTCCCAATTTCGCGATAGAACAAACCAACATCTCGATAGGCAGTAATTCTACTCTTGTAAAAGTCGCTAACATGGTGATAATTTGGACGTCTTCAAACTCGAGGCATTTTGTTATGCTTAACACTTAGTAAATGAAAGGGCAAGCACTAAAAATATCTTTACTACTCAGCTCTCAGAAACTGCTTTCTTCACAAAAACTAAGAGATAGCATTTTAACAAAGGTAAACAAAAACAAAGATAAAGCGTTGACATTGCTGCCGCAGCATGCTTTAAATATAGTCATTATGTGGCCAAAAGAAAAAGAAGTTGAGGAAATTATTTTTCTGGGTGTAACACTTCTAATGTCACTGAATATAGAAGACCTTTGCCAATTGACTAATCAATTGCTCTACATGATTGACCAATGGTTAGTCCCAAAAATTTAATGCTATGTGTTTTATGTACTAAATTTTTAAAATTATTGAATCATGGGAGTATTTAAAACTAAAATTTTGTCTTATTTCCATTAAAATATAAGCAATTGTTTTGATTGGTTGTATATCACTGTCAATTTCTGTTTCAGTTTCATTTGTATCTATGTATTTCTTGCCAAAGTATCGTGTCATCATCAGCAAAAACTATGAATTGACCATCTATGTTTAAGTTTATTAAATCGTTAACATACACTAAAAAAAAACCAGACCCAGTACCGATCATTGAGGTACACCTGCGTTTATATTCAGTTTGCACGAAGAATGATCTCTTAATACTTTTACAAAGCAAAGTTCCAGTATATCCACTTGTTTAATTTTTTAGCCTTATATCATGAGTCACACAGTCAAAGGTTTTGGAAAACGACAAACATTGAAATTTTTACATTTTTGAAATCCAAATTGACTCTCAAAACTTTTACCTTTCTTCAGATCTACAACCACAGGCTACCATACCTAGATGACGAAAGAATCAACTCCTTGCTTTCTAACTTGCACAATATGTACACTGGAAAGTCTTATGTGATAGATGAAAATGATACTGAACATATTGATCCTGCACACTTAGATGCTTACGCAAAGAAGCAATTCCCTTTGTGTATGAGGCACTTACACGAGGTACTGAGGACTCAGCATCACTTAAAACACAAGGGACGACTTACATATGGATTGTTTTTGAAAGGAATAGGTATGAATACTAGCATTAGCATTGTAAAACAGATGGAGACTAAGTAGGGAGTATGTACTAATTATAAAGGGTTTATTTAAGTGCATGGTCAAACTTCATGTGGTGATTCTTTGTAAGAGTAATTTTAAGTTGAAAAGTTTATATAAACATAGGTCCAGAAATGCTTCACTTTCAAGATACAGGGTGTCAAACTTTTTTTAAATCGGTTATTCCTAAATACCTTGATAAACTTAAATGTAAGGGGTTAATTTAGCCCCAATTAGATTGAAATTATCAACTCCAGTGGCGTCCCAGAAAACACACTAACCAATATCCTTGTACGCCACTGACTTTTTTCAATTTTTCAATTTTTTTTACGAATTAAGCAGCTACAAAAAACTTTTTTGTCTTCAGAGTTTCTTTCATCTCGCTTCGTTTGCGAGATGGAAAAAAAGCACTTTATTGCATGTTCCTGGGAGAATAACATAACCAAACATTAAAACCACCAAACTAATTAAGCATTTAACATAGACGAAATTCATCTCTTGAATTTTTTCGCACATATTTAAACCTAATTTCGATAAAACAAAATAACATAAAACAATCGCATAACGTATAAAATTTATAAAAGCAATGTTTTAAAAGTAACAAAAAATAACAGTGCCAAATGTGACATTGACATAACTTTATTACTTAAGGCGGTGGGTAAGTAAAAATCGTCATTATTTTAAGTGTTTTTAAGAGTCTTAAGCTATAAAATTAGTAATATTGGAAAATGGTTCAATTTACAAACACAGAAATGGCCGACATGCATTTTGTTTATGGAATGACTCAAGGCAATTCTAGAACGGCTAGGCGCATTTATATTACATATCGTCATCGCATTATACCAAATAGACAAACATTCTCGTAAGAATACATGAAAAACTGTGCGAATCAGGCACCTTTCAAAGGTCGGCTGCTGTAATTGGGAAACCCGCTACTGTAAGAACGGTGGAGATTGAGGAAGCAGTTTTACAAGTACACGCAGAACAATTAAACATCTCTCACTTTACTGTATGGCAGATTTTATGGGAATATCAACTGTATCATTACCACATACAGCATGTTCAAGCGTTATTACATGACGATCTTACACAACGAGTCGTTTATTGTACTTGGCTTTTGCAACAACAGGTAGCGTTTCCAATATTTCTATCCCATATTTTATGTACTGATGAAGCGTGTTTTTCCCGAAATTCAATTATGAACTTTCACAATTATCATATCTAGACTGAAGAAACTCCCCATGCGGTTACAGAAGTTAATTGAAGACTCAAGTGGATAGAGGTGTCATGTAACAAATTCATTGTATATAGAAAATTATTTTAGTTTATTGAAATTTTAAATATTTAGTTTAATTAGTTTGTTATTATCTTGTTTAGATTGGTATTGTAGGTTATTATCTCATTAGACCTCATTTTTTACCCCGAGATTAAAAGTAAGAGGATTTATGCACGATGGGGCTCCACCTCACTTCAGCATAGTAGCTCGCCAATTGTTAGATGCAAGTATTGGAGAAAACTGGATCGGGCGCGCAGGTCCATAGTCATGACCACCCAAGTCACCGGATTTAAAGCTGTTAGAATTTTTCTTAGGGGCATTCAAAGTCCCTCGTTTACAAAATTCCAGTCCAATACCGAAGAAGAATTAACCCAACGGATACGAGATTTATGTGATCAGATAAGACACACGTTGGTATTGGGAATATTTCAACGAGATCGGCATTGAGTTTGAAGGAGGGCATTTTCAGCAACTATTAAGTCTCTTGTTATTTACTGTAAAATGTTTTCACTAAAATAAAAATTTAAGTGTAGTTTAAAAAACCTTTTTCTGGTTAGATTTGTTTTTAATTTCCATCGTTACCAATGTGCAACGCCACTGGAAAAACATTGCAACAATAAATAACGTTATGTAAATATTTTGTTTCTTTGTTTTATCGAAAGCAGATATAATCTGAGCAAAAAAATTCAAAAGACGACTTTCGTGTAACTTAATTACCAAAAACATGCAATAAAGTGCTTCTTATTTTCTGTCTCGCAAACGAATCGAGATATGAAAGAATCTCAGGAGACAAAAAAGTTGCATTTTTAGCGGTTTAATTCGAAAAAAATAGAAAAATCTAAAAGTCACGGACAATTTTTTTTTCAAATGTATTGGTTAGGGTGTTTTTCGATACCCCACTGGACTTAACAATTACAATCTAACTGGGGCAAAATTAGTCCATTAAGTTTATCAAGATATTTAGGAAAAACGATTTATAAAAAATGGACCCTGTATTTTGAAAATGAAGCAATTCTGGGCCTACTTTTATATGAACTTTTCATCTTAAAATTACTTAAAGAATCACGCTCCTGAAGTTTGGCCACGTACTTAAATAACACCCTGTATATGGGCCTGTTTGTCTGACTTGACCCATTTATTTGTTATACTCATTTGTAGCTACCTCAAAGGGACTAACTTGGGCCAAACATAATCCTCTGATAAGAATAATAATAACATTTATTGCATGACAGACTTTTTGTAATTTCATTTACAAGACAAAGAATTGAAATTGCGATAACAAAAAATACTAATTTGTTAAAATTTAAGAGAATCAACAAACATTAATATAACATGTACGAGTATATGGTTATTTAAGGTGCTGCTATAAAACCCTTTGATGAAACAAAGATATCTCAAATACTGCATATTCTGTTGAACTTCATGCACATAACTCTTACAGGAGATGTTAAAGCTAAGTTGGTATTTGCACGGGTGCAAAAAAAGAAAGTATCGTTTCTAGAACATGTCATTGGAACTAAACTTTGGAACTGGGATAACAGGTCTGAAGAATCAACAATACCATGTAAAAGTTTATATAAGAAGATGATTGAGTTGTTTTCTTCTCTCACCCAAGGGCGCAATTTGGAATCTTTCCACCAATACTTGATAGTCCGACTCAAACTGAGGATAAACTTGAATGTTGAAAACCACATACTTAATTAAGAATATGATCAATTTGATTTAAAATGAGGACTCCAAATCAACGGAACATATTCCAATTTGGAACGTATATACAAAGTATAATGTTTTTAATGCGGCCAAGTCTTTAATAAGCTTACAGTTTCTAATAATAAAAGCACTATTTATAATTCGAGTAATGTGATAATCAAAAATCCATCCTAATGCCAAATATCAGCCCTAAATCACAAACCGTTCGTGCCGACACTATATTTCTTCCAATGTTATAAAGGTAAATTACTATTTGTTGTTTTCGACAGAATACCATTTAACCACTTTTCTAGCGTTACTCATATGGAGTTTATACAATCGGCGCCAATCTTCCAACATAGATAATTGACACTAAGCATTCACAATCAGTGATGCTGTTGATTTCAACGAATAATTTCAAGTCAACGGCAAATATTAATGTGTCTCAATGAGTATTGCTACTTATATCGTTAACAAAGAGCAAAAAAGCATTGGTCCCAAGTTCGAACCCTGTGGTACCCCTAAAGATATTGTATAGCAGAAAGACTCGAAGCCATTGTATGGTGTGAATAGCTGACGACTATGTGTATTAGGACTTTGATAAAGATATTGAACTGATGACAGCATTTTTTTTCAGGTCTGTCTTACGAAGACGCAATGGATTTTTGGCGTCAAGAATTCACGAAAAAGTTGGACTCGGACAAATTCGAGAAACAATATGCCTACAATATCAAACATACATATGGCAAAGTAGGCAACATGACGAATTACTCACCTTACAGCTGCGTCAAAATCATCACAGACTCTGTGGGGCCTGGGGAACACCATGGATGTCCTTTCAAACATTGGGATGCTTCAGTGGTTAAACAGAAATTAGTGGAGCACGGGATAGGCGCAGAAGGTAAAGAAATATATTTTAAAGTATTATCAGTGCGATAGTTGGGGGTAAAATTTCTCCCCAACTACCTGTAACCCATTGTAGTAACGAAATCGGACTGTACGTGAACAGTGCTTAGATTCTATACCCAATGAAATGCTAGAAATTATGGATTTATCAGGTTCAACTATTTCAACAACATTAAAGAATTGCCTTTCAATTCTGCTGTAATGCTGCTTTTTGTTTTTCATTTAGCATGATTGCGACAATTGCATTCTTTTAAAAACTACAATAATTACATAACATACAAATATTTAGAAAAACAAAACTTAAATCTCTAAGAATTTTCACTGTTTATGAAATGTTCTTTAATTTGCAATTAGACTTTTTATTATATAGTTTATTACATTCAAGTAATATCTACTGAAATATTAATTTGCTAGTTATATTAATACTGCAATTTTGTAAATGGAAATCTATATTTCCTGTTGTATAATATTTGTGGTAGTGGTTATTCAATTTTATCTAATGTTCTAACTGTTGTGACAAAATATGATTTTTTTTATAAGAACCAAATATATGAAATTTTTTATATTCAATCACTGCAATTCTTGTAACAGATTTTATTTTGATGGACTCATAGCTTTATTTTGTAGGACTTGCAATTTTGAGTATACAGCTTCTTTGGCAGTGTACCAGATAGTTGAACAATATAGTAAATGCGTTAGAATAATTGTATTATAATCTATTTTTTTATTTTGTTATTTTTTGATAAACTCTATAAAAGTAATTTTTTGGGAATTTTTGAAATATGTATATTTATAGTGATCCTCAAACTTCAGTTTACTATCAACATATATACCCAAGTATTTAATTGATTCAACTTTTTCAATTATTTAACCATTTAACCCAACTGCAATAGTATTCTTATATAAGTATTTCCCTATTAGCATACATTTTGTTTCAGAAGTATACAATTTTAGTTTATTTACATTAAACCAATTTATTATTTTTGCCAAGTCAGAAGTCAGCATCTTTTAAAACAGTGTCTATACAGTCGGCTTCAATTCAAAATGACAATACATTGTATTTTGAAAAAGGCCACCGAGATCGCCGAAACGTTAGTAAACTTTGACATTACGTCTGTTGTTTGATTTGGCAGCCAGCAGTCGTCAAGTTTCGAAACAACGTTTTGATGCCCCCAAAGTTTCATATCAGTCATTGAACATTTCTAAAAACGTTTCTGGTGAAAATGGAAATAACATGAGAAAATATCGTTCCTTGGTAGATTTTGTTCAAATATCACAGAAAGACTTCCAAACATTTCTATAAGTTGTGACCAAACGCAAGTAAAAGTATCGTTAGGAGTAAGTAAATCTCTTTTGAACAAAGTAAGGCATAAAAAATCAACCATAATACATCTATTTAATACAGAGCGGAGTTGTCTCAACCTTCTAAAATTTCATCTCATAAACTTTCCTTTTTATACATTCTTCATTTCCATTTTTAGGTGTTACTTCTGTCATGGATTTGGTCACAAATGGGCATTACCAGATTGCTTGTACCAAATACTTTGAATATGTCCATGGTCAAGCACCTTCAACAACTATAAACCATCCTAATCAGTACTTCCAAGAAAGCATTAATTTAGCCAAAGAAAAGTCATCTAGGAAGAACTAACAGTTTTTTTTGTTTTTATTAATTTTTATATTTAATATTTTCAATGTTAATGGTTTTACTATTTATAGGATACGTAATCGTAGTTCTTTTACAAAATCGTGATATGCGTTATTTTATAATAAAAACTATTTTGAATCAACAGTATTTTTATGTCTACTAGACTAAGTGCCCCCTTCACTTAGAGGCTAGATCTGCCCTTCTGCCTTCAAAATTTAAGAAAACACCAAAAATCGAAGCTCCCGATTATAAGTACTTTTGATGTCATTTTGAGACTAAGAATTCAGAAAATAAATTCTAGTTTAAAAAACTATTTAATAGCAAATCGAACTAAAAGGTAGAAAATAATTTTCAAGTATAGAAGAGTTTGTGTTACTGCAACAGCTGGTCCAATAATCATGTATGACTACTTAATTTGGAGTAAGAAATATAAAAAAATAAGATATCAAAAAAAAATTCATGATTAATTTTGTAAATATCAAGTAAAAACTAATTATAACATTTAGCTTCCCACGCTTTTTTACTATATATATTTTTTTGTCAATATCTTAATTTTTATATTGATTTAATGAGCCATACTTGATTTTTGAGCTTTCTTTTGCAGTAAGACTCTTATAATAATAATAATAATAATAATAACCGTCTTTATTAAATAATATATACAATACATGTGTATATATATATATAAAGTGTAACTATAGTGGCGAAGTTTAGCAATATGCTACTCTAACACTTAACCACTAAAGTTAAATTTTACGTTGTTAACAGCTAACAGAAAAAAAATGCAAAATATATATATCAAATCACTTATAACCCATATGAGAAGTGGAAAATGAGATATTTTGTGTGCACATACGCTACTCTAAAAAGGTCTATGAAATATTGAGGGAAAAGTTAATCGTTCAAATAAGTCAACTCAACTCAACTCAATTGTAGCGGAAACATGGTAAACTCATGGTCTTAAATTTACTGTCCAAAGAATTATATATTGCTGCAACGTTATATGAGAAACTTCGTTGGAACAGAGATGTTGTATGCTTCGGAATTCTGTTAACGTGCCTGTCTCTAATAGCTCTATTGTGAATGGTGTTATTAAAAATAATTTTTTCACATAGGTATTCTGGCTTAGAATTAATTAAAATTTTATGGATAAATGTGGAAAAATGTAACTTGACCAACTGGTCAAACTTTAGCCATCTCAACTCTGCATATTTGTGAGAGACATGGTCGAACTTTCTCATGCCGAATATAAAGCGAACACAGCTGTATTGAATCAGTTGGATTCTGTGTTTAGTGATCTGATCCAAACAGGGAAAATATAGAATACTGCAGTAGTTCAAGACAGACACAATGAAGGTTTCGCAAAGTTTTTTCCTCATTTTGAAGTTTAGCAGATATCTGTTTGAATAAAGTCTGCGTAAACGTGCATAGGTTTTTTGTGTCAGATTTTTTACATGCTCGGTAAATCTTAATTTTGTATCAATTTCCACACCCAATATTTTTGCGCTATTGGTGAGCTCGAGCTGCTTATTGTCTATGTTCACATTTAAGAGCGGAACAACGTCGTTCCTTCTGCTGTCTGAACAAAACAATAAAATCTTAGATTTTTCCGGGTTTATGCTGAGGTTGTGATCTGCTGAATATTTGCATAGACTATCAATATCTGCTTGTAATACTTGGACAGTGCTCTGTATATCTTCTATACCGAAACAATGCGAGAGCTGGGTGTCATCAGCGAACGATTGAATATCAGAGTTGTAAACTGATCTAGATAAGTCAAATGTATATATTAAAAACAAAAGAGGTCCCAAAATGGAACCCTGAGGCACTCCTGAAGGTATGCGAGTGACATCAGATGTAATACCCTTTACTGAAACACATTGAGTCCTGTTTTTAAGATAGCTTTCAAAAAATTTTATTACAACCTCATCACAACCAACAGAACGTAGCTTAGCACATAAAAGTTTATGATCTATCTTATGGAAGGCTTTAGAGTAGTCGACTGATAATAAAGCTAAACCCATTTTTTTGTCCAGAACACGAAAGATGTTGTCGCATATGTTTATTAAAGCCGATGTTGTATTATAATGTTTTCTAAATCCCGATTGATTAGGTGGGATTATCTGATGTACTTCAATGTATGATGTAAGTTGAAGTTGTACAATCTTTTCAAGGATTTTTCACAAAATAGGTAGTAAACTGATTGGTCGAAGATCTGATAGGAGACCGGGTTTCAAAGTTTTTCCTATAGGTATTATCAGTGCTTGCTTCCAAATTTTAGGGAAGTAACCGGTTTCAAGACATGGATTGATAATGTGAACTAAGTGGAAAAATATAACGGGTAGGCTTACCTTTACCATAGTTAGCGTAAGACCATCTATTCCTTTGGCATCTGATTTAAGAGATTTAATAGTTTGTAGTGTAAAGGATCAATGATTCTGAATGAAAAAGAATCAGGTGGAAAGAATTGACGATTTTTGTATAGGTGACATAATTCTTCCGAGGCATTATTTGTACTGTAAACTGACATAAAATAGTCATTGATTTCATTTGGATCAGATAGATTATCTGGAAGAGGGGTTTTTGTCCGAGAATGTATATTAAGCTGCTTTAAGCCAATCCATACCTTTTTTTCGTCATTCTGTTCAGATAAAAATTGTAGATATGCTCTTTTCTCTTTCCTCACCCGAGTAAGCGCGTGATTTCTTTTTTGCTTATAAATATTTAGGTTTTCAACAGTTTTATTTGTTTTATATGTAGTATGGGCAATATCTCTTTCTTTAAGAACGTCACGTAGGCGGGGAGATAGCCATGGAGCAGGTGGTTTGTTTACTCTAAAAGTAGTTACAGGAGCATGTTTATCATAAACTCTCATCAGTGTATTTGTTAGGAACTCAACCTTAGCATCTATATGGTTCATAAAAAATAAGTCGTCCAAATTTGCAGAAGCTAAGTCACTTAGAAAATATTCTTCGTTGAAGCACTTGAAGTTCCTTACAGTTACAAACCGTTGTTTATTTTTCAAATCAGGAATGGAGAGAGTGCACGATACCATTTTGTGGTCAGATATGCCGTTAGAATCAAGAACCAAACAGTCTGAAATAATGTCAGGTTTATTAGTAAAAACTGGATCTAATAAGGATGCTGTGTTACTTGTCACTCTTGTAGGATCACTGACAATTTGAGAAAAACCCACCATTTGAAAGAATGGAGAAAGGACGTTGTTGCCGCTCAAAATATCAACATTCAGATCTCCTACAATAACAATGTTATCAAAATTGTTTGACATTAACGGTAACATGAGATCTAGAGCGCTGATGCAATCATTGAGGTTTTGTGAGGGTGGTCTATACAACACGCCCAAAAGCAAGAAGTATCTGTTTATTTCGGCTCTGTGCCTACGGCCTGACCGTTGAGATTACGTTCCCTATCTACAGCTCCGGAGTCAGTATGTGTGCGTCTCTAGTCCCCCTTACCTTCGTCCTCCTCCCCTTTCTGTACGCCCATGCTCCTTGGAGCGATGCGCGCGCTGGCTAGTGGCGAGCGATTCCCCGCTCGCCCTTCAGTACGCTTTTATCTATCGCACGGATAGGGTGTGTGCGTGTGCGTATGTGTAACATCGCGAGTTAAACGTTGTGTAACGTTCGAGAGAATAATAGTATAAATGCAAAGGTAAGAGACAAAAACCTTAGTTTGACAATTTAGTGTAGATGGCTACCATTTGATATAAAATTGTCACGGTCTCGGATCACTCGGTCCAGACGTGAGACTCCCTTCTAATGCATCTTGGGCAAATTCGCTAGAGCATAATATGGGCACTTGTGTGCAAGCGCACAATGCCCATTCATAGGAAAATTGAAGGGAGTCCTGCAGCCGGATCCATCTACACAATGTTTCGGCCCGACCGGCCCGTCAAGTCGGCCCGACCAGCTGCAGACTTCGGCCCGACCGGCTGCAGACTTCGGCCCGACCGGCCGCTAAATTCGGCCCGACCGGCTGCGAATTTTGGCCCGACCGGCCGCGAATTTTGGCCCGACCGGCCGCTACGTTCGGTCCGACCGGCTGCAAATTTTGGCCCGACCGGCTGCAGAATTTGGCCCGAACGGCTGCAGATTTCGGCCCGACCGGCTGCATTTTTGGCCCGACCGACTAACTAATTATAGCACATCTGCTTCCAGATGGCGATGGCAACCAATTTTGTTACTCTGGGTGAACTCTGGTCCAGCCACGTTGAAATGGAGGAAGAAGATGAAGCGATATTTTCCAGAATCAAGGTCTTAATAGAGCTCTTTAATAAGGCGGTGGAACCACTTAAACATACTATGCGTTCCAGAGAGCTGACATCGGAGGCCCTTTCAACGGACGGGGAGTCTAATTATACGTCCCGAAGTAAAAGGAGACGGTGTCAATCGTCCAGCTCAGACGACGAGTACCCGGTCAGAACCGAGAAACCAATGAAGAGGAGGCGGCGAGTATTGTCTTCGAGCTCGGAGGAGGATGTCAATGAGACAAGGCTACGCCGCGTGGAAAGCATGGTCGAGAATCTTTACCACTTGGTCTCAGGAAATAAAGAGAACGATGGCAGCGTCATGAATTCGACGTGGCAAGCTCCAACTCCTACAGGTGAAGAGCTGTATGACGCCGACAGTATTGGCACATGTGGCAGCGTAAACGACTGGGACACGTTTTCCCCTGTCACTAGGGAAATCGAGCCTACAGTCCCTAGGGCGGACCCAGTAATCGAGACACAGGGCATGAAATGCCAGCGTTTCGGGGAAGAGACATGGAACAAGATTCGTTACGTGGACGCTCAGAAAAAACTCCACGCATCACCAGTCTTCAGTACTCTGAAGGTTAACTCATCCTTGTACAACAATGGACATGCAAGCCCAATGACAGATATGTTATCCAAAAGTGACCTGGCCTTCGGGACTATCTCACACGGTCTACTGAAGCAACGGAGAATCATACATGAGGCTCTGAAGGAGGCGGGGAACAAACACCCGGAAGCGGCAGACACTTTGAAAAAAGTTTTTGCTGCTAACAGTGAATACAAGACCATCTCGGACGACCTGCTGCAGTTCGTTTGCGGAAAAAGGGCGGAAATCATCGAAAGTCGCAGGAAACTATACGAGCCTAAAAGTAGTTACTATAGGTCCATCGTCAATGAGATTCCTCCGTCAGGTACGCACTTGTGGGATGAAGAGCAGCTGAAAGATGTGGTTAAAATGCATGGAGTGACGAAAATTGCTCCTGTCCGCTGGCAGAGTAATTTGGGAAAAGTCGCACTGAGACAGAAGGTGCCTCAAGGAACTTCTCATGAAAAGTATCTGCGTCAAGGTTCATTTAAAAAAATGAAGAAGGCAGAGTTTAAGCATTCGCGTAAGCCGGGGGCGAAAAGTCATACCAAGCTAGCTCGTAAGGAGCAACCACCTTTAGATAAAAGGCGGAGTTTTTGACAGTTTTCAGGCAGGACAACTCGCCAAATATGTCTCTGCTTGGAAAAGTATGGGAGCCTCACAATCGATTCTCAGTATCCTGAAAGGCTACGTGATCCCTTTCTCAATAAAGCCACCAATAACAGTACTATCCCAACCGATACTAAACAAATTCGAGACACCAGCATCCACACAAATGGATCGAGAAATACAAAACCTCATAAATCAAAAGGTGGTAGTAAAACTGCAAACAAAAACAGGTTTCTTATCAAAGATGTTTTTGACGCCGAAATCGGGGGGCTTGTGGAGACCAGTGTTCAATCTAAAAAGATTGAACAGCTTCATCACGCCCAAGAAGTTCCGCCTTATGAACCATCGCAAACTGCCATTATTTCTCCAGGAAAGAGATTATATGGTAAAAGTCGACCTTTCTCAAGCATATTTCCATTTGCCAATAAAGCAAAAGCATTGGCGTTATCTGGGACTTTATTACCGGCAAAACATCTACGCTATGACAGCACTACCATTTGGCCTAAGCTCCGCTCCACAGGTGTTTGCAAAAGTTACGAACTGGGTGGCGAGCTACTTGAGTAATGGTCTATTTGGACGATTTTTTGATCGCAAACCAGAATCCAGAAGAACTAAAGCGAGAGGTATCCACCCTGATAGATACTCTCATAAAGCTGGGTTTCTGCATCAACCTGGAGAAGTCCGAAATAAGACCTACACAGAAATTGGCATATCTAGGTATTATGTGGAACACCATAAGAAATCAAAAGAGTTTACCGGAGGACAAAATCCACCGTCTGCAAACATCAATCCAAGCTGGAATCAAGAGCAAGACTTGGAGCTGGAAGCAGGTAAAGGCACTGCTAGGGAGAATGGAATTTGCCTCGTTTGTTATCCCATTGGGTCGACTACATTGCAGAAAGATACAAAGAGCAGTCAATCGGATGTCAGAAAACCAACCAAAGAAACTGTTCAATATAGACCTGGACGTATTGCGAGAGCTAAGATGGTGGGAGAAAAACTTAAAAGGGTCATCCATAATCTGCATGAAAGAACCGGAAGTTCATATAATAACCGATGCCTCAAACACGGGCTGGGGAGCCCAAGTAGGAGACACTTTGAGGAAAGGAAACTGGACAGAGCAGCAGGAAAAGTGGCATATCAACAAAAAAGAAATGTTCGTGATCTACTTAGCGCTAAGAAACCACCTAGATCGATTGGCAAACAAAACACTGTTAATTCAGACGGACAACAGGACGGTGGTTTCCTACTTGAGAAATCAAGGAGGAACCAAGTCGGTCACGCTTTTGGCATTGACCAGGAAGATCCTGGAGCTGGCACATCAATACAGTATGTCTCTGAGAATAGAACATATTCCAGGAAACTACAATATTGTGACCGACCACCTATCCAGAGGAAAGGATCTGCCAGACTGGCACTTATCAAGGATAGCTCAGAAGAGGATCTTCGAAAAGTGGGGAACCCCTTGCATCGACCTATTTGCGACTCCAGAATCAGCCGTCGTTACAAGATTTGTAACGCAATTCCCATGCAAGGAGGCTGAATTCGTCAACGCATTTACAAGAACGTGGGAGTACAAGCTAGCGTGGATATTCCCTCCTCCACCCCTAATACCAAGAGTTCTCCAACACCTCAACTATTGTCAGGGAGTTTTCATAATGATAGTCCCCAGGTGGGAAAGGGTGTTCTGGCGGCCCCTGCTGAAGAGACGTGCCATCGACCACCCGTTCACCATTCGGAATCTGAAGGCTCACCTGGAAGATCTTCAAACCAACCAGCCTCCTCCAAAGGTAATGGATTTACACCTGGAGGCATGGAAGATACGGGGTGGTCCGATATAGCGAATCACTGGTCAAAGGATGAAAGGAGAATCTTAGAAACATCCTGGCGCAAGTCAACTCTCAAAACGTATGCCGTTGCATGGAAAAGTTGGCAATCGTGGGCGAAGAAAAGAAGAGTTTCAGTTAAAAATCCAAACCCCACGCAGGTGGCTCAATACCTCTGCTTCCTACACAACACAAGAAAATTGGCGCTTAGAACGATCCTATTACATAAATCCACCATTGCGACATTCTCCAATCCACTACATAGTGAAGGAGTTTCCAGTAGCCCAACAGTGAAACAGGTAATTAGAGGTATTGCAAATGCAAATCCTCCAGCAACTAGGCCAAAGATTTGGAACATCGATAAACTTCTATCTTGGATTAATGATAACCATCCAGATACGAATAGTATCTTTCAAGTGGCCCGGCATCTATCGCTGCTTTTGCTGCTATCATCGGGAAGGAGAGTCCATGACTTGACACTCCTTCGAATAGATTCTGGTTTCTTTGAACAAACCGAAGAATACATAATTTTCTGGCCACAACATGGATCTAAGACAGACAAGCATAACTACGTCCAGTCAGGCTGGAAACTCCTCAAAAATCGAGAATGCATCTGGGATCTAGTACACTGGACAACCATATATCTAGAAATATCAGAAAAGAGAAGGAACCTCCACTGTCGACCGATTCCTCAACTATTCGTCACAACTCGTGGGAAGATAGGACCGGCATCTCGGTCAGTGATAGCAGGATGGGTCCGCACAGCGTTGAAATCCGCAGGTATAGAAGGAGGAGCCGGCAGTACCCGCTCGGCAGTGGCAACATCCCGCTTCAATGATAACATGCCATTGGATGAGGTTTTGCAGAAAGGAAATTGGCAGGGATCAAGCAATTTCTTCAAACACTACTATAAAAATATCGATAAGGATTTGGTACCTGACAACAGCAACAGAAGACTTATTTCGGATAAATTTGTCCCTATATAAGTATTATCATGGCTGTGAGCCAAGAATGACTGTTACTTTTCTTTTTATGAACTGTTAGAGTTATCATATTCTGTTTATGTCCTTGTATTGTTGATATTTTCTGTAGGGAAAATATAGAAAGTTCAGTATGGTTTAGTGTACCTTTTTTTTTTTTTGGTCTTCATACTATAACCATGTCACAGTACGCTTTCTAACACCGTGGCGCGCCGGCAGATTGTAAACACTTCTCAACGGTCAGGCCGTAGGCACAGAGCCGAAATAGAACAATTTTCCCCCTGAAGGGAAGAAAATTGATATTTCGGGTCTTGCCATAGGCCTGACCTAGGTAACGCCTTGCCGGCGCAAGAGTACTGAAGGGCGAGCGGGGAATCGCTCGCCACTAGCCAGCGCGCGCATCGCTCCAAGGAGCATGGGCGTACAGAAAGGGGAGGAGGACGAAGGTAAGGGGGACTAGAGACGCACACATACTGACTCCGGAGCTGTAGATAGGGAACGTAATCTCAACGGTCAGGCCTATGGCAAGACCCGAAATATCAATTTTCTTCCCTTCAGGGGGAAAATTGTTCTATTTTTATGCTGACCCACAGTTGTTCCAAGCAATTTCCAAAGCTGTTGTCAAAGTTAATAATTTCGACCTGAAGGTCAGTGGATATGTAGACTCCTACTCCGCCACCGCGGGATACTCTGTACTACGGAACAGATTGTAATTATTGATACTCACCGCATCATTGGTAATGTCTTGGCACAACCATGTTTCACTTACAGCGAAAATACTGAACCGCTCAGTCTGGATCAGGTCAATAATTGCAGCAAAGTCGGACATGAGAGATCGCATGTTCAGATGACCAGGCTTCATTGATCCTAACTTATCCATAATCTATTCTAGCTTTAAGACTGAGAACATGGTTCTCAAAAAGCATACATGTTTTATCCGATGCAGCATGCTCAACATTTATTTTTGTACGATATTTACGGTTATACTGGACACAGTTTGCATATTTCACAGAATCATTGTCACAATTTTTATAAGAATGGCCACTAGAACACTTAAGACATGACATACTTGAAATCTATTTTCTGCTTTTTAGTTCGATTTGCTATTCAAGCATTTTTAGTTTTTCTAAACTATAATTTATTTTCGATATAAGTGCTATAAGACCTGGTTGAGCAGCAAAGCACATAACAATATAAAAGTCAGTCTGAGTTCCATGTTTACTTCAATGTGTCGTGCTGCACTATGTAATAATTAAACTTTATTTAAAAACAATACTCAACAACTTATTCTAATTATTATCACTAACAAAGTTTGGCACCTTATGAATCAACCTGAATGAACCAGTTCCAATGGTACATGGTTTTCCCAGCATCAAGGAACTTGAAGGGTTTTCTAGATCATCGTGTTTACCTGAAAATATGTTTTAATCAGTACAAAATTCAGATAATCGTTTCTTATGGTTACCTCTGAGGGTTGCGTTTTTCAAAAACATCAACGATGATTCAAACGATATTTGTTGCAACGGAGATGCGCTGCTTTCCATTCCTTTCCGATTTAAAGGTTCAAAACTGCCGTTGAAAGTCATGTAGTCTGCTATCAGCGACAAATGCCTTGGGTCAACTTTGATGCCATATACGTTGAACACGTCTTTGACTTCCTTTAAAGATAAACACACATTTTATTCCGAAATCGGGAGGAGTAAATATCAACTATGATGTTAGCCCAAACATCCAGTAGAAGTGCGTATTTTTAATGTCGAGTGGATGATAAATCAAATAACTCTCTATTAGTTATCAAAACAAACGAAGTCAGCGATTTTTTTTCGTTTTCGGCCTTTTTCTCAGCCGCCACTGGACCGATTTTAAAAAACTACGAAGCTGTTGCGTCCTTGGCATAGTAGCAACATGGTATGTAAAAATTTAATCAAAACCCCACCTGTATTTCTCAAGTTATAGGGGGTTATAGGACTAGCGGACAGACTGACAGACAGACTGATGATGGAAATGAGTGACATGGTTTTTCCTGATTTTAGTTACAATTAGTTACAATGCAGGGAAAAGCACAACCTTTGCAGTTACCTTGCCTTCTCTAAAAGTAGATTGAGATATAGCATTCTCTTTTGGTGTGTCTATTTCCAAAATTATTTAAGACAAGTGCTTATTATACAAAAACCAACTATTAAATACATAAAAACCAATTATAAAGCTATATGCAGGCCTTCGTATCATTGTTCATTTTTCATCATATACTAAATGCAACACCGACTAGGACTGCTGTAATTTTGAGCATTGATTGGATTAGGTGACTGATGTCTTCTTGGTGGATTGTATCCCAGGCCATCTGAATTTGGTTTCATAGAGCATCCAATGTTTGCGGAGGGTGCGGTGAATTTTGCAACCTCCTTCCCATCATTTCCCATACATGTTCGATAGGGGAAAAGTCTGGAGATCGAGGAAACCACCGAAGCAAATTTACTCCGGACGCTTCTAAAAAGCCTAAACTAACACGTGCGACATGAGGAGCAGATATGGTTGTGGATATAGCGCTGGGCAGTTATGCTACCTTGAATGAACACTAATCGTGACCTGCTGCCGTAAGCAATGGCACCCCATACAATGACACCCACAGGGTGATAAACAAGCCGTTCGATAGAATATTGGTCTTTCACCACGTCTCCTCGCACGGCCATTATGTGTGCCCAAACAGAATCTGGACTCATCGATGAACACGACTGAGTTCCATTCCATATTCCATTCAAGTCTCTCCCTGGCACGGATCCTAAGTTATACAGCACCTTTCACTTTTCAGAACCTGGTGCCGGTGCTAAAAATGACATAGTCATGTTTTTGACGTCCAGTACCTCTAACTCGTCGACTTCGGCCTTCTTGGAACCACGCTCGACGACATCTCATTACAGTTCTTTCCTTTCGATTCACCCGATCAGCGATTCCTCTAAAAGAAAATCCGGCTTCACGTAACCAGATTATCCGATTCCTCTCAAACTCGGAAAGTTGAGTGAAATAAGCGCGTTTGCGAACTCTAGGCATGATAGTGCAATGAAACCAACGCAGAAAAATCACTGAATATTAAGTAAACATGTTCATATTGTTCGGATCCTGATATGATAACAACAGCATTTACAAAAAAGTACGGCTCGGAATGGCTTCAACATTTTATCAGCGTATACTCCCATAATAGCCAATATGTTTACAAGTTTTCATCAAAATTCAATAAATAATTCTGCATGTAGCATTTTATATGTCAAATAAGTTACAATATTAGACGAGAACAAGATCTTACATTAGTAGTACCTAAATCAACACCAGGCCCAATAATTTATAATGGTCTGAAAAACTACATGTGCCTCGCTCATGTTAACAAAAGAATCAACAATTCAGTTCAGTTTTAAGTTAGCGTTGTCATTAAAAATGAATGTATTTTTCAGAAAATAAGGCATATCTATCTATCAACAAAAATCGTAAAAAAATATTACCTTAACAATGCATTTTGAAGCAGCTTCTATTCCATACGTTTCTGCAACTTTGTGTATATCGTTACAATACAATCTGTGCAGATCCAACAAATTGTGATATTTGAACATTTCCTAAAAGAAAAGCGAATATAACAAACCATCACAAAGTTAAATAAATAAAATTAACTTACTATTATGTTGATACCATCAGTTCTTAACATTAATTTGTCATCTTTCGTATATGTAATAGCTCTTTTTATTTGTGGCGTCTCCCACACAACTGACCTTCTTGCAACATCTTTAAGTATTCCAGTTAAATCTAGCTTTTTATAGTTCAGAGGAAGCTGAAAAGCAACGTATCTTCGTTCAATTTCCGAAAATATTCATTAAGAAATTATTACACAGATCAAATTTATTATAAAAATAAGATTTTTTCTGAAGCATCATGGTAGGCAAGCAAATTTTTCTCTGTTTTGAGATATTAGAAAAGAATTTTTTGTACTTACTGCAAACGTAATTTCGCACCACAAATGTTTTTCAGCATCTTCAGTGTAATTTTGAGCGAAATTGTACGAAGCTGTTACCGTACTATCTTGAGCTATAGAATCATTTTTGTTCTCACTCTCCTTGTCCTGGTTTCCAGCGTCTTCAGCATCAGTCAGTTCTGGAATTTCGTACAAACTAGCGTCAATCATATTATTTTATGGGTATGACTCGTACATACTTGATTGACGATATTAACTTTGCTTGTGATGTCCACCTTAACCCAATCAGACAAAACATCAACATATACATTTCTAAACCTGCTAGAACGAGCTCTATGAAATATAGTGATTGAGAACCAAATTTGTCTGTCCACTTTGATATAAAAAGGTTAAAAAAAATATTTTTTGAAAATGACATCTGTCAAATGTCCTCCGTTGACACCTATGCATTCATGGAGTCGATCCTGAATGTTCTGCATAACTCTTCGCAGCATATCAACAGGTATTACTGCAATCTCGTCACGAATTCGTTGTTTGAGGGCCGGGATTGTCCTGGGTGGATCAGTTTCAAACAATTTCGTTTTCAGATAACCCCGAAAAAAGAAGTCGCAGAGAGTAAGGTCGGGAGACAGAGGGTGCCAAGCAATTTCGAGAAACGACACGCTCTGGGAACAAAGCATTCACCGCATTCATTGAAATTCTTGCAGTGTGGCTTGTTGCACCGTCTTGTTGAAAAAGTGTGTTTTTATTAACTGGAAAGCGGTAACGTTGAGGTGTAAATGCTTTGTTCCCAGGGCGTGTCGTTTCTCAAAACGGGGATATTATAGAAAATTATATTAACTCATTCTAAAAACTAACCATGGACAACAAAAAAAAAAAACAAATATAAAAATTAACCGTACGAACTTAAAGTAAACGAGCAAAATATCCAACTTCTGATAAAATTCACGACTGCAATCGATTTACCATTTTTTCAACTTTCTCAGAAGACAAATAACTCCGGACATATGTTCATACGAACTTTTTGCTTAAAACGACCAAACAAATCATAGGATGTCACAAATTTCAAGATCCTGCATTTTGTCGACTTAGATTTTGTTTTCGAGTGGGACACAAGTTTGGCAAAAAATCACGTTAGCACGTGCAGCCCCCTAAGCGGAGGTGACACCACCCCCAAAATCTTAAATCGAAAGGGGGGTCGAGTGATACCTTATTTTAAAGGTCTTTCAATTCCCTTTATAATGATATAAAATTAATGTACTTCAATTCAGTAGTTTTGAAGATTTATTGATTTAAAGCTTAAATAAAACTAATACATCATCATTAGTGGAGATCAATATATTTGGCAGCAAAGTAATTTAAAAATGAAGAATGAACTGACCCGTTAGGCAAGTAAATGTTGAAAATGGCCACCATGACTCTCCATGCAATAATAAAGATTTTGCTCAAAACGTTGCCGCACATTTTGCAATATTTGAGGAGTAATTCGAAGGCACTAATTCACAATTCTTTGTCGCAGGTCTTCTAATGATGTTGGCTGAGTAGCATAGATTTTGCTTTTTAAATGACCCCACATAAAGAAATCCAAAGGTGATGAATCTGGCGATCTTGGGGGGCATTCAATGGCACCTCTTCTACCAATCCATCGATTTGGAAACGTCTGATCTAAATATTGTCGAACACGTAATGCGTAATGTGGTGGGGCACCATCCTGTTGGAACATCAACCTATTCGCAATGTACCACCGATCATTCTGATTTTCAATTATGGCTGTTAATGCAGGATCTATGGCGTCTTCCAGTAATTCCAAATACATTTCACCGGTCAAATTTCCAGGTAAGAAAAAAGTACCAACTAAATGATCGCCAAAAATACCAGCCCAAATATTTAATTTTTGTGGGTGCCGTGTATGAACCTCATGATAAATAAATATCGGCAGATGACGATTTACTATGCCATTTAAGAAAAAGGAACATTCGTCGGAAAAGCAAGTGTTGAATAGAAAATGTTCATCGTTTATAATTCGTTCACTCATATCTTCACAATATTGTAATCGCCGATCAAAATCGTCTTCATTAAGTTCTTGTACCAGGTGAATTTTATACGGATGAAAACTATGGGCCTTTAGAATCCATTGGACAGTACGTCGACTAACACCACACACAGCCTCCAATTTGCGGGTACTTAACGTAGGATCTACATAAACTTGCCCTAAAACCCCCACTTCTATTGCTTCGTTCCTTATGGGATTTTCAATGTTGCGTTTTTTATTGGCGACTGACCCAGTTTCCCGAAATTTAGCTACAAGTTCTAGAACATATTTTCGATGCACGTTACTGTTCTCATGTCGCTCATTAAATATTTCTGCTGTTCTATTAGCGCACTGATTATTTACGAAAAATATTTCGATAATTTCAACTCTTTCTGCTGTGGAATATACCATGGTTAATTTATGTAATAAAGCGTTACAAGTTATTTTAGCAACAAAGTTTGGTCAAATCAATCGCAAACTATGTACTAAATTCCTATTTAAAATAAGTACGAGATATTTCTATATCTTTCTTCAAGAAATAACTTTTTTACCACAAAAACGCTCCAATAGCTATTTTTAACAACAAAATAATAAACAAAAAATGGGCGTAGTGAAGAAAAGCATTTACTTATTAAGTAAATTCTTTTAGTCAAATTTCTTCTTATGATTAGAAATACTCTACCATCTTCGCTATCAATCTTCTCCTCATCTTCAGGTTCCTGATCTTCCTGAGCATCCTGATGTTTGTACGTCTGTTTAGCATCTTCAGTGTCTTCTACTTCATCATCTGAATCATTTTCGTCATCTTCGTTTTCATTATTCGCGTTGGAATTTTCATTATCATTATCATCGTTTATTTTTTTATTTTTTGCTTCTTGCATCGTAACTCTAAAAAAAATGGAGCAATTCTAAACCAAGAATATTTTTTACAGAAGTATATTAGTACAGTCGAATGTTGAGAAATCTGCAGACTTACACATTACTGTTAATTTTCGTGTATTTTCTGATAACTGAAAACATGTCAGCAAAAAATTTCTTCTTCATATGCTGAAGAATCTGCTTAGGTTTGACACAGAAATCTTGGCTGTAATACTTTCTTGGGAGGAAGTAAAAACGTAGAATGTACTGGTGTTGTCTGGAAGAAAAAAATATCACAATGAATGTATAATAAAAAGAAACCAAAACAATGGGGGGGTTTGAGGGGTAAACTCTGCCTCAAAGGTCGATGTCATTTTTTATGCCAAAGCAGCCGCACCCGGGCACCACCTTTGGTAGGAGGAGTTTAAAGAAACTTTGTTTATCCAATTTTTGAACTGCCTAAGTGTAGTAGAACTGAGAAAAGCGTTTTCAGGTAGATTGTTCCACAATCTCGATACCCAAGAACAAAAGAGCAGTCGTATCGACCAGTTCTAGATGTACGAAGTTCGATACGGTTAGGATAGGGGAGGCAGAAGTCAGGACGGTCTGTATGGCAGGAACATCGCGTGGCAGCACCATGAAGGAGCAAAGCTCGTTGGTCTAGCGGTAAAAGAGAACTAGATCGCCGACGACCCCTCGGTGCGAAAGGGTCCCGAGACTATTTGTTAAAAAGAGTCATCGATTAGTCGGACAGCCCTCCATCGATCAGGTGGGCATGGGTAATTTAGTCGGGGCGGCAGCACCTCAAATATATGAGCATTACTCGACGCTATGTGTTATCTGGACCGTTTAGAGAGTTAGACCATGTGGATAAAAGTACCTCTTAGCCCTAAATAAATAGCCTAGCTGTTTCTTAGTAACCGCTATTGACGAGATGCGTTCGTGGCAGACCAAGTCCTCGGTGATCTAGACTCCGACCAGCCAAAATGAACTGCTCTTTGGTAGAACTCGGCTATCCATCGAAACCAGATGAACGCTACGGTGCTTCTTGTTAGTTAAGATACAGAGCTGTGTTTTGGAAGTATCAAACTGTACCAGATTGTTGCGTTCCCAAGCGTTCCCCAGGTCTCTCGTCAGAGAGGAAGTCGCTGCTAGTTCAAATAGATGAAGTGCTCAACATTTAGAAAAAACAGAAAATAATTAGTGTATTGGGATTCAATCGAAAGTGCTGACAGTAAACGTAAGTGATGTCGAAGAGGGATAGCGTTTGGAATACCAAAGGATACCAAAAATCGCAATGCTCAGTTCCTATAGCTATAACTTATAGTTAGTATGCCTCTGTCGCCATGATGTGTCAGAAAGCAACACAATGATGTTAGATTACCAAAGCAAGTGTCAGACGTCCTGGGGGCAGGGGGGGGCGCCCCACTCTAAATCCGCCACTGCAACACACGATGGGAAGTTCAAGCCCTAATAGATACATACGCCTATTAAACAATCAACATTGATTATCTACGACCGGACGGTAAATTGTACTTTGCGGATGGGCTTTTTGACGTTAAATCTCACTTTTCAACCCACGGACTCCTCAGACATACATTGCATCACATTCGTTGTTAGGGGGTGCCGCAAGTTTCGGTGACACAACCGGCCAATTTTTCTTCATAATTTTAATTTTCAAACCTTAACATCACTTTCGGCCTTTTTACCAGGTTAGCTTTTTGAGGTTATTCCAGGATGTGATATAATAATTACTGATTAATCAGAAACTTTTTTTAAAACCGTATGTGGTGTTTAGTAAAACATGGCCAAGCGTTTTAATAATTTTTCAAAAAGAACTTCATAAATCCAGTTTTTGATCGTCCTACTATGTAGTCTCATCCACATTTTCTACGATCAAATTTCAGCACAAATATGGCTGACACACTCCTGATGATGACAGTATAGACTGTCGAAAGCTTGAAGATAACACTTTGCATAATTTGTCGATTTCATCAAAGACGAGTTCTTCCACTTATACAGGACGGGAAAATAGATGCGGAGTCGGTGGGGGGAGATAGTATTTATATATATATATATATATATAAATTTTTGAGATTTTATAAAATTAACGTCCTTTATACGTTAACCAAGACATAAAACTTGAAAATTGGGTGTTTCATTTGATTTTTTTTTTGTTTTACAATAAAAATATTCTAAAATACGAAAATTGATACTGAAATGTACATTATTGACGTTAACTCATACAGTAAGCTTCAAAATAGTTCAATTTTTGTTTAAAAAAATCTTCGTTCATCTCAAAAACTCAATTTACTAGAAACAATCACCTACAAATTTTTCGTGCTAAACAATGTTTAAACTATCTATGTTTCATTACCTTTCAAATGAGGTATCAAAGTCACAAACCGGTTTAGAAATGACAAAGATATGAGTGAAACAAACAGCTAGAGCCGCGAACATCGGACTTCGCCACCGGAATAGTATGATAAGTAAGACTAGTCACCCCCCTCCCTCCCTCGCTTCAATCTGCTCTTGCGATTTGTTGCGTCAGGATGTGTTTGTTTGCTCTCTGTTTTGATATTTCTAAAGACCTGGCTCTTGTTGGACTTTCGTGTGTGATGCTTTTCCTGACGACCTAGACTCTACCCTGTTTTCTCTGATTCCTTACGACTTGGCTGCTGTGTGACTTGATTGTTCGTTGATCTACCTATCGATGAACAATGGCTGATGAACAAAGGAGGCGGCCGTTCAGTTTCGAAGAATATGCCGATATCCTTTTCTACTATGGAGATGCCAGAGGCAATGCTGAAGAAGCTCGTCGCGAGTATGGAGACATGTTTCCTAATCGTCGCCTACCTGACGCCCGCGTATTTACGCAAACGTTCCGTCGGGTTCGAGAGCACGGTACCGTCGTAAGATATCAAGGTAAGTTTGCATCAGTGATCATTATTAACTTATCATAATCAGTCATTCAGTAAGGCCTATGTAGAGCCTTGGAGGTCTGTGGGCTGAACTGATGTTACTTTAACATAGTTGTTTTAAATCAGTTGATTGAACTTCTTAATTAAGAGTTTATTCATTTAATTTTAACACGAGCATCTACACGGCTCTGAAGATGGAAACATCCAGACGTTGTGTATCATTTTTTCTAAATAATATTTTGCCAACTCTAGCTCATAGTCTTACCGCTATGTTTATTAGGTAACAATTTCCTCCAAAAAATCTTAAAAATTAGTATAATTCGAAAACGGCTAATTTTCGGACAGTAGTTCCTATAGTAGAATCGACTCAGATTGGCTTGTACTATCTCCCCCCACCGGCTCCGGATATGTTTTCCCGACATCCTGTATATATGCGATATCTTATACAGGGTGTCCGCAAAGTTGGGGTTTTCCTTTACACGACGTGTAGATCTTGAAAACATACGCAATTTTTTTAGTACCATATACACCAATGTCTTAAGGGAACCGAGATAAAGGGGTCTGCAGCATCAAAAATATCTGAATACCGACCTGTAGCCGCGATATCCCCGACTGGTACAAGGTCACTGGCTCAACCCGACGACAGAATTGGGTCGGGGTCAGTGTGTCAGGTCAGTATGCAACCTTCAACCGACGGTTACGGTCACGCGTGTAGGGGTAATCGCGTAGACGAGAATCCCTCAACAAGCACTAGAGACGTGGCTAGAGAAGTGCAAGTATCAAAAACTAAAGTGTGGCAAACGCTGCGTGAAGAGGGGCTGTATCCGTTTCACGTCCAACGTGTACAAGCCCCTCAACCTGACGATTTTCCAGCAAGAGTGCGGTTTTGTGAATGGTTGTTGCATCGACATGACAATAATCCGGACTTTTTGAAGTGCATATTGGTGACAGACGAATCCATATTGGTGACAGACGAATCTACGTTCACGCGTAATGGGGTGAATAACTTTCGCAACACTCATGTTTGGTCAGTAGAAAATCCGCACGCTGTCCGTCGGGCACATTTTCAACAAACATTCTCGGTGAATGTTTGGGCTGGCATGGTGAACGGTATGCTCATTGGACCATTTATTCTCCCAAATCGATTGGACGGGATGCAATACCTAGACTTTTTACGCAACATTTTGCCTTCCTTGTTAGAAGATGTGCCATTAAGTGTAAGACAATCAATGTGGTTTCTGCGTCTGCTCGGTAGCGCATCAGCTGATTTCATGTTCTGTTGGAGCGGTATGATTTCGGGCAGAGACGTACTTAGCCCTTCTCGTCAACTGGAGAGTGAGTACTTTTTCCTTTATTTTTTTTACTTGGTCGCCCTCGTTTCACTACACATTACCTTTGTTATTTCAAGGGTAGTTGTTTCTGAAAAGGAAAACCCCAACTTTGCGGACACCCTGTATATTGGTTATTTATGCCACTGAAATCTGCAATGACCGTCACTCTAAAATAAACTGAAACGACTTGGACATACGAAACTAGTTCTCAACTTCTGCTATTTCAGTGCATTGTATTATTAGCCCATTAATCTCTGTTTCATATTTAGTATATTGTTGTTACGCCCCGAGTTTTAAACCACACAACCTTAATAGTCTGTCTATTTTCAAGCGTATATTGACTTATAGCATGATAAATCTGGTAAACTCTATCGATCGTTCAGGCTAGTTCAATTCTAATCCAAGCTGTCGATAAGGCAAATCAAATGTATCAGTACATATTACAGCACTTTCCGAAAGCTCATCGCATCTAGGTTAGGACATGAAGTCTTTGGTTGTGTCGTCTACGGACAGTTGCCGGTAATCGGTGTTCCGATGAGAACCAGAATAGTACCCCTGGGGTACACCCGCGTTGACATTTTGAGATTAATGGTCAATTACGACAGATATCTTGCGGCCAGATAGGAAGTCAGGCACCCATCTGCAAAGCTTCTCTGGGAGGCCATAGGATGAAAGTTTGCATAAGAAGGCAGCGTGCCACAGCTGATCGAACGCTTGCCTGACATCAAAAGTCATCAGTTTCGTGATACCTTACTTATATCAGAAAGTAGAGCTATAGGTCTTTAGTCGTAACGGTCGGACACGATCAAATTTCCAGTTTTCTAGAAAGGTGCCGGATTCGTAAGGTATCTGGAAGAGTCGCGAAAGGACTGGAGCAAGCTCTGCTGCAATTTCAATTTCAGTACAACCGCAGAATTTAAGTCCGGACCGGGTCATGTTTGAGAACGAACAGTTTCTTTCAGAATAAAAAAAATACAGCATAGCTCTGGACATCAGAAAAATATCTAAAAATCGTACAAACCTGACTGGTTCAACCTGCAAGACAGTCGTAACGTCAATTTTCTCCAAAACATCCGAAATAACAACTCTATTGAGCAGTTTCCTCAAAGTTGAAGCTCTAGCTTCCAGATTTTCCACTGGTAGAAACGGGATTTCCATTGACGGCGTTTTGATGTTTTTCGATGCCATCATGAGAATTTCTCTAAGCCTGGGTATACCAAGAGTGACATTCATTTCTCCTCTTCCAGCAAAGTGGAAGGTGTTTAGGGTCATTTGAGTTGAAGGCTCGCCAATCGACTGCAAAAATGAGGAAATGTTCAAAAACTTCTTTGATGGTACGGTAATTCATTAAGCACATAAACAGAGTGTCAACAAATTTGGGACTTTACAGAGCGTATAGGTCAGGCAATAATATACATACTTTCCTAGTAACACATATGCGGTCTGTAAATTATGTGATGAGATTGATTTTTTATCCAAATATAATTACAATTTTATATTGTCACCCTCAAATTGACCTCCTTCTGACGCCACAGCGCTGAACCACGAAACAGAAGGCCTTCACCTTCAACAACCGATGAAAATATTCTTGTCGCTTCTCATCCTGCTTATTCGCCTGACTTGATTCCTTGTGACGTTTTTCTCTTCCCGAAGTTGAAAAATCAGCTGAAGGCTATTTCGGTATGGAAGTACCAGCACTGCTATGAAGAGTGGAAAAACCAACTCCGGAGCTTGTGGCTTCAGAAGGAAGTTATTTTGAAGGTGACAACATAAAATTGTAACTATATTTGATTAAAAATAATTAAAAAATCAGTCTCATCACTTAATTTACAGACTTCATATGGCTGCTGCATTATAGGTTTATATAGTAGTAGTAGTAGAAAGATATATTTAGCACATTTGGCTACATAAACAGAATAATTGTAAACAACTTAGAACTAGTAAAGTTTTTGTTAGTTTTTGTAGTTTATGTTATACTTTTTGGTCATTAAATGGAAGTCATCTTTATTTCTGGTATTATGTAAATGATGGTCGACATTTGATGATGTTAAATTAGTTAGACTTGATGGAAATATATTATTTTTTACTTTATAAATGAATATCATTACAAGATATTTGATAAAATTTTTTACATTGAGCCATTTTAATTTGCTAAGCATTTGCCTAATTGGAGTATATTTATCTTTATTCAGTATTATTCTCATGCACTTATGTTGTAAAATTTGCAGTCTTTCAAAAATGGAATTATTTGCTAAATATAGAATAGTCGAACAGTACAAGAAATTTGGAAGAATGATGGTATTATAGATAATTTTTCTGCTATATGATCTCAGACATCCAGAAACTCTCCACAAATATCGCACTTTACTACTAATCTTATTTATAACTTTTTCATAATGAATATCAAAAATTAATCGAAAGTCAACAAAAACTCCCAGGTATTTAAAATGTTCTACGAATTCAATATCTTCACCATCCATATTCAGTTGAACATTTGTACATTGTTTTTTTTTTTCGATTAACAAGGCTTTCGTTTTACTTGTATTTAATTATAGTCTGTTAGATGATAACCATTTTGAGACAAGTTTCAAGTCTTCATTTATATAAGAGATACCAGTCTGAATATTTTTAGTACTTACTTACTTACTTTGAAGTTGAGTCATTAATTTTCAGATAATGATTGTAGAAGGAAGATAAACCAAAATATGTGTGTAAAAATCAAAAAACATTAAAAAAAATGTTAGCTTGGAGCACCGGCAGGCCCTCCCCTGTAAGGTCTTAAGTCTCCTGATTCACGAGCCCTTTGTACTATATTAACAAAGGCACGAGGGGTTGGTTGCACTCGATTGGGAAACCGATTCGCACAAATCCGTGATGCCGCGGAAGCATTTTGTAAAGAATCATGTCCACAAGTTCAGCATTTTCGTAAACATGTGTCATTTATTATTTCGTTTGAGCCACGCAACAAACACCACTATTCACTCACGCGTTACCGACTGACGAAAAACGTTTCATATTCTTTCGCTTTTTTGTTTCCGATGCGATGAACCGATAACGCGGATTATATCCGTTGTCGCCAAACACGAGCACATAATATTATTATTGAGACAGGGCGGTACTCAAACTTCTAAAGGGCTATAACTTTGTTACTTTAATTTTACCAGAAAAATGTTAAAGGATAAAAACATTTCTTTTGATCAGATCTACTCACTGTTAAAATAAATGACTCAACTTCGAAGTCACCCTGTATAAATCATAGTGTCATCGGCGAAAATCTGAATTTTGCATTTTGGGAACTGGTGTTATTGTAGAGCATTTCAAATTTTCAGGAAAAGAACTGCTTCTCAGTGAACAATTGATCCAATATGATCGAGGAAATGCTATGCCACAAATTGTGTACCTTGCATAATGATTATGTTCAATTTTTTGGTCAGTGTTGACAATTTTATGGTAGTGAGTGATGATGCGTAAGAAATAAACCTTATATCATACATTTGTATATCTGGGTGAATATACAAAAATTGGGTAACTTTAGACATATTTTGTTTTCTAGTTTTCAAGCCAAATGTCTACAAATTTGGATATTTATGACAGATAATCTAATGAATATATTGTTCCAAATAGGGCCAGTCACTTTTATGAGTAGATTTTGAGATACTTCGATTTTTCTGAAATTCCCATCCAGGTTACTGACGAAAGTAACATAGGACTGTCAAAATACGCAGTATCATAGAATACATACGGAATTTATTAAAACAAATATCTTCGAATCTAATAACTGCACTTCTTACAGTTATAGTAACTATTAACAGTAAGTAAATATTGAATACCTGGTCGCAAATGAAACAGTATTCAAAAACTTTTCGCAAAGATATTTCATACCATCCAGCAAATGTATTATACACTTGCTGCATGGTATTATATATTATAAGACACTCATTATTTCTTTGCAGTTGCTTGACGACTATTAGCATCGTCTCATAAAAATTCCCAAAACCAAACGTTGCACCTTATTTTTTCTTTCTAATATAATCTATTCTTTAGCCAAATTCTGTTTATTTTTTCTGGAGGCCTAAACTGTAATAAGTAAAAGAGATACTTACATACAGTTGCAGTTGAGATGAAAGCGATCTAAACAAAAAAAAATCAATACGGTGGAAGCCCGTCAGTCCATTAACGCAATATTAGACAAAGGACTGAAGCAAAAGTACTGACGAAAATAACCTTATTTTGAGATTATAATTCGAACTAATGTTTCTTTTGGAATTTTTGAATATCAGCAAGCTATATTTTAACATATTAACGACATACGGATAAAAATAAAACTGAAGTTTGTAAAGAAACATCGCCTCACCACAGTACTAATATTTTGACTGGATCGGCAAGTGTATTCACAGTAACCATGACTCTAGCACTCGCTTAGCATGGGCAGCACTCAAATGGCACGGTCTGCAGCTCTCTTCACTAACGACATTAAAATTTAACACGGATGCAATCTCGAGTCGGTGATATAACACACAACGGACTGACGAATGGAACTAAACACATTTCTTAATTTTTTATAACTAACGATGGGAATATTATATTATGGAAATTGAACTGGACAACAAATTTTAGTTTTTTAATTGTATCTTGTGGGAAAAGTGCACTTCTTTGTTAATTTTGGGGCGCTGAATCCAAAATGACAATGAAATAAAAAAATTAGTTGCGATTTAGAAAAAAAACTTTTTATTTTTAAGGATATATTAAAAAAAGTAACAAGATTCATATACTTATAAGAATCACTATATGCGCTGTCTTTTTGCTGTTCTTTTATGGATCGTTTCTGGAGCATCTCTACCAAGAGTCCAACAGTAGTCTGCAAGCATGGAAGGATTCCACTTTCCCTGGTACCTTTTTTCCATTGTTGAAATATCCTGATGAAAACGTTCGCCGTGCTCATCACTTACGGCTCCGCAATTGCCAGGAAAAAAGTCCAGGTGTGAGTGTAGGAAATTTATCTTAAGAGACATATTACAGCCCATCTTTTGATACGATGACAGCATATTTTTGACAAGGGTTTTATAGTTGTCAGCTTTTCTATTTCCCAAGAAATTAGTGACCACCAGACGGAAATCATTCCAAGCAGTTTTTTCAATAGCTCTAAAGTGTTTTCAAACTGTGTATCTTTCAAAATATTGCGAATCTGTGGCCCAACAAAAATACCTTCTTTAATCTTTGCCTCACTTAGTCTTGGAAATTTCTGACGCAGGTAGTAACTTGAAAAGCTGACCCATCTCTATCTAATGCCTTGTAAAAGTTTTTCATTAGGCCCAACTTGATATGCAGTGGTGGTAATAAAATTTTTTTCGAATCTACTAATGACATATGCTGTACATTTTTTTGACCTGGCTCTAGGAATTGACGAACAGGCCAGTTTTGTCTAGTGTAATGAAGTGCCTTTGCCCAACTGTCCTATTCACACAAAAAACAGCAAAACTTTGTGTAGCCTAGCTGCAGCCCAAGTAAAAGTGCAACAACTTTCAAATCGCCACAAATATGCCATTGGTGCTCATCGTATTTTATGCATGTCAATAGGTACTTCATATTGTCATATGATTCTTTCATGTGAACTGCATACCCTACAGGAAGAGATGGTAAAATATTTTCAATATGCAATAACACTGCCTTTAAACTCAAACATCGTCTTCTAACAAGTTCCACTGCTGCAGTCTTGATCCAAGTAACTCTGCCTTACATCTTGGAAGTTCTAAATCTCTTACAAGATCATTTAATTCTGACTGTGTTATTTTGTGCGGTTGGTGGCATGACGTGCTCGGTATAAAATCAGGATCTCTTGACGTTGATGGCATATCTTCTTCCTGACGAATCACTCGATCGCCATGATCTGATTCGTTTTCTGATTCGCAAGTGTAGGATTCTGGGGGTTTTGGAATAGGATTTTCGTCACTGTGAGGCACAGGTCTCATCGCAGATGGTATGTTTGGGTAGTTAATAACCGATTTTTTTTTCTTGGACATACCTGTGGCTTGTCCAACACAAGGTACCATGCAAAAGTAACAATCATTAATATGGTTTGTAGGCTCTCTCCAAACCATTGGGACAGCAAAGCGCATAGACCGTTTTTTACCATTTAACCAGCTCTTCAGACTTGAAGCACATGTATTACAGCAGATGTGGGGTGCCCACTGTTTGTCTTGATCACCTAGTTTACAACCGAAATAAAGCTGATATGCCTTTGTTATTAGTGGAGTAATAGACCGTCTCTGAGACGCAAAAGTCACATCACCACACACGTAACAAAACTCATCTGGATTGTTTACACACTTTCGAGACATCTTGCATGAACGCTGTCAGCCAACTGAGGAAAATATAAAACAATATAATGTACACGTATGTATAACGTAACACAATCATGCCGATTACATCATCTTTCCTTGCCGAATATAAAAATGTAGCACGTGCATTCTTGTGAATTGCAGTATATTAACACTGTCACAGCAGGAACACATATAATTACCGTATCTCTAAAACTTGAACTAATATTGAAAAAATAAGTTTCATTCCGGTTTTAGCACATTAAAAATAGTAATATTTTGTTGATTTTATTTAGGATATTTTTTGGTTGTTGATCAGTGTTATTAAGTACATCATAGATTGTAGTGAAATAGCAAGTTTTCTTAAATTAATGGTAATGTTTAATAGACGGCCACTTGATTGTACGTTTTTGGGATTGTGACATGGCAAAGGATTGACGTTTTGAGGATATTTTTGTATTGTTTCAAAAACTTGTATTCAAAATAAATCGTGGCAATTGGGCGACCAAATACAAGACTTTTAGTAGTTTTAAAATAAAATTAAATGTAAACAAAATTTAATAAAACTTCCTATCTATTGATTGATGACATTGAGTTACCCATTTTTTGTAGAAACACCCTATAATTCGTCAGTGGGATCAAGTTTCGGTACTTTTTTGGAAAATATATAAATTATAGATATATGTTGAACATGCAGCTCCCCATGTTAATATACCATCAATCAGTGCATGGTACAATGTATGAAGATACCTTTCTGTCAGTATATTCGAAATGTATGTAATTTTGTACAATAGAAATATAAAATATAATTGACATGAATGTCCCAACGTGAGGATTCAGTACTGTTTCAAGGTATTTTAGGTTTGGCACCCTATTACTTTGCAGTTTTTGATTATTCATATTGAAGGAGATATGTGTAATTTGGCAAATGTCGAGCACAAGATGCAAATGTGCTGTAGAATAGTAAATGCTCAATTTTCTGCTACTAAACCACCGAATAATTTTAACAAAATCATTTTCATGTACATTTTTTAGATGAGACTAGAATATTCCACTATCATCCGCAAAACTGGCTATTTTGCCAACACAATTAATTTGGAAAATGTTTAAATATATTTGTTACCGGCAATCTGTATAATCCGGTATTCTATACAATACCTAGGTAATGTATAGAATACCTAAAACGTGTAGGTAATGCATGATATATTATTTGTTTCATACTTTGCCTAGGTATTCTATACAATCCCGAATACGCAGCCGGTAATGTATGTGAAAGACGAGAGCAACGAACGGGTTGTACATGCCGTCAGGTAGTCAATAAACGAAATGCGTCCTTGTAAGCAAAAAAAATTACATTATGTTACTTATAGCCACAATAATTAGTAGTAACAGAAAGGTGCTTTTCTTGTACCCTTTTCATAAAGCTTACTTTTAAGGAGCACTCTAATTGTTAATTTTAAGAAAGTTGATTTTAAATAATATAACTTGTTTCATTTGCCCATCATTTTATTATGTTAACATTGATAAATTTAGACCAAGATCTATTTATTTTACACATTGCCAGTCGAACAGCAGGTACTCTATACAATCCCTAGGAATTGCATTCATTACCTAGGTAAAGTATGTAATGAATAATAATATTCATAATATTTCATACAATGCCTGAGCAACCCAGGTATTCTATACATTACCTATGTTTTGTATAGAATACCTGAATTGTACAGATTACCGGTAACACATACATATTAAATAACAGTGGGCCTAATAATATTCCTTGTGGGACACCACACTTGATATGGATTTCCTAAATGATCTGGATATGTGGTAACTATTAAATATTTTCAAAAAACAAAAACTAATGCCTCTTTTGATTTATCCTCAAGGTCGAAATCCAATGCGCAAAAACATGCGAATTTTTGAGCCATTCTTTACCTGAGCTGCCAAAAGACCAACAGGCTCACCGGCGGCACACATCGATTGCATCGACTTCAACTTCATCACATTATGGAACTCCTTTTTAGACTTCTTTTTCTTGAACGGTTGAAACTCCTCCAAAAGTTGATCAATCCTCTCGTTTATAGCGCCAAATTGTGCGTCTGGTTGATAAGCTGAGTCCACGGGATCTGGGCACGGCACACAAGGCTTAATGAAACTTAGAAAAACATAAAATGCGATGTATTTTACAGATTCTGTCTGAATAAAAACAATTTCATCTTATAATCTAGTGTCCCATAATAAAAGTATGTACCTACTCCAAAAAAAGGATTTTCCTCATTTTTTATATTGTTGAACTATTTTGTTACAGCAAATGAAAGTGTTTTTTCAAAATAACAAATTCTATAAAATAAAGCTTCGAGACTAGTAGAAAGATTTATTTAGCACATTTGGCTACATAAACAGAATAATTGTAAACAACTTAGAACTAGTAAATTCAAGCCATATGGTGTATGATGTAAATGCTGGGCAACCTATAATTGTAGATTTAACAAGTGATTTCTCAATTTTACTTTAAATTTTGTCAAAGTGTTCTGGTCTTTTATCTAGTTTTCTGGTCTTTTATCTCCGAGTATAATTTATTATATTCAATCAACCCTTGATGGAATACAGATTTGTAGCATATGTTATACTTTTTGGTCATTAAATGGAAGTCATCTTTATTTCTGGTATTATGTAAATGATGGTCGACATTTGATGATGTTAAATTAGTTAGACTTGATGGAAATATATTATTTTTTACTTTATAAATGAATATCATTACAAGATATTTGATAAATTTTTTTACATTGAGCCATTTTAATTTGCTAAGCATTTGCCTAATTGGAGTATATTTATCTTTATTTAGTATTATTCTCATGCACTTATTTTGTAAAATTTGCAGTCTTTCAAAAATGGAATTATTTGCTAAATATAGAATAGTCGAACAGTACAAGAAATTTGGAAGAATGATGGTGTTATAGATAATTTTTCTGCTATATGAACTCAGACATCCAGAAACTCTCGATAAATATCCCACTTTACTACTAATCTTATTTATAACTTTTTCATAATGAATATCAAAAATTAATCGAGAGTCAACAAAAAACCCCAGGTATTTAAAATTTTCTACGAATTCAATATCTTCACCATCAATATTCAGTTGAACATTTGTACATTGTTTTTTTCCGATTAACAAGGCTTTAGTTTTACTTGCATTTAATTTTAGTCTGTTGGATGCTAACCATTTTGAGACAAGCTTCAAGTCTTCATTTATATAAGAGATACCAGACTGAATATTTTTAGTACTTATATAAATCATAGTGTCATCGGCGAAAATCTGAATTTTGCATTTTTTGGCTATGGCAGGTAAATCATTTATGTATAAAATAAAAAAAGTGGTCCCAGGATACTGCCCTGTGGAACACCCAACGTATTTTCAATTTTTGATGAAATAGTATTATCAACTTTTGTAACTGATTTTAAATAAAAACAAATATGCAAGATTGAGTCTATGTCAGAAGAAGCGAATAGAAATACAGCTTTTTCTATCCCTTTTTTCGTATCTTGCCTAGTTTCGAGAAAAAAAAGGTCCACTTAATTGCATATCCCTGGACCACAAGGAATATGGGGAAAAGTTTGTTTTGGAAATTATTTTTTCAAAAAGTTGTATCTCTATTTGCTTAATCCGAAGGACAGAATAAAAGTTGCACAAAAGTCAGTGGTGTGCATTTTTTTGGCAAAAATATTCGTTCATATCCCGCTCGAGGGAGAGAGTTAGGGCTAAATTACCTCCTTAATGTTATAAATACCACCGCCAAATTACAACAAAATTAGGATAAGGATATTTAAGAAATTTACGAAAAAACTTTTTTTTAAAATTTAACGCCCTGTATCTTGAGAACGAGGAATTTGCGGTCCTGGGTCTATATGTACTCTTTGTCTTAAAATTACTCAAAGAATCGTCTGTTAAATTTATGGTACATTCCCTCTATAGAAAACTTCACAAAATTAAATAGTCTTTATCATAACTACGAAATTAGTGGCATGATTATAGATATTCATCTGCAAAGTTGTAACAGTAGCATAACTAGCAAAATCTGTATTTCAAGAGGGAGTACACATTTGAATTTAATAAATTGAATCATGATATAAGACAGGTCGAATTTAAAAATGTTCAAGGTGAAATTAAAAAATCCTACCCAAAGTCTATAGCGATGTAATTTTAGTATAATATGTCAAATTACAAAAAATCATTCCATAAATTTGTAAAAGAATATTTATACAGAATTGACATTTTAGCATCAATGCTAGATAAATCTTCAACAAACAGAAAAAGTAAGAATTGAATTTTCTGCATTTAAGCTTAAAACTTTATACCAGGTGCCAGCATCTGGGACTGTTGATCTATGCTTCGAGTATTACCAGATGTTGTTGTGTTGCAATTCTTACCTTTCTCTAACTTCATCATCAACTTCTCTCCAAAGTTTCACGATTTGATCTCTAGTTAAAACTGCATTACCAGCGCGTCCCTTGACGTACTTTGCAAACCGCGAAAACGGACTTTTTCGTTTTTTACTCAAGGGGTTTCCGAAACTCTCCTTCCACTCTTTCACCTACAAAAAAAATTAAACTCAATTTAATTTTTAAACAGTTTAGGATAGATGTCATATTGTCTAAATAAGGATTTTCCTTCGCTAAATTTCAATAATGGATAGCAAAGATAAAGATGTTCAGGAATAAATGTCCCTTTTTAAACTCGAATAACTTGGCAATAGTGTAATGCGCGGTTGGCGTAGCGTCCTTGGATAGTGGATCGATCCGGATTGTTTAGTAAGAATGGAGCGTTGGTCTGGTGCGCATCGTGCGTTCATTATTGAGGCATATTTCATGAACAATGACACAATTAGTTTTGTGCTCACTTCAATATTAGGCGTGTGGAGGATACACCAAGTAAAAAATTAATGAAATCGTGGGTAAATAGTTTTAGAGTAACATCGTCAGCTTTAAATGTGAAACGTCCTGGTCGTCCAAGGACTGTAACTACTCCTGAGAATGTTCGTAAAACATCACAGGTGGTAGGATTGCGTAAATAATCTTTTCATACAATTTTAAGGAGAGATTTAAAGCTTCATCCCCACAAGATCCAAATAGTGCAAGAATTAAACCCAAATGACTTTATACCCGTTGTTCCTTCGTCGAAACAATGATAAACCGTTTTTTGCAAATGACCGTATTACAGTGGACCTCCGGTAATCCGACAAACATGCAGGGCAGTGTCGGACTATCGAATTTGTCAGATTATAGAGCACTGCCTGAGACCCCCTATAGTCCGGAATTTTTTACAAAAGACATCCGACAAATTACATATCCAATGATAAGATTATATATGTTATGTATATGTTTGTACTTTGAAGTACAAAAATTAAGCATAAATGCACATACATAAATGTACCAAGATAATCAAGAATTATAAGAATTATTAATCAAAATCAATAATGAATTTATCAAATTATGAAGCTTGGAAATATTCAACAATTTTTTTTTTGTTTAAGCTTGTTATAACGCGAGATCAGAGCTTTGTCCCTCAGTCTTCTCAAAAGTAAAAGTTCGTTGTAGGATGTACCATTCTCTTCAGCCCATTGTAAAGCTTGCTCAAAGGCGTTAATTGCATCTTGTGCTGTGACTTTTGGAGCAGTTGCAATCACGTCGTCTTTATTTTCCTGATTGTTTGTTGTATAATTAGAAACCTCTTTTATAATCTCTTCGTCAGACATTTCATGAAAAACATTTTCCTCTTTATCCATTCCACGGCACCAGATTTCCAAATCTTCCGGACTTATCTGTGTTTCAGTAGCGACTTGTTCTATAATTCCGAAGTTACACTGATTTGTGGAACGTTGCTAAGAGTGGTGACTATATCTGGCCATAACTTTTTCCAAGACGATTTGATAGTTTGATGATGAAAAAAAAGTCTTTCATATTAAATTCTTTTTTTTTTCTATTGGTTGGTCTTTTGATACGGCTCTCAGAAGTAGGTTTTTCTTATAGCCTTGCTTGACAAACTGAATGATATTCTGGTCCATTGGTTGAATCAGTGCAGTGCAATTTGGCGGAAGAAACATCGCAGTGATGCATTTATCCTCAGTTGTTAGTTCTTCTTCAGACGGATGACCGGGAGCGTTATCAAGAAGCAACAACGCTTTTTGAGTAAAATTATGATCTTTTAACCATTTTCTAACTTCAGGTACGAAGCATTCATCAAACCACTTTTTGAAAAGGTCTTTTGTCATCCATGCACTTTTTTGTCCGTAATAGTGTACAGGTAAATCAATGTTTTTGAATGCCCGTGGTTTATTAGATTTCCCAATGACCATCATCTCAAGCGCGTGTGTGCCCACAGCGTTAGCACATGATAGTATGGTGGTTACACGCTCTTTACTTACTTTTCGTCCAGATACGGATTTTTCGTTACAAGAAACGAAAGTTTTGCTAGGCAATACACGCCAAAAAAGCCCTAATTCGTCTGCAATGTACACCTGTGTCGGGTCAAGATTTAAATCGTTCACCTTTTGCAAAAATCTTAATTCAAAGAGCTCTATGCAGGTGGCATCGTTAGAAAGTTTTTCTCCTGTAATAGTCATTAAACGTATGCCATGACGACTTTTAAAACGTTCTAGCCATCCTTTGCTGGCCACAAAATCATCTTTTTTTGTTATTTCCTTATAAAAAAACTTAGCTTTCATGGCCAACATGGGTCCTGAAATTGGTGCATGCCTATTTCTCTCCTGAAGGAGCCACATGTACAAAGCTTCTTCTACTTCTGGATGTTCAGCTTTCTTGAGTGTCTGTCTCTTGCCTGGTCAGTAGTTCACACGAACTTCTTGATCTTCTCGTGGTTTCTTTTAATGTCATAAATTGTAGATCGGCCTACGCCGTATTCACTTGCTAAACTACTGAAAGTTTCATTGCGATTTAAGCGGTCTAAAATAACACATTTGCTTTAATTGTCAATGTTTTGTGCTTTCGCTTCTGAGTTTGTGATGACATTACTAGGTACTATACTTAATACACAATGAATAAATAGTAAACAATAAACGCACGCTAGGCCGTACCGCTATCACCAGTAGTCAAATTCAAACTAAGTAAAACAATGCTTACGCGTCGAACGCGATAGCGGTGGCGTGTACAAGTTGTAGCCTGTTCAAACCTGCGTGATCTACATTAGCGAAGATTGTCAAATACGTATGTATGTAACACATATTCAAAGACATGTCGGATTACAGGGGATGCCGGATTATCGGAGGTCCACTATAATAACATTCTGTACAGTGACGAGGCGCACTTTCACCTTTCAGGCGCAGTTAATAAGCAAAATTCTCACTATTGGGCACCAGAGAACCCAAGACAAAAACACGAAAGGCCCCTACATAGCCCAAAAGTAACTGTGTGGTGAGCAATGTCGGCTCCAGGAATTATCGGTCCGTTCTTTTTTGAGAACGAACGTGGCATAGTCCAGACTGTAACTATTGATCATTATTGTGCAATGCTTCGCGAGTTTCTGGTACCTCAGCTACAAGAATTTGATGGTTTTGATCACGAAACATAGTTTCAACAAGACGGCGCTATCGCACATACAGCCCGAGCACCTATGAAAGTCGTTCGAGGATTATTCCCGGAAAAGGTCTTTTCTCGCTTTGAAGACCTAATCTGGGCAGGTAGGTCTCCAGATCTCATCCAATTACACTTTTTTGTAGGATACCTTAAAAGTAAAGTTTATGTAAATCGGCCTATGACTTCGCAAGAATTGAAACTAAAAATACTGGAAGAAATTAGAGCAATACACCTGAATTATGTTTAGCAGTTTTTAAACACATGAAGACGGCATTGCAGGAGTGTTTCGTCCGAAATGGAAGGCGCCTCGACAATATAATTTTTAAAACATGAAATCCGCCTATATTGTGTATATTTTTGCTTCAATAAATTTTAAAACTTCAGGCTATTTTTTTATTAGCCTTTAAAAAGGGAAATTTATCATCCAAAGATGACATGTTTCATCAACTGGTGGGCAAGTTACCGACGATTTTCTCCGAATACAATATTACTTTTGCTTTCGGCGAGAATGTTCCCTAAGATTGCTTACCTTTTTAACATGCTCCTCAACCAAAGCTTGATCTGGATCATCCTTTAACTGCTGTAACAAGTCATCCTGAGTCAAGGTTTTCACGTTCTCAGACAAAAACTGTAACTGTTTCTTGTTGAGAAATTGCGCTTTTGAAATATCCATACCGTCTTCTCCATAAAGGAACTGAATCACACTTTTATCGCTGTTTCTTACGGTCATGTCATAACCAACTCTCAAGCCTTCTAAATGTTTGATTAGACATCTTTGCAGGTAACCACTACGACTCGTTTTTACAGCTGTATCTATAAGACCCTGTAAAAAAATGGAACAGAATCTAAAAAATGTTCAAAATGATTACCTCCATCCTCCAGAAATGCTCTATAATAGCGTCAGTCCCCAAAATGATAGATTCTAAAAATGCAGCGGTATGAGACCAGTAAATGTGTTACCAGACATTGACAAATTATTGAAGTCCATGGTACATTATGAATTAATGCAGTTTATAGAAGAAAAATTTTTAGTGGAAACAAAAGCTGGATTTCGCAGAAAACATTCCACAGAAACGGCTTTCCAATTGGTTATTAAGAATTTGAGTAGAGCCATAGACTCAAATGGAATTGCCATAGCAATACTTTTGTATTTGAAGTCTGCATTTGACAGGGATAATTTGTTAGATAAATTGAAGGTATATCAGGAAGCGTTTTAGACTAGGTTTAAAAATTATTTGTCTAAAACAATGCAATGTACAAAAGTTAATATCACTACTTCACCAAAAATTGAAAATTCGTTAGGTGTTCCACAGGACACTATCCTGCGACCACTTCGTTTTTTTACATAAACGATTTACCTGACATGATTTATATAAGTACTCAAAATATTCAGACTGGTTTCAAAATGTTTAGCATCTAACAAATTCAAAGTAAATACAACTAAAACGAAAGCTATGTTAATTAGAAAAAAACAATATACACATGTTCAAATAAATATTGATAGTGAAGGTATTGTATTCATAGAAAATTTTAAATACTTCGGGGGTTTTGTCGACTCTCAATCAAATTTTCATATTCATTATGAGAACATTTTTAACAACATTAGTAGTAAAGTGGGATATTTATCAAGAATTTCTGGATGTCTGAGTTCACTTAGTAGAAAAATTATCTATAATACTATCTTATTATTATATATATATATATATATAATTATATCAAATTTCTTATACTGTTCGACTATTCTATATTAACTAATAATTCCACTTATATATAATCATTTTTCACTAACCTCTCTTCCAGCCATACAGTGAAAGAAAAACTCCTGTGGTTGGATCCCAGTCATGAACCTGCCATCAATGAAACCGCCAGCTCTCGGTGAAAATTCGAAAGCCGGAAACGAAGGCAACGTTTTTCCTGATATCATCACCGGGGGACGTTTTCCCTCCAATTCAATCTGGCCCAAAAGACACGAAATCTGCATGGTGTTCACTGTGGATCCTTTGGCACCCGAAAGGACCATCAATTGGAGGTTATTTTCTGGGAATTTGCAGATTAGACCAGCTGGAAGGCACGCCCTGAAATAGGAAATGCAATTGGTACTAGTAAAGTTGAATGATAATAATATCAATAATTTATTGGTGCTATCGCACAGCAAATGTGATTGCACAAGTCAGCTGAAGTAGAACATGAAAGAGTGATTAAAACCAACAATCAATACGTAAATGACACATAAAAAACACAAAATGGCAATAAAAAGTAAAAAAAACTGATGAAAGCAAAGTTAAAATTTAGATGAACAATAAATAGGGTTTGTTAAAAAATTATTAAAGGGACTAATTACAATAAAAATTATGCCAGGCCGAAAACTCTGAAGTTACAGAAGTCTTCTAGTTTTGTCAAATTGTTCAACCTCGAGTGATTTTATTTTATTTGGCAATAGGTTGTAGGATTTTAACCTGTGGTAGTTAATACGATTTATAGTTTTGGAAATTTTTCCATTACCCTTGAACACTTTTAAATTCGAACACTGGTTAATATTATCATTCAATTTATTAAATTCAAGTAGATTGAGGATTACATAAAATTACCTATTGATATCATTAGTATAGCTGTCCAAAGAAGACTTGTATTGCCTATCAATAACAGCTCTTATCTTTGAATTAGTAGATTCTCTTTTCTGAATTTCTTCAACTATTTGCTCTACAGGTGTATCAGGTGGAATGCCTAGAGCAGCTGTAACAGCTTCAACACCTAAAAAAACAAATCAAATATTTTAGAAAAAAAAAACCTTCTATACAAACAAGAAGTATAAATAACTAACCTATTTGTCTAGCTTGATTCATAACTCTCTTCCTCTTGGCATCAGCTTTTTTCACAGTCAAAATGTCACGAACGCCCAAAGTGAAACTATCTTGCTGTAAGAATCTTGTGAATATTTTTGCTAGAGATGACAAAAATCTTGTAGCACATACTCCTCCATATAACTGAAATAATAATAATAATATATAATTGTATCAACAATAGTCCAATTTTTCGTTTATTTAAAACTTGGTTACACCAAATTCTTAAATATGGATCCATCTTACATTTCTGAATGAAAATTTCTCATTAGCTGTATTTTTTTTCTACTGACTAATTCAAGTTTTCTTTGAAGTTCTTTGATATCAACAAATTTGTCCGCCATTCTATGTAATATTAAAATGTGTTTTTTGCTGGCTTCTGTCATGATTGAAATATGTATATTGATCCACCGTATAAATTAGTTGGTGCTTCGTGATAGACAGCTGCAAAATCTCTATCAGAGTCCATGAAGGTATGTCCTACTACAGGGAACTTATGCTAAATTTTTTTGAGCACTCCAAAGATTATAAGATAGTGCCATAGACAGACAATATAATTTTTGTTATTTTGGCCACCTGCCGAATCACGCCATGCAATCAGATGATCGGAAGCCATGCTTTGGTCCTTGATATTTTCCAAAAAGGCCATAAGTGAGCTGCCAATCTCTTCAGGACCGCGATTTCCTTGGTCTTCGGTCCAGACGTGGAAAAAACCTTTACCATTTGGTTGCTGTGTTGATATCAAATGTATTGCTAGATTGTAGAGCCATACTTGTAAAAAAAAGAGTTTACTTGTAGAAATTTTCGGCAAGGGAAGCGTTTTTTTTTTGTAAATTAAATTTGAGGTATATGATTTTTTCGTTTGTTTTTCCTATTCCTCGATCAGATTTTTGTACGTCAAAAGCTTTTTTATAATTTTCAACATGCTCCTCATAATAACCATGCATATAATAAATAGTGGTGGACCCAGTTTACTACCTTGCTGTTTTAATACTTTCATGCTAAATTCTTCACACATGCTATTCACGTTTTATATTATTTTTATGTACTCATACTGGCCTATAATGAAACCTTACCTCATACATACAATGTACAAGACCATATGGTGTCGCTCCATAGTGACTTTTGTCCAATATTCCAACCAAAAGCTCACCATTTCGTATTATAACTTCTGCTTCACTCATGGTATTTGGATTTGAAAACAACGTTCCACCACCCATCCAAGGTCTGGGATATTCAGATTGCCAAGCCTAAAAAATGACGTCAAGTAAGTTGAGTCTGTAGTTACCAAGCAACGCTTTTATCAGTCCACAAAGTATTATGTTCGACTCAAATTATCAATTCTGAGAAAAAAGTTAGCTGTGAACATCTATAACAAGAATTTTATCTGGGAGAAAGTCCTGCGGGCGCACCTGATCGTTGCTATTACTAGTGATTTGGGTGTCCCAAAAAAAGTTCTTTTTTTTAAACGCATAACCTCTAATTTTGCTTCAATTGCTTCAACAATGCCAAAACAACTGTAAATAAAGCTTTATGTACATAGAACCAGGGCTACCCGTGTCGAGTTGCGTTGGAACATGTCAAAACTTGCATATTAGGCGCGCGCTAGCTAACGTATTGCAGTGCTCGTTTGTTCTATTAATAAACGCACTGTTTTCGTTCAGTCAACATGTCGAAGAAATTACGCAGGTCTAAAAAGGGAATATTTTTAATAGGGGACACAAAGCATCAAATTAATGGTTCAAATCTTCCTTCTAATGGACAAGTATACATTAAAAATAGCGTTACTAAGTTCCCAGCTCAAACTTCCTAATAAGGATAAGATAGCTTTGTTAGATATCTGCCTGTTCATCATGACAACTTATGTGAAACGGTGGTTGCAATGCACTTTAGCGGTAAAATCACCTAACCAGGATTCATGGTTTTTAAAGGCAATCAAGGGTTACGGAAGAATTGACAAAACTATTAAAAAAATGGCTTTACAAAAGTTATGCCAACATTTATGGTATATGACAGATGAGGTCTCTGTCTTATCTCTGTTTGACGAAGACGTAACATAGATGAGAAAACTAAAGTAAACACTGTTGCTAATTTAGCCTAAGAAAGTCCATCCTGACTGTAAAAAGAAAACTTTGAAGAAAAATTCAGTAAATCATGTTATTTTAATGTAAATATCTAAAAAATAGAAGATACAAATAAAGCAGTGTTTTATTTGTCAAATTCAAAGTTTGATCGCACGGGTTATCATTCCCCGATTGCAATTATATTTATTTTTTGACTTGTTAGAGTGAAATGGAAGAAATAGAGGATATTCGTATCTCAATTCGAACAACAATTTGTTTGCCCTTATAGGCTGGGACACCCTGCTAATGATTCTTTCTCTTTCTTGTAGAAAGGTATATAACAAATAGAAAAAATAATGCAAAAAGAACGATTCGAGCAGAAACTAGGATAGGTAAACCATGCAATACGTATTTTTGATTGTTAGCTTCATGAGGCCCGAAATGAATGCACATATGCAACTACAAAAGTATACACATATTAAAATACATCCGGATACGGGTGTAACCAGAAAAAACGAAGGTGGAGAGCGAACAAAGCGACACACGAAGCTACCAACAAGAGCCAGCCTACCCGTTGTAGTATAATGACCAGAAGACCTCGCGTTTTCAAGGCGACATCTAATCACAACCACGCGGCCGGTTATAGCGACTTGCCCAAAGGATCTACAAAAAGGATGATCCTTTCCTTTTTGTAGCTCCTTTTGGCTTGAAGTACCACCTTTTTTTTAAATTTGTAGTTATGGGAATATTACAAATGTTACCTTGGCTGGAATTTTTGACGTGGCAGTAAGATTTATCAATCCCTTTCCACTTGGAATTATGTTGATAATAACCGTAGAGAGAAGCTGCTTTCCAGACCACAACATCACTGGTTTAATAATTGCTGGTTTCAACAAAATTATATTACTCGTTTTAAATGATAATGCTTGGTAAACCAACTGATGATAATCTTCCCTAGAAACGTAAGTAGTAATCAGTGAGGCATTAAGCACAAAAAATGTAATTCTTATTATCAAATATCTGAAGAAAAAACTCACTTTGTGAAGAATCGCCCTCTTACAGATAATCTTGCTCCAGCTATCATGTGATCCTGGATAAGACCACTGAGAGGAGTGCCATCCTTTGGAACCAGGTATTGATTAGCAACGTTTACTGGAATAAATTTGAAAAGGAATATTATAGAACTAAACTCTCTGGCCGAATCCGCAATGGCCTTTTTCAAGTACAATGGAATATTAAATACAACGTAGCGTTCGATTGAGGATGAACCACGAAGTCGGCTTTCATCTTCAAGAACCGATGAAAATTGCAGAACCGGGATCTTGTGCGTTCAGATCGTCGACGTCGGTTGACAGTCAGAATGATCGGGGAAGAGTTTATTTTGACTCACGCCACCGTTCATTGTATCAAGAACAACTGGGTGTTGCATCACGAAAATCTGTTTGTCAAACAGCGATGTCCATAAACGAGTTCTTGGCCCGTAAAACATTCCTGTGGCTTATCAGTCTCCTTATTCATCTGACTTGAGTCCTTGTGACTTTTTTCTTTTCTCAACGTTGAAAAATCACCTCAAGGGAACAGTCGAAAACATTCAAACAGCTGTAACCGACCAGCTGAAGGCTATTTTAGAATCGGAGTTCCAGCACTGCTATGAGGAGTGGAAGAACCGTCTCCAGCGCTGTGTGGCTTCAGTAGGAAATTATTTTGAGGGTGACAATATATAATTGTAATTATATTTGAATAAGAAACTTAAAAATAAATCAATCTCATCACTTAATTTAAAGACCTCGTATACTAATATATTACTGAGTAAACTAGCTCATTTGATTTGTTTGCTTTTTGACTGGGAAATGGAAGGGGTCTCGCAAAGCTGATGTCGCCGACATCCATATATGGTCTATGACAATTAATGGGAGAAGTTTTAAATATCTGAATTATAACTGTAGTTTGAAGTGAAGTGTAGTTCCAAGTTTGCTTTAAACCATACCATATGATAATATTTATTTTTATTATATATTATTTTATAGACAGTGTAAATCAAACAGTGGAGACGATTGATGGTGGTGAAACTTATGTTTATTACAAGTATATCATAATTCATCAATCAATTTAGGACAATGAACATCAACAATCAAAGCAAAGCTATCTCAAAATTGAAATCTAATAAAAGTCCAAGCGAGAATCGCTAAAAAAAGATTCTATATGATTGTTTGGAGAAAAATTATTATTATTATTGGTGAATCATTATTTAGTACATGGTTAATTCCCATCAAAATTAAAGTGTTACTCCTCCGCCAAAAATTCAAGGTTCTGAGCTATATACAGGGTGCGGCAGAGAGGACGGACGTTTTTGGGATGGGTAGTACTCTCCGCCTCCGTCTACGAGAGAGGTGGGGAGGGTGCCGTTTGACTCGTGAGATCCTAGCATTATTTTACCAGTTGTCGTTATGGAGCCTTGGACGGTAGAGCACCGCGTTTTCGCCTAGGATTGTTTCGTCCGAAATAATGAGTCAGTCATCGTCTTACAGCGTGAGTTTCGTCGCCACTTCAACATTCATCGGAATAGAGCTGTTCCCTCTCGAAACACCATCCTTCGTTGGGTTGAATCACTTCGCAGGCGTGGTGAACTGATCAACAGAAGACCAAGAGGGGCGCCGCGAACAGTTCGAACTCCTGAAAATGTTGAATGCGTTCGACAGGTCTTTCTTCGCAGTCCGACTCGATCTGCCCGGAAACATGCTGCTGCACTTTGCCTTAGTGATCGTTCGGTAAGGCGAATTTTGCATATGGATCTCCGCTATCACCCCTACAAATTGGCCATTGTGCAACAGTTACAGCCCGAAGATTATGCACAACGAATGAACTTCGCACGTGAGATGGAAGCACTGATCGATCAAAATGAGAACCTCATTTTGTTTATGAGTGACGAAGCCCACTTTCACCTAAACAGCATGGTTAACCAGCACAATTGTCGTTATTGGGCTAATGAAAATCCGCAACAGTTACACGGAAGACCGCTGCACAGCCCAAAAGTAACGGTTTTGTGCGCTGTATCGCAAACTTGCATCATTGGCCCTTACTTCTTCGAAGACGGTAATGGTCGTGATGTTACCGTGAACTTAGAGCGCTACGTCGACATGATCACCAACTTCTTTCTCCCTGAATTACGACGGCGACGTGTTCCAATCCGACATGTGTGGTTCCAGCAGGATGGGGCGACCGACCACACAGCCCGAGCATCCATGGACGTTATTCGCCCTCTCTTCCCTGGTCGCCTTATTTCCAGGTTTGGCGATGTTCATTGGCCTCCTCGGTCCCTAGATTTATCCATATGCGATTTTTTCTTATGGGGACACCTCAAGGCTAGAGTATACGCGAACAAGCCCCGAACTCTGGACGAATTGAAGGGCGAAATTCGCGTGGAAGTCGCCCAAGTTGAGAGAGCGATGTTGGAGAGAGTCTACGCGAACTTCCAAGAACGCTTCCAGGACTGCATCAACGATTTCGGCCACCACATGCCCGATGTGATTTTCCACACTTGACTGTCTCAAATGCTATTTCCTTGTGAACCTGATTCCATCAATAAATTTGTTTTCGAGTAAAAATTAACTATTTTATGATTTTTTTAAAACCATCCATCCTCTCTGCCGCACCATGTACGAATTCGTGTTTTTAGTATATGGACAAATTGCAGCTAGCGAGGGAACTGATAAGTATGTCAAGACAGGAACTTTCTAATGAACATTTCTTACCTATATTGTATCCCTCACTCCTCGCCAGTTCATTTTGGGCAAAATGAGCGTTCATCTCGTCCCCATCGAAATCAGCATTGTAAGCCTTACAATTAGCATAATGCAACCTCAATGTTTTTTCTCCTTTTAAAATGCGTGCTGTATGGGCCATTATACTAGGTTTGTGAAGCGTAGGTTGGCGATTCAGCAACAGTACGTCTCCATTGCAAAGATGACGATGGACCTGGTAGGAGTAGATAGATAAATCTGATTTATTGTCTGTAGAATACAATCGTTCTTAATGACAAAGCAAAAACAAAACTATAACATAATAGGCTATTTGACTAATTTTGCAAAATCATTTTAAATTATTCTTTTATATATAATGAGCACACTACATGAATATTTCCTGAAAATCTATACTATTTTTAATAGAAATCAAATTTAAAGTTTGAATTTTTAGAACCGCGCCAAAAACGCTATTCCTGTGATGGCGCCGGCAGATGACGTCTGTGACGTCACGCGCCAGTAAACACGATTACGAGCTGTCAGCCGAAGTTAATTTCTGTGCTTGATTTTGCTATAAAATCATAGATAAAATGGTCTATAAATGGTGTGTAGTGCCAAAATGTACGAATACGTCTATAAATAGTCCACAAACATTGTTTGTTTCTGTTCCAACCGATTGTAAAAGACGAAAAAAGTGGTTACTATTAGCTCGGAGAGACCCAAAGGGCATTTCATCGACTTCAAATGTATTTATGTGTGAAGATCACTTCGATGTAAGTATAAATTGAATATGTTATCTACTAGGTAGCTTAAATTACCGCTTTTTTAAGATTGAAATAATATATAACTATCTATAACCTCAAATGTATCTTTGGTTATGTTGAGGATAAGTCAGTGTTGAGGATCAAAGATCCTGTTTATTAACCCTAAACTTATTACTCTGTAGGGTTTCAAAATGTTTTCTGTTGTTGTGATTATATTAGCTACCTACATATCTCAATAATTTTCTATGCTGTGTCATTTTACCTACTTTGCTTATTAGATAGTGATAGTTATGTTGAATTGCAGATGGAAAAAGACACCATTAACTACATGCAGTACAAAATGGGTTTCAGAAAGAAGATACTTTTGACAGAAGATGCTGTGCCAACAAAATTTCATTGTCAAGAAGATCGTAAAAGACCACTGTCTGATGCTGGACTTTCTCGAGGAGCATATGTCAAGAGGAAAAGAATGGATTTGGTCAACACATGTTTGCAAAGTCAAAATGCTACTGAAGCCCAAGCTGAAAGCTTACAAAAAGATGAGAGTTTGATACAAGACATTATTGAACCTCAAGGTATGTAATCTATTACATGTGTCCTATCATAAATTATAGTCTAAGAGCTGATAGACATTTTTGTAACCTATTTCAGGCCTTATAAAAACTTGTCTACTACTTCTTCCATTATTTCTGAATAAAAAGGGCAGAACTGAATAACATATTTGTAGCACATTGAGATTTTCACAGAATAATATTTATGGTTTAAAATTGATATATTCAAAGTGATAGGTCATTTTAATGGGACATTTTACTTGCTAGGTGATCAAGAATGCTCAACTTGTACTTCAGGTAATGGGTAATTTTCTCTCAAGCTGTTGATGTTGTGATTCACTACCCCTTATCCAGCACTGCACTTTTTCTTCAGTGATAATGGTAGTAGGAAGTAGTAGACAACTTTTCATAGTGCCTTAACATAATCATTTACATTGAAATTAAGACATTAATTTTGAGTCTTTGTTCTTTCAGGTTTATCAAGAACTCAAGACAGAGAAACTATTACCAACTCTATCATAACTGCAGAAAAATCTGTGCAAGTAACAATAAAAGAGAATGTGCATCATAGGAGCAAATCTGTGCAAACAAGATGCCAGACTACAAGTATTTCTACCTCACCAATGAAAGTTTCTACAACATCTCGTTCCACTTCGCCCTTTAAGATTAAACCATGCAGTCTTCGACCATCACAGTCTGAAATTGTCAAAGCAGTCAAGAGAAATGTTTTTCTTGAAGATGAAAAGTCAGATAGTGATATTTCCTGTATTGAAAGTGGTCGTCATTTATCACCTTTTGTAACTAAATCAGCATCATCATCATCAGGGCTTACGGACTCTGATAGTAATGTTACAGATGCCAATGAGAATATTGAAAAATTAGAGTGCCTCAAAATTACTATGCGTTCAATCTCTAAAAAACCAATGATGTATGTTGGTATTCCAAAAGAATGTTATTTCTTAATCAAATTGTTACATAAACACACAAGCATAAAAGTAGAACACATTTTGCTATGCTTGAAAAAGATTAGAATGAACAGTACATTTTCTGAACTGGAGGATAATTTTGGAATATCATTATCTTATGCTAGTAAATTGTTTCTACAAAATATACCAATAATAGCTAGTGTTTTAAGACCATTCATTGTAAATATAGATAAAAAATTGGTAAAAAAAAATCTTCCTATTTCATTTAGACATAACTATCATAATGTCAGTTGCATCATAGATTGTTTAGAGATTGATATACAAAAACCATCAAAGGCTCTTCATCAGTCATTGACGTGGTCAGAGTACAAAAAGGGGAATACTGTGAAGTATTTAGTATCCTGCACACCTAATGGGTTAGTTAATTATGTTTCGCATGGGATTGGGGGCAGAACCAGCGATGCCACAATAGTAGAAAATTGTAACTTTCTAGATGGATTACCTCAAGGATCCTGTTGCTTAGCTGACAGAGGCTTCAAACACCTTGAACAAATACTTCATGAAAAGGGACTAAAACTATTAAGGCCACCCAGTGTAAATGCTGGTGCAAAGTTGTCAAAAACTGAAGTTCGACAAACTAAAATAATAGCTAGTTTGCGGATTCATATTGAAAGGGTAATAAGGCGTTTGAGAGAATTTCATATTTTAAAGCAACATTCAGTGATAAATACTAACATACGTCGTGTACTTGATCATGTCATTATAATTGCATGTGCTCTAATAAATTTGCAAGATTCTCTTATTAAATAATGGGTTTTTGCCTGTTATGATACTTTATACTTAATTATTATCATGTAATCTCCTCTTTTGTGACATACCATTTGAACTTTGTGTTTTGTACTTGGCTGAATAAATACTTCTACTACTACTACTATAAATAAAGAAATAAATGATGTAAAACCATGAATAAAATGATAATAAAACAAGAAATATGCACTGCATAGTTTTTTATTTGATAATCACAGACTAGTGCTACGATACAAAATAGGATATATATTTTTTTTCCAAAAAATATACAAGTTTTTTATTAAGTTGTTGACATAATCATCTTCGTACTTCACTAGAATAATATCTACATTTTTTGTTTCTTCAAAGTTGCTATCAGCAACACAAAAATAACATTTTTTCATACCAGTTGCATGCATCTGTAATTGAACCTGTGCCTTACATTTCTCTGAAATAGTTCCATTTTTTAAATAATTGTTCTTAGCTTTTGCTTTGGTAGGGCATTTTATTTCAACAATGGCATCTTTCAATAAACCATCAGGAGATGCTGCAAGAATGGGATTGTCTTGGCATACATAAAGTCCACATGTTCTGATTTTTTTGTTCAATGTTGTACTAACTGTCTTCCGGACAGATAGCTCCAAACTTCTACCTCTTTTCATTGCAATAGTATCTGGTATTTTTGCGCCCATTATAGTAGCAACCAATGAACCATCAGGTGTATGACATACGCTCACTTCATGTGCCTTTGAAGCTGTGATACGGCCATACCTCATCTCATACCACAAGCTGCTCTTGTACTGCATTCTTGTTGCTTCTTCAATTGCACTGATAGCAGCTCTGTTGAATGTTGTCTTCATTATGTCTACAAGATTGTCTACGTCTGCTTGAATTTTTGGTGGTTGGTCCATTATGAAACAGTGCAGCGAATACCGCATAACATTTGAGTGTTTAAAATCGTCCTGATATTTTATCAATTCGCAGTGTTGAAGTTTTCTTTTTTTGGCTTCCAAAACAAAGTCTGTGTAAAGTGCTGATGTACTTGGTCTGTGTGGTACTTCCTTTTTCGACATCTGCTGCACAGTGATGTACTTCAGAGTAGTCCCTACTCTTGACAATGTTGGCTTTTTCCAATAACATTCCACCGAAGTAGATGGAGGTTCCTCACTGCGCCGATGTACCCACATCAAAAAAGCGACTGCATGCTTGCATCCTCCTGCTGAAGCAGCACAGTCATGGCACTGACAACTTATTATCTCGCTTTCATTTTCGTTGATAACCATTGTCACATTATAAGCTTTTGATCTCACTTTGTGCTCTGGGCACATTTTGCACTTAAGTGTGCAAAGTCCATGCTCCCGGTGCAGCTGCACATAGCCAATTGCATCGTCTCCGTAGGACTCCCTTCCAGACCTGTAAAACAAAAGCAAAACATGAAAGTATGTTTTATTCATGAAACCATATATGAACCATATTATCATATTGAACTGAAAGCTTTTTTCATTACATCAACATAACCTAAAATAAGATTGATTTTACAAATCTTTTAATGATCATACATAAAGGTTAGTAGGTATAAATAAATACTTTCTATTACTACTTACATTGTTGTTTTCACATGTTTGAGTTCCGCAGCATAGTAGTCCGCATTATTTTTGAAGAAAAATGCTACCATTAATGCGTCAACCTTAGGTAGATTGCTGTTATCAGCTTGCACAAAATTTAGGTCCATTTTGAAGTCCACAACGAATAATGATGTCAATAGTTGAAAGATTGATCAAGAAAGTAATAAAAATCTGTTTATGAAATAGAATTATGATAGAATATCTCACAGAAAGCCAGCAAAAACGTACAACGCGATGTTTGTTTACTTGCATGTGACGTCACCAGAGTCGCAGCCAATCGCAGGGCGTTTCTGTGACCCATCGAATTTTTAAAAATAGCTGATTTTTATTTGATTATTTCCCAAAAAATATACATATTTAGGTGTACATTAAAGTACTATGTGTTTTCTTATTCTACTATCTAATAGGATGACCACAATTCGCAACTTATTTTCAATACTGTCAAATAGCCTATTACATATGTGGATCTTACGTAGGTAAAATGTAGAACTCACACATGGTTGCATATTAAAGTTTCAAGGCGAAATATCTTCCTTAGTTTCAAAACTGATTGAATACAGAAGTTTCAATCTCTAGAGCAGCGACGAAATCATTTTAGTCAAATTGTTGCGTGGGCAAATAGACTGTCCCCAAATTCTCTCGCAGTTACAATTTCTGGGGCTTGTGCTCGTTTTTTATGCCAAAGAGTACATTATTATCAAAAACACCAGTTAACATGATGTGTAACAATGCCAATATAATTGCTAACGACTGTGACATTTTTGGTTGCAGTTTTAATGAGATAAAGAATAAATCACGTTTTCTAAGTTAAATTTACCATTTTGTGTGTGTAGATAAACTTCCCACAACGAATTTATCGAAAACCACTGATTAAAAGAAAAAACGCCTAGATACGTCAAAAGATCCAAGGATGACAACTTTTTAACCAAAAACTGCTTCAAACCCTTTCACCCTCAGGTAATAGCCTGTTTAAAAGGTCTTTCGATGTCCTTTATATGCTTTAATCGTATGGAAATACCTCTGGGCTAACTTTTATTTTTATAAATTGCTGTATTATTGGCGATAAGCTGTTGAGCAATGCAGGCTTATTATTATTATTAAATTGTTAGTTCTTTTGATAGCATCAGGGAGACACATGTAAATGTTCAGACCATTATGAATTATTGAGTCCTTTACAAGTTTTGATTTAGGTACTACTAATTTAAAATCTTGTTTACGTTTAATCTGTACAATTCAAATGCTTTTAGAAATGAGAGTTGCAGTTTCTGAAATGAACAACGGTAAGATGGTCATTATTTTAAGATTTATAAATAAAGTCCTGCATGTAGCTCTAGAATTACTTTAAGAAGTGTATACCAAATGCTATACTGCTTGAGGCTGTGCTTTTTCCTGGATTGTAACTAATTGTTTTTATCATTTGCCAATTCAGTTATCTTTTTTTCTCAATTTTCAGAAGAATCGTCAGGGAGAATGTCAGGCTCCGTAATGGAGATGTTCGGCCTGATGAGTTCCATAAGTGTTCCCGACAGCAACTCCACCAACGGCGGGTCGATGAACTGCAAATTTTCAAAGTTCCCTTGAATGAAGTATGTGCATACTTACTATCTTTACGCTTTTTGATCCCTTGTCTCTATCATCAGGTGTAAGCAATAGCTTCAAAAGACTTTTCTGCTGTGTCGCATTATTCGGATTAATTTTTTTCGAAATTCCGTTATATTCTATCATTACAGCTCTGAAATAAAAATACAAATTCTTCAAGAACCAAATCGAGTGCGTAGATTCCGAATCCAACGTTATTGTGACGTTAGGTCAACACATTTTACATTATGTTTCGTTGAAATATAGAATCTACATTAAGATTCGAACATCTTTTTTTATATAGAAGCAGCCGCGCCTAAATACCATGGCTCCGCGGCTGCAATGGGGATCTTGAAGAAACTTTGTTAATCCGATTTTTTAACTACTAGCATTAGTAGAACTGTGAAAAGCCTGCTCGGGTACATTGTTCCACACTCTCGATAGCCTGGGTCAAAGGAGCAGTCGTAACGATCTCGATCGGCACGGTTAGAACGGTAGACCCAAGTCAGGCGGGTCTGTTTGGCAGGGATCGCGCGGCGGCATCATGGAGGAGAGCTCTGAGAAGCAAAGCCCGTTTGGAGCAGTTTTGTAGTCGGAGCGACAGCACCCCAAACATATGAGCAATTCTCGAACTAGGTCTTATCTGGATCGTGTACAGAGTGAGGAAGTCGTGTGGAGAAAAGTACTTCTTGGCCCTAAACAAATTGACGATATGTGTTCGTGACAGATCAAGTGCACGGTGATCTGGACTCCGACCAGCCAAAATGAACGGCTCTTTGGTAGGACTTCTTGTTCGTCAATGTACAATATTGTGTTTTGAAAGCATTAAACTCTGCCAGATTGTTCCGTCTCCAAGCAGTGATAACCACCAGGTCTCTAATCAGAGACGAAGTTCCTGCTAGTCGCCTTTCGTGCAGCTCACCAGCAGAGATCGGCTTGTCACTATGAATTCCTGCATGTAGACTGTCATCAGCTTGATCGTACAGGACGAGAGGTCGTTGATATGTAAGAGGAACAATGTCGGATCCAAGACCGATCTCTGGGAAACACTCACTTTGACATTGTGACGTAAAAAGGAGAGTTTGTCAATTATGACGGATATCTTGCGGCCTGAGAAGAAGTCAACCACCCATCTGGATATCTTATCTTGGAGGCCATAGTTTACCCTATTTTTCTATAAAATTATCATACCCAGGATGAACGTTCGGCCCATTCAGAACCATCTTCCGCAATTCCTCAACATTCCATGGAGTCACAGCTACAGGGTAAGTCAAACGTTTAGCAAACGCCTCAGGAATACCAATTTCGTCGATATTCAAATTTGGATCGGGCGTGATGACAGAACGTGCTGAAAAGTTCACTCTCTTGCCCATCATGCACATACGGATTATTCCTTCTTTCTTTTCTATTATCTGAAAATAAGAGATCATTTATTTATTAATGTTACTAAAAAGTTTTTGAAGAAATTATTTACGAACAGATCATCGAATTTATTGAGGGAAATAACATTTTAACCAAATTTCAAGCTGGATTCAGGAAGAAACACTCAACTGAAACGGCAACGCAAATGGTTTTAGAGGACTGGAGGAGATGTATGGACTATAGGAAACATACAGTAACAGTGTTTTTGGAGTTCAAAAGGGCGTTTGAGACTATTAACAGGGATAAATTACTTACAAAATTGCATCACTACGGATTTAAAGGATCTGTATTCAAAATTCCACAAAACTATTTAATTGGCAGAAGTCAAAAAACCAAAATTGGATCTACATTATCAAGATCAAAAAATATGTGGTAGTAAACTGGGTGCACTACTATTTATTTTATACATTAATGACATTTGTAATATTTTAGATTATTGTAAACTTCAGATATTTGCAGATGATACAGTAATATATATGTATATATATATATATATATATATATATATATATCAGATGAAAATATAGACACTGCTTTAAAAATGGTAAATTCTGACTTGGCAACAATCGTAAATTGGTTAAATGTAAATAAACTAAAATTGAATACTTCTAAAACAAAATGTATGCTAATAGGGAAATACCTAAATGAAAATACTATCACAGTTAGGATAAATGGAGAAATAATTGATAATGTTGAATCAATTAAATAATTAGGTATATATATAGGGTGTTTCATTTTATTGTTGCATAACTTTAAGGTTCGATAGAACTTTTAAAATTAATGCATAAAGTCTATATAAACATGGGTCGAAAAATGGGTGGCTTCCGAAATACAGGGTGTTTAAATTTACTTTCTAAAATAGCTTTTTTAAATATTTCGAACAATATTTGATGTATAACAGTGGGAATTGGTATACAAGGGTTTTTTGGTACGATAAAACGAACCATGTGCATAGTTTTACTGTAGCCGCTAGAGGGCGCTCTCTACTGTACCTGTAGTGTATTAAAATGACCGAAAAAATTTTCTTAGTGCAATTTTTTGCTTATTGAATAAAAAAACTGATTATTCGCACTTTTCAACATAAAAAAGCTCTCTTGTGAATTTTCGTTATAGTTAGCCGTTTTTGAGATATTTCGATTTTTAAGGTTCGATGCATTTTTAATTATTTATGATAAAATAACGTTAAAAAGTCAGTGTCTCGATAATTTTTAGAAGTAGGCTGTGCCTGCAATAATTTTTGAAATTGAAAGCAGAATAAGGTTAAACGTCAATTAGTTGACAGTTAGTTTTGTTGTCTGTTGAAACCTGAAACGTTTTTTTGCAATTGTGAATGCACGAAATTTAGTTTCTTTTACCTGTTTTTTTTTTGTAAGTTTTATAAAAACGCCATTTTTATTCTCCAATCAAGAGTTGGCGGATATTCATTTTGTGTATGGCTTTGTAAATGAAAACGCAGCAGAAGCAGCCAGAGAATACACACGAAGATTTCCAAACAGACGACATCCAACTCGCTCAGTATTTGTAAGAGTGCATCGCCAAATAATTGAAAATGGTTTTGGAAATCTCCAAAGGGATCAAAACATAAATGTTCGTCAGCGCAGATTTACCCGTATGATTCTGCGTGAGTTTGATAGAGATCCGACCACAAGTGTTAGGAGAGTTTCTGGTGCCTTGGGAATTTCAGCAAGCCATGTTCACCGTATTCTTAGAAATGACCATAGACGTCCTTACCATTTGCAACCTGTGCAAGGACTACAGCCAGGGGACGTAGAACGAAGAATCACATTTTGTGAGTGGATTCTTGATAGAACTGATAATAATAGGGAGTTTTTAAGTAACGTTTTATGGACCGATGAGTCATGCTTCACTAGACGTGGAGTGGTAAATTTTCATAATCAACATATTTGGTCGTATGAACATTTTCAGCATGAATTTAGTGTGAACATGTGGATTGGTATCTACCGTAATCGACTATTTGGACCCTACCGTTTGCCTGCAAGGTTAAATGCTGCGACCTTCTTGGAATTTTTAAAGGCTGAACATGCAAATATGTGGGATGATGTTATGTTAGATTTAAGAAGATTGGCCTGGTTCCAGCTTGATGGTTGTCCAGCTCATTATTCGAGAATAGTTAGAAACTGGCTGGACGAAAATTATCCAGAAAGATGGATCGGCCGTAGAGGACCAGTCGCCTGGCCTCCACGATCCCCTGACCTAAATCCATTAGATTTCTTTGTGTGGGGATTTCTAAAAGAAAAAGTGTACCAGAGTCCCGTAACCACAAGAGATATGCTAATAGACAGAATCAGGAATGCATGTGATGAAATAAGGCCTTATTTGAATAATGCCATACCACGTTCGATCATTCGTAGATGTGAATTGTGTATTGAACAATTGGGTTTACATTTCGAGCAACTACTTTAGATTTTGTATGTTTGTCCTAACTATCCAATAGCATTTTAGTTATAAATAATTAATTTAATTTGTTAAAAATAATATTGGAAAATTAAAGAAATTAATATTCTGTTTTTTTGTGTTTATTTGGAGTTAGGAATTATTGTTGTGTTTAAAAACACAATCTAAACGATCATCTTAATTACTTGTAATGCCAAAATCGAAAATGTAAAAAAAATATTATTTTCCCATAAATAATTAAAAATGCATCGAACCTTAAAAATCCAAATATCTCAAAAACGGCTAACTATAACGAAAACTCACACTTTATGTTGAAAAGTGCGAAGAATCAGTTTTTTTATTCAAAAAGCAAAAAATTGCACTAAGAAAATTTCGGTCATTTTAATACACTACAGGTACAGTAGAGAGCGCCCTCTAGCGGCTACAGTAAAACTATGCCCATGGTTCGTTTTTTCGTACCAAAAAACCCTTGTATACCAATTTCCACTGTTATACATCAAATATTGTTCGAAATATTTTAAAAAACTATTTTAGAAAGTAAATTTAAACACCCTGTATTTCGGAAGCCACGCATTTTTCGACCCATGTTTATATAGACTGTATGCATTAATTTTAAAAGTTTTATCGAATCTTAAAGTTATGCAACAATAAACTGAAACACCCTGTATATATATATATTGATAGTAAACTAAAGTTTGCGGATCACTATGAATACATTATTTCAAAAATTGTCAAAAAAACAAATTACATTTATAGGGATTCTCATAGTCTTGGTACCTATTAAAAGAAAAGAGTTTATAATACAATTATTCTACCGCATTTACTATATTGTTCAACTATCTTGTTCAGCTGTTTTCTCAAAATTACTATTCTTGCAAAATAAAGCTATGAGGATAATATTGACCAAAATAAAATCTATGTTACAAGAATTGCAGTGGTTGAATATAAAAAATTTCATATCATATTTGGTTCTTATTTTTATATTTAAAATAAAAAATCATCTCTACATAGAATTGAATAATCATTACCACAATTATTATACAAGAGAAAATATAGATTTTCATTTACAAAATTGTAATAGTAATATAACTAGCAAATCATTTCAGAAAGGATTATTTGAATTTAATAAACTAGATAATAATATAAAGTCTATTTGTAGGAATATTTCATGGACAGTGAAAATTCTTAGAGATGCAAATTTTGTTTTTTTGTATAGATATCTGTATATTATGTAATTGTTTAGTTTTTTTGAAGAATGTAATTGTAGCAATCATGCTAAATAAATCTTAAACAAACAAATAAACTATTACTTATTATTATTAAATATAAAATACTGAACAGACAATGACCAATATAACTATCCCTATTATACGAGCCCCTTCCCACTTCAGTTGGCCCAACTATTGAAATCTTAGTTTTTTTCGTATCAAACACAAATAATAAAAATGTAGCAGGGTGTTATAGGTTTGAAATATTAACAATGAATATGTTGATAATATAGAGTAGAAAACGAACTTTATCACTCCCTAATCAAATTTGCAGCATAAAAATAACATGTTGCAATTACAGCAAATCAACCTATTTTCATTTCAATGCAAAATAAGTCTATAACGCATAGGTGGCTGTGAAAAATAAAAGCCAAGACAATTGTTTTTATTAATCACAGCTGTCAGAATACGTTTAAAATAGTTTTGGGTAGTTAAGGCCCGTATCGTCAGTCGTCCCTACAATTGTAGGGCGCGTTTATGGCCTCCTTGATTGTCATACTCCTTTCCCTCCTTCGAAAATTTCTAGATTACACTTGTCCCGTGTCAGCGTCAGCGCTCTCCTATTGTGAAGATATGTTTTCTTTTTAAATTGTAGGAAATTTCAGGCTGATAAAACAAGATATAGATCAAAAGCAAGCACAATTTGATGCAATTAGATTTTTGTGAGATAACCTCAAAATATAGCGCTGACAGGGAGAAGTTGAAAACTATGACAATCAAGGAGGCCATAAAGGCGCCCTACAATTGTAGGGACGACTGGCGATACGGGCCTAAGGTTTTCAAAATGGGTAGAGGAAAGGTTATTAGTGAGAAAATTCGGTTACTGATAATTAAATTTTTTAATTCCGGGGAATCAAACTCAGAAATTGCAACTTTGTTAGACTTATCGCGGTACAGTGTGAGAAATATTGTTAGAAGATATAATGTAACTGGTTCAGTTAATATTAACCCACGATATATGAAAAAAAGTAATATCAGAAATGCCGACCGAAGAGCATTAAGAAGAATAATTGTGAAAAACAGGCGTGCCAATCATTTACAATTAAGTGCTCTGTGGAGTGACGCTGTTGGAAGGAGAATTTCGAGGTCCACAACTCATAGAGATGCCCACAAACGGGGATTTAGCACTTGCAAGGTAAGTTTTCTTATAAAAAAAGTGAAGTAAAAACCCTAAAGTTGCACATCTTGTTTATAGGTCAAAGAAAAGCCACTATTAACTCCACTGCAAAAGAAAAATCGGCTTACAGTATATTCAGATAAGAGATAGACCGGATGTAAACAAAAGGTTCGGGTGATTTTCACGCTAACGCCGCCGTCTCGACGTAAAACAGGAGCCCTCATTGGTCAATTCGCAATTAAATGCCTATGCCGAGCGGCAGAGCAGTCGTATCAAGGCAGAGTCACATTCAGGTTCAGACGTGTTACGTATGTCGTGTGCATCATTGCAATTTGATATTTCTTTGGACGTTTTCGTTTGTTATCTTATTAAGTTGTTGAGTTTGTCGTTGTTATTGTTATACCTTGTTATTGATTGTTATTGTTATCAACTGCTTGCGCAAAATGCCCAGTAGTACAGATACTGCCGATGAAGTTGTAAACTCCTGTAGTCCACCTAGGAAACGCTCTAAAAAAAGACACCTGAGTGCAGAAATGAAAGAGGTCATTTTGAATATATATAAGATCGAGCGCGAGGAGAACGAGGCATCAACCATCAAAGAAATTGTTGTGAAGGTTTCTCACAAAGTTGGGGTGTGTCGCGCATCAGTGTTTAATGTGTTAAGACAATACAAAAAAAATCACACCTTTTCTGAGCCAATGACCAGTAAACATCGCAAAAGTATTGTTAAATCATTGGATGAAGCTGGTAAGCATGCGATTAGGAGGAAAGTGCATGAATTCTTCTTTAGGAATGAAATACCTACTATAGATAAAGTACTGCAGGAGGTAAATGGAGATACAACGTTGCCAAATTTCAAACGATCAACTTTCCATGCGTTACTGAAGCATTTAAATTTCAAATGGAAAAAACGGGGTCGTAATAGTTTACTACTGGATAGAGAAGAAATTGTGCTATAGAGGAGGAATCAAAACAGGAAGATTTATTACCTTGATGAAACGTGGGTAAACGCAGGACACACTACAAGTAAAGTATGGGTTGATGATTCTGTAACTTCATCCAGGAGGGCCTTTCTAGATGGACTGTCCACCGGATTAAAAAATCCAGCAGGTAAATACGAGTAATAGACAACAATCGGATGTTTTTCAAACCTTGGGAACAAGGTTCTAAACATTAATTCCAGGGGGCAGATAAAACATATTACAAGTAACAAAACTTTTATAACTTTCGATAAAATGCGTGGATGTTTCATTGTCATTTTCATTTGTTAGAACTTTTTTAAGCCATGTTTTTATGTGTTTTCGATATTCCAATAATTTTTTAATATAATCTTAAAATATGTCGAATATTATAAACTTAATAAAGTTACTAAGTTTTATATTGTGTACCGTTCCTAATATTTCTAATCATTTTAATTCATACTTTAAGCTTTATAAAGTTATAATTTGTTAATATTAATATTTGCGCGTATTTCAGGTTCCTGATCATTCATTTTTTAAAGGTTTATAACTTTAAATTAAATTGTGAAGCGCTGAGTAATCATACGACGTTCAATATTCTTTCTTTCAATATGACTAAATAATCCCAATTATAGCAATCTGATACTCATGTCTCAATGTTTTTTCGCTGAATGTGATGAAAACATTTGAAAAAGGTTCGCTTATTGAAATAAATCTACACCAGTTAGTACTTCGATTTCCAGGTAAAGGGAAAAGGCTCATTATCTGCCATATTGGCAGTGAGGATGGATTTGTTGTTGACGGTCAGTGGTGCTTTGAGTCTAAGAAAACTGAAGATTACCACGAGGAAATGAATGGCGAATCGTTTGAACAGTGGTTTTCAAAAATTTTACCGAACTTAGAGGAAAACGCAGTAATTGTGTTGGATAATGCGCCTTATCATTCTCGAAGAATGGAGAAGGTCCCAACAACGGCTTCAAGGAAAGTTGATGTTCAAAATTGGCTCCGCTCGAAAAATATCAACTTTGAAGAAGCAATGCTGAAAGTACAATTATTAAGAATTGTCAAGGATCACAAGGCGGAATATAAAAAATACGCCATTGACGAAATGGCAGCAAGTCAAAATAAAACTGTGCTCCGTTTACCTCCATACCATTGCGAGCTCAATCCCATTGAGCTCATATGGGCAGAGGTTAAAAATTATATAGCTAAGCACAATACAACTTTTAAATTTTGTGACCTCAAAGGACTTTTCAAAGAAGCACTAGAATTAATAACAGCGCAAAAATGGGAAAACTGTATTAAGCACGTGAAAGACAAAGTTGAAAAGAGAATGTGGGAACTGGACAATATTTTAGAGGAACAAGTCGAGCCATTCATTATTGACGTTGGTGCTTCAGGCAGTAGCGATGATGAAAGCTCATCAAGCTCATCTTTCCAATAAAAGATGTCGTTCATCAAATTCGGTAAGTTATAAGTAATTATAAAGCTACTGTATTTTTTAATTAATTATTGACATTTTTGAACCCATTTTGGCAAAACCTATTCAAGAATCTACTTTCTGACAATGTTCAACCATGCACATTTTTTTACGTTTTGAACGTTTTAATTTGGTTACATATTTACCTAGAAATCGAAAAATATACTAATCAATATTCTAAAAGCAATTTTAAGAGATATACGATTATTTTTAATTTAGGCTAATTTAAACGCCATTTTGAGATTATATTCGACTGTATTTCACCAAACATCAGGCGGCATCCGAAGCTGGAAATCGAAGCGAAAATTTTGAAACCCTTATGTATATTTACATCATTATATATTTCTTACCCCACCCCCACATGATCCTATATCCATCACCAATCGTATACACATCGAATTGTGCTAATTTACTACAAAGTTACGCAAAGCAGCATCTACTATCTAAAATATGTACTGCGTGACTCTTAATACGTCGCTGCCGAATGTTACAGCGTTCCATGATCACGTGGTCTTGTTTATGTCCGGTCTATCTCTTATCTGAATATACTGTAGATGGGCTAAAGAACATAGACAATGGACACCTCAACAATAGTGTGCAATACAATGAAGTGATGAGGCCCGATTCGAAGTTTGTGTTAGTGACAGTCGCAGTAGAGGCAAAAAAATGAAGCATTCCATGTTGACTGTCTGAAGAGAAAAGTGAAATTTCCAGCATCCATTATGGTCTGGGGCAGTATGTCATCAAATGGAGTAGGAAAACTTCATTCTATTGATGGAAATGTGGATACAAACAAATATTTGGCAATTTTAGAAGAATCTCTTTTACCAGTGATGGAAGAATGTTTGACATCCGGCCAAGATTTTGTGTTTCAGCAAGATGGTGCAGCGTGCCATCCCTCAAAACCACTTTTCAAATGGGTTTCTAGCAGTCCAGATCTGTCACCTATTGAAACTTTGTGGCACGAGATGAAAAAGGTTCTACGACAACATCCTGCTCGTACAATCACCGAACTGAGACCAAAGCTTCAAGAAATATGGGATTGTTTTACACCAAATTTTTGCGAAAACTTGGTTAACACTATGCCCCAAAGAATTTCAGCCGTAATAAAAAATAAAGGTGATGTTACCCAATGGTACAATTGTTGCTTTGTTAACTTCGCGCATTTATTCGCACATTGTTTATTTGTTCAGATGTTCTATTAGTTATAGGTCTAAGTGATTTCAAATATGTATTTTTTACGACTAGAGTGTATCTAAACTGTTTTTGAAAAAATAAATCGTTTTACAAGTAAATAGTTTCGTCATGTTTAGTTTATAAAGGCATATTTTGGTACAAATCATGAAGTGGGCCAACTGAAGTGGGAAGGGGCTCGTATAACAAGGATTTTCTGTGTATTTTTCTTCCCCATTGCAAAATTTAAGCTAATTTTGATAACTAGTTTCATATTTATAAAGTGAATTTTACGGAAAAATGAATAAATTAAAATCAGAGTATCGCAGTGTCATACAATTTCCGAGAAAAGAGTACCATCATCCGAAAACAATTCTTGAGAAAATGGTCGCCTATGGGGATGCTGTACCATCATTTTTTGCAATGAAATTTTGGTCGCACAGTTTCGATTGGGAAGACACAAAACAGCAACAAATGATGAAATGACTCTAAAAGTTGAGGCCATGGTTCTCGAAGATCGTAAGCGAAGATCTATGGCATTGAATATAGTATAACCCAGCGTAATAACCATCTTGCCAGCCAGGTAGATTCCACGACTGTTGACACCTGAACAAAAGTTGCGCAGGTTGAAAATTTTATAAAGCCATTTGGAAACTTTGACCAAGGCTTCAGAATTCAAGCAGTGCGTTCCTAAAGAGTCTCACCACTCAAAAAAGCACGGGCGACACGCTCTGCTTATAAGCTGATGGCCACAGTTTTTTGAGACGTCAGGGGTCATGGGCATCTTTCTCAATGAATATATGCCAAAAGGGGCAAACAATAAATGCGGACGTCTATGCGAACACGCTGGAAAATTTACGTGAAGCAATCAACCAGAAAAGACTCGATTTTTCAAATCAATAAGCGTTTCTGCTACATGACGTTGCGACCATGCAAAATTAGGCCAACGGTGCAGGAATGCAGCTTTTATTTCGTTGGATTACTAAAAAAAAAGTCTTCTAGAACGCCAATGGAATAGAAGCAGCCCTTGACGACTTTTTTGAGTGTCAAGAGGAAACATTTTTTAAGGGTATAAGTTTAGTCTCGCATCTTGACCATTTAACAATAACAATTTTCAATCGGCAGCATTTTCCATTGGGCAGGACCTTGGAAATTGTGGTTGGTTCCTTAGGGGTCAGTGGCTGAAAAAGGTTGTAATAGTATGACTGAGTGTTACCTGTTTGAGTCCCTCTCCATCTTTTGACCTCTGAGATTCCTTATCTAACAATCCATTTACATCATTTTGAAGTTCTTCCCATGAGTTGATAAGTTTCTCTATAGCCGAAGCTCCTCGAGCAAAGCTATATGCAGCCTGAAATTAAATATGTTGAATCAAAATCGACGAATTAGGTGGATTTATCTGATCCAGAATATTGACCCATCAGTCATATGTAGTATTTTTTTTTAATTATAAAAAACTCAATGCATGAATATAAAAAATATAAATCTTGACAAGGTCACCCTTAGTTCAGGAGTGTACTACTGCCCTTCAGAATTTAGCCCAATCTAACGAAGTAACCCTGCTTTGGGTCCCCGGACACAGCGAAGTGCCGGAAATCGATAAAGCTGATCGATCGGCTAAGCTGGGGGTCGAGCCTAAGCTGCGCTTAAGCAGGCGCCAGGTTAACACCGTCCTGAATGAACAGATTTATAATGACCTGGAAGAAACGTGGCGATAGAGAGATGACGCAGACAGGCCAAGAGGTCCGTAGCGAGCTCCGACAAACGTCGGATGCACAGGGGTAAAGAATCGCTCAAACTTTTGGTGGGGGTTCTCACCGGCCACTGAACGGCCAGTTATCCCTTTTCAGGGTAAAGAGAGATCTAACCTGATCCACGTGCTGTGAGAAGGACGAAACATCGTACCACTTTCTGGGCTGTTGCCCAGCATATTGAAGTCGCTAAGACATTCGGGGCTATAGAGTTGTTGCTGAAGTTGCTTACTCGGCGGAATCGTCAGACATCTTCACCTAACTACTACTGAATGAACTTTAGCTGAAATTGCACAATGCCATCCAAAGATGTCATCTTTCATCAACTGGTTACACTGCCTTCACTTTGGTGAGAACATTTCTATTTGAATATATGTGACGGGTCGGGATGCTCTCAGTCAGAATAGTTCTTGACACAAATAATTTACTTATTTATTTATTTAGGGTTTCCCATTACATAAAAAACATGTTTATGTGACAGATTACAATATCTTTATATAAATTACTAAACTAAACAAGAATTAAAGATTCTTGAGATACCCAACCTTCTTATTTTTAAAATCTAACAAACTAAAGTGAAACAGAAACATTTTTCATGCGAGTTTTATGTGCCTGATACGAGGGATGTCTTTTAAGTTTTGCATATGGAAATAAAACAACACGGTAGATAGTTTTATATGATTTTATTGTTTTTCGAAGTATTCTCCACGAAGATTAATACACATCTGCATGCGCTCGAACCAATTTTCGAAGCACTTATTCCAGTCGTTTGCTGGCAGATCCAAAACGGCATTTTTTAATGCGTCCACTGCTTCTTATGCTGACTGGAACCTTTGACCACGCAGTCTGTTTTTAATTTTCGGGAAAGTAAAGAAATCGTTATGACATAGATCGGGACTATATGAAGGATGGTCCAATAATTCCACGTTTTCTTCTGTTAAATACTGCCTTGTTTTTTGGTCTGTGTACGAGCTTGCATTGTCTTGGTGTAGGATGATTCTTCTTCCGAGGTTGATTTTTCGAAGCTCGGTGATGACTTTTGGCAAACAAATGGTGGTATACCAATCCGCAGTAACAGTTCTTTGCTTATTAAGAGGAATTGTTGCAATATGACCCGCTTTTGACACAAATGTCGCGACCATCTTTTTCGAAACACTTCGAGAACGGACGACTTTTGTTGGCTTTTCTTCACCTTGGAACACCCAAACAGCCGACTGTCGTTTATTTTCTGGTTCATAACAGTAAATCCACGATTCATCACCACTAAAAATGCTGTACACATTTTTTGAGTTTCCGGAATTGAAACAGTCAAGCGTTTTTTGACACGAATTAACCCCGGCTGCTTTCTGCTCTTTAGTCAACAGGTGGGGTATCCAACGAGAAACTAATTTTCTTACTCCTAATTCTTCATGTAAAATTTTTTGAATTGAGGTCTTTGAGATCTTCAAGGATGCCTCAATCTCGCGATATGTCACATGTCTATCTTCAATGATGAGTTTGCGCACAGCATCAACGTTTTCCTGGGCGACTGCCGTTTTCTGGTGCATCCACCCTGGGATCGTCGCTAAGACTCACCCGTCCACGTTTGAATTCTTGATACCAACGGGAAATTTAGACTGATGTGGCGCTTCGTTGCCGAAAACAGACAGTAACTCAGCAAGGCATTCTTGTTGCGATAATTGTCACCAATTAAATTTGGCGACCATACCACTGTGTTGTACTCCAAAATACTCCAAAGAGCAGTATAGAATTCAAAAAACTTCTACAAAGAGATGTTTGGTGGACGTAAAAATGTATCCCAATATTTTATATGATTTAGAAGTAATTTCTCTAATGAGTGTTTTAAAACTTAATTTTGTATCAAAACTTATACCTAAATCCCTAACTGTATCAGTTAGTCATAAAGGCACGTTTTTCAACTTTATATTCATACATGAGATAATTTGAACTACGGCTGAAGGTTATCTGGTAGCATTTATTCAAACTAATGTTGACCTTATTAGTTCTACACCAACAAGTAAGATTTATGAAATCTCTTTGTCGGATTTTCGCTTCGTTCATATCTCACTGTTCTGGATAATTTAAAATCATCTGCAAAAATCAAATAACTTCTATTTAATACAGATTCTGTCAGATCGTTAACAAATGCCATAAATAAAAGCAGACCAATATGAAAGCCTTGGGGTTCACCTGAAAAGACATTGCTAGGGTTAGATAATGAACCAGCATATCTGACACACTGTGTTCGTCCTGTCAGGTAGCTTCTAAACCAGAATAGTTCACTGTTTGACACTCCTAATCTTTCTAATTTAGCCAAAAGCAGATCGTAATTTACCCTGTCGAAAGCTTTATTTATATTATTACCTTAGCTTCTTCAGATGACAGCACATTAACATCTCCTTTCTTCTGTACCACTTTGATGATAGCATATAACAGTATAACATTCTGTAGTATCGTCTTATATGTCTGTGATTGTTTATTTTCCAACATTCTGCCATTCATAAAGTTGACAGGTCTGATATTTGGCGGCGGGACAGGAATTACAGTGAAGTAAAAGACGTCGGTTGGATGTTCTGCTCTTATATCTTGAAGCACAGGCAGCAAGTGCTCTAAGAATGATTTTTCAGATACCCAGATTTTCCTCATATGTTCTCTAGAACATGAGGAATGTTCCTAAATATTGCTACTAGCTAGATATAAACAGTGATGTACAATTTTACTGCACAAAGTAACTCGATTACAAAATAAAAGATACTTTTAAAATAAGTGTTTTAGATACCAGATACAAAATGCCTGCCTTTGTAATACTTTTTAAAGCTAAAATACTTTTGTAAGAATACAACATTTTATTGAATATAAGTTTGTATTATTACCAAAAAGCAGTAACCCTCATACTTCTTGACTTCACTAAAGCATTTGACACAAGCATTCACTTCTTGTGTCTAAAGGCAGTTATTATGAATTTTCTGGAAAACCTCTTTCGTTTATCCAAACCTACCCTGAAAATCGGTTTCAAAAAGTTCGTCGAAATCAACTCTACCGTACACAAAATTTGTTCTTGTGTACCACAGGGATTTGTCTTAGGACCCCTGTTATTTTCATTACATATCTCAGATTTAAAAACAGATGTAAAATAATGCAGCATACAATTTTTTGCCGACGATACTCAAAATTTTCTATTCATTTAGGAGTAATGACTTGGAAACAGCGAATAATAACATTAATCAAGATGTTGCCCAAATTGAAAAGTTTAGTAGTAGTCATAATCTACGTGTGAACCCTTTAAAGACAAATATGTTAGTATACTCAAATGAACAGGAAATGCTTTAAAAAATGGCAAACATAAATGTAAAAGGTAATAAAATAGTTCCTGTGGATCATTCTAAGAACCTAGGTATTATAATAGATGATGATTTAAAATTTGTTGAACATGTAAACCATCTATATCGAAGGCACTAATGATCTCAACTGGATGAAAATTGATAAAATGTATAAATACTAGCTCCTAAGTCTGACTCATAGGGTTCTTTATTAAGAAACACTGTCATATTTAGTAGAGGAAATATGCATGTCATTCATATTAGATATTGAGAGACTTTTTTAATCCCACACCACAGCACATCTCTTTTTCAGAACACATATATTTACAATGCAATCAAATTATATACAGTGGACCTCCGGTAATCCGACAAACATTATGTAGGGCTGTGTCGGACTATCGAATTTGTCGGATTATAGAGCACTGCCTAAGACACCCTATAGTCCGGAATTTTTTACAAAAGAGTACCTTCTAATCCGACAAATTACATATCCAATGGTAAGATTATATATGTTACGTATATGTATGTACTTTGAAGTTCAAATCATACATAGTTTATGTATGTCGAATTTAGTAAATTAAATAACAATAGAGAGCTTACGTTTTATTATAAAATTAAGCATAAATGCACATACATACTATATGTACCAAAATAATCAAGAATTATTAATCAAAATCATTAATGAATTTATCAAATTATGAAGCTTCAACTCAATTTTTTTTTGTTTAAGGTTGTTATAACGCGAGATCAGAGCTTTGTCCCTCAGTCTTCTCAAAAGTAAAAGTTCGTTGTAGGATGTACCATTCTCTTCAGCCCATTGTAAACCTAGCTCAAAGGCGTTAATTGCGTCTTGTGCTGTGACTTGTGGAGCAGTTGCAATCACGTCGTCGTTATTTTCCTGATTGTTTGTTGTATAATTAGAAACCTCATTTATAATCTCTTCGTCAGACATTTCATGAAATACATTTTCCTCTTTATCCATTCCACGGCACCGGATTTCCAAATCTTCCGGACTTATCCTGTGTTTCAGTAGCGACTTGTTCTATAACTTCCGAAGTAACACTGATTTGTGGAACGTTGCTAGGAGTGGAGACTATATCTGGCCATAACTTTTTCTAAGACGATTTAATATTTGATGACGGTAACGCATTCCACGACTGACAAACAGCAAAAACCAAGTCTTTCATATTAAATTCTTTTAAAGTTTTTTCTATTGGTTGGTCTTTTGATACGGCTCTCAGAAGTAGGTTTTTCTTATAGTCTTGCTTGACAAACTGAATGATATTCTGGCCCATTGGTTGAATCAGTGCAGTGCAATTTGGCGGAAGAAACATCGCAGTGATGCATTTATCCTCAGTTGTTAGTTCTTCTTCAGACGGATGACCGGGAGCGTTATCAAGAAGCAACAACGCTTTTTGAGTAAAATTATGATTCTTTTAACCATCTTCTAACTTCCGGTACGAAGCATTCATCAAATCACTTTTTGAAAAGGTCGTTTTTCATCCATGCACTTTTTTGTCCGTAATAGTGTACAGGTAAATCAATGTTTTTGAATGCCCGTGGTTTATTAGATTTCCCAATGACCCTCATCTTAAGCGCGTGTGTGCCCGCGGCGTAAGCACATGGTAGTATGGTTACACGCTCTTTACTTACTTTTCGTCCATGTACGGATTTTTCGTTACAAGAAACGAAAGTTTTGTTAGGCATCACACGCCAAAAAAGCCCTGATTCGTCTGCATTGTACACCTGTGACGGGTCAAGATTTAAATCGTTCACCTTTTGCGAAAATCTTAATTTAAAGGGCTATATGAAGGTGGCATCATTAGAAAGTTTCTCTCCCGTAATAGTCATTAAACGTATGCCATGACGTCTTTTAAAACTTCTAGCCATCCTTTGCTGGCCACAAAATCATCTTTTTTTGTTATTTACTTATAAAAAAACTTATCTTTCATGGCCAGCATGGGTCCTGAAATTGGTGCATGCCTATTTCTTTCCTGAAGAAACCACATGTACAAAGCTTCTTCCACTTCTGGATGTTTAGCTTTCTTGAGTGTGTATCTCTTGCCAGGCCCGTAGTCAGTAGTTGACACGAACTTCTTGATCTTCTCGTGGTTTCGTTTAATGTCATAAATTGTAGATCGGCATACGCCGTATTCATTTGCTAAACTAATGTAAGTTTCATTGCGACATTTTTCTTCAATTGCCAATGTTTTGTGCTTTCGCTTCTGAGTTTGTGATGACATTACTAGGTACTATACTTACTACACAATGAATAAATAGTAAACAATGAATGCACGCTAGTCCGTACCGCTATCACCAGTAATCAAATTCAAACTACGTAAAACAATGGTTAAGCGTCGAGCACGATAGCGCGTACAAGTTGTAACCTGTTCAAACCTGCGTGATCTACATTAGCGAAGATTGTCAAATACGTATGTTGTTGTAATACATATTCAAATACATGTCGGATTACAGGGGGCGCCGGATTAGACAGGGGCCGGATTATCGGGGGTCCACTGTATCCTCCAATATCGTCTAATTGTTTTATAGATTGATTAATTTTTCGTGTTTCAATCAGGATAAGTTTTTTACATATTTTTTCGATTTAACTATTACCAAAAGTATTTTAGCATTTAGTACTTACAAAATACCAAACAAAAGGTACCTAAATACAAGATATAAAATGAATTAAAAAAAATATTTTAGATACAACATGAAAATACATATTTTGTATCATGTATCTTAGATGCTTGTATTTTAAACAAGTCACACCTCTGAATATAAATATTCCCTCTAACAGACTACAGTGTATTCAAATCTCGTTTACGCCCCGTTAGAAAAACACCAGCGTGCAAGTTAAAACGTGTGCGCAAACTATTGGCCAGCAGAGCAAGAATGCCTGGACAGGCAGCAACAAGCGAATTTAAGCTGCGATCGTGCTCATATTTGTTTTGAGCGAAGTAAATCAGATTTGAGTATGATATAGTTTCATATACTTTCAGCCTGAGCCTAAATGCCAGGGCTCAGTGGCAGCTATGAGGAGCTTAAAATAACCTTGTTAATCCAATTTTTGAACTGCCTAAGGTTAGTAGAGTTTGCTATAATATGAAAATAATATATGATTGCCATTGATTAACATATGTTACAAGAAGATATCCAGTTCTATGATGTATTTGATCGTTCACATACAATATCCATTGTAGCAGCCATGCTTCCAGGTAGAACTGTTAAATCTGTTTGAAGTGGGTATTTCTTTTGAAGAAAACTATATATTCATGAATTTGACTATGGCATATTCTCCAAATTTCTCAACTACAGAAAGTAGGTAGCAATGCTGACCCCCAAAGTTAGGTGGTCAACTGTATTGGACATCTTGGATGAGTATGTTAATCTTCGGTTTATAATTTACCTAGATTCCTCTGGATTCACGTATTTTGATTCCACACCTTTTATTGTAATTGTTTTATCAGCACCCCTAAAACATATTAAAAATCAACTTACTAACAAATAAAATCAAAAATTGACACTCACTTGTCTAACTTTCTTGCAGAAAGTATAATCTTGTTCTTCAAAGCTTGAATTCTATCAATGTGTCGCTTACAAAACATGCATGTTTTTCTAGCTTTAACATCCCTCAAAGTTTTGTAGATGAACTGATTTCGCAAAGTTTCAACATTTTGAGTAGATAGTATGTTTCCTTTTAAAACACCTAGAATATGAAGAATCTATAAAAGAATGTCAGACAGGAAAGTCACAGATGGCCTTTGGTTGCATAACTATTCCAAGCAATACATTGTATGATAGTTGTTATCATTATTTTTGTGAATTTTATCAGAACCAAAATTAGAGATACGGGTCCTAAGATGCTCGCTTACCACGATACAGGGTGATAAAGTTATGATTTTGAAATATATATATACACTTCTCGGAGTAGATTAAGATAAGATATACTCGTAGACGTAAAGTTTTGTATAGATACTAAGAACCTTTACCAGCCGGCTTGAGTTCAATGCGTACGAGAGAGAAGTGTGTATAGACACATATGTTAGAAAGAGACAGAAGCCGGCTGGATAGCGAAGCTCATTACCGCGTTGCCTAGCAAGGCTAACGGGGCAATGTGTCACGCTGCCAATATGTTACTCCAATTCATTGAATTAAGATGGATGTTGAACATATGCGTTAGTTTATTTTCTAGGTCCAAATAATGGTTTTATTCTGAGCGTACACATTTATTAATTGTCAATTGTGTCGAGTCTGCTTAGGATCCAATACGGTTCGGCCCTAACAGCGCTCCATTTCAGGTCGAAATGAAAGGTCAAGATCGCCACAAACATCATTGGTTCGCTTGGCAACACCGCATCTCGTACATTCCAAGGCAAGGATTCCACCTCCATCATCATAGATGAGCGATTTTGGTCAGTACCCATATAGCGCTCATTGGCGAGTGTCGTAGTGCTTCGAAATGGTTTTCACATGCGAACACGCAGTGGTAATTTGTACTGCTACAGCGCGGTCGGAAAATGTAACAATAACTCAGGATATGTTGATTTTATCACCATCGGTGGAAATCAAAGATAATCATAAAATTAATTAAAACACTACACTAAAACAAAACATTAAATTGAATGTTTGAACAGACCTTCTTGCGTTTGACAGTAACCTAACCTATTGTAGGAGCCTGTGCGAACATTTTCTGGTGTAACATATTGGCAACGCGGCAGATTGCACGACCTTCTTCGACACAACGCTAGGGAATATACCAATGAAATTCGCTCTTCAGCAGGCTTCTATCTCTTTCTAACAAGTGTTGATACACACTTCTCGCGATTCTCTCTCGTACACATTGAACTTGATCCGTCAGACAAATTTGGATTTCCTTATGTATTACGAACACTAATGGCAGAAGAAAAAAGCACAATTTTTTTGAAAAATTTATTGTTTTTCTGATTTAAATATTTGATTTACATTAATCCTTCTCTTGAGAAATTTTTATCAAGCAATGCTTTTAGGAGAAAATTAGGTTTGAATATTTAAGGTGGAATCAGGGTTGATAAAAATTAATATTTTTTGTTTCTGGCAGATTTTTTTAATTTTTTTATATCATAAGTTTGACTCAATATTGGCTGTAAATGGTAGACTTGGACTTTATTAACAGATAGCCTTTAACAAACCTATTCACTGGACAACAAATTTTAGTTTTTTAATTGTATCCTGTGGGAAAAGTGCACTTCTTTGTTAATTTTGGGGTGCTGAATCCAAAAATGACAATGAAATAAAAAAATTAGTTGCGGTTTAGAAAAAAAACTTTTTATTTTTAAGGATATATTAAAAAAAGTAACAAGATTCATATACTTATAAGAATCACTATATGCGCTGTCTTTTTGCTGTTCTTTTATGGATCGTTTCTGGAGCATCTCTACCAAGAGTCCAACAGTAGTCTGCAAGCATGGAAGGATTCCACTTTCCCTGGTACCTTTTTTCCATTGTTGAAATATCGTGATGAAAACGTTCGCCGTGCTCATCACTTACGGCTCCGCAATTGTCAGGAAAAAAGTCCAGGTGTGAGTGTAGGAAATGTATCTTAAGAGACATATTACAGCCCATCTTTTGATACGATGACAGCATATTTTTGACAAGGGTTTTATAGTTGTCAGCTTTTCTATTTCCCAAGAAATTAGTGACCACCAGACGGAAATCATTCCAAGCAGTTTTTTCAATACCTGTTAAAGTGTTTTCAAACTGTGTATCTTTCAAAATATTTCGAATCTGTGGCCCAACAAAAATACCTTCTTTAACCTTTGCCTCACTTAGTCTTGGAAATTTCTGACGCAGGTATTGAAAAGCTGACCCATCTCTATCTAATGCCTTGACAAAGTTTTTCATTAGGCCCAACTTGATATGCAGTGGTGGTAATAAATTTTTTTTCGAATCTACTAATGGCATATGCTGTACATTTTTTTGACCTGGCTCTAGGAATTGACGAACAGGCCAGTTTTGTCTGGTGTAATGAAGTGCCTTTGCCCAAGTAAAAGTGCAACAACTTTCAAATCGCCACAAATATGCCATTGGTGCTCATCGTATTTTATGCATGTCAATAGGTACTTCAAATTGTCATATGATTCTTTCATGTGAACTGCATACCCTACAGGAAGAGATGGTAAAATATTTCCAATATGCAATAACACTGCCTTTAAACTCAACGTTGAACTGTCTATAAACAATCTCCATTCTTCTGGGTTATAGTTTATATTTAAAGCCGCCAGTAAGCCGTTAATGTTACTGCAGAAAACCAAGTTATTCTCCATATTGAAAAATGGTTCTAAGTCTTTGTGGCGTTTACGAAAAACACATACCGAAACATCGTCTCCTAACAAGTTCCACTGCTGCAGTCTTGATCCAAGTAACTCTGCCTTACATTTTGGAAGTTCTAAGTCTCTTACAAGATCATTTCTGACTTCTGACTTTCTGACTGTGTTATTTTGTGCGGTTGGTGGCATGACGTGCTCGGTATAAAATCAGGACCTCTTGACGTTGATGGCATATCTTCTTCCTGACGAATCACTCGATCGCCATGATCTGATTCGTTTTCTGATTCGCAAGTGTAGGATTCTGGGGGTTTTGGAATAGGATTTTCGTCACTGTGAGGCACAGGTCTCATCGCAGATGGTATGTTTGGGTAGTTAATAACCGATTTTTTTTTCTTGGACATACCTGTGGCTTGTCCAACACAAGGTACCATGCAAAAGTAACAATCATTAATATGATTTGTAGGCTCTCTCCAAACCATTGGGACAGCAAAGCGCATAGACCGTTTTTTGCCATTTAACCAGCTCCTCAGACTTGAAGCACACGTATTACAGCAGATGTGGGGTGCCCACTGTTTGTCTTGATCACCTAGTTTACAACCGAAATAAAGCTGCTATGCCTTTGTTATTAGTGGAGTAATAGACCGTCTCCGAGACGCAAAAGTCACATCACCACACACGTAACAAAACTGATCTGGATTGTTTACACACTTTCGAGACATCTTGCATGAACGCTGTCAGCCAACTGAGGAAAAAATGGCTAATATAAAACAATATAATGTACACGTATGTATAACGTAACACATTCATGCCGATTACATCATCTTTATTTGCCCAATATAAAAATGTAGCACGTGCATTCTTGTGAATTACAGTATATTAACACTGTCACAGCAGGAACACATATAATTACCGTATCTCTAAAACTTGAACTAATATTGAAAAAATAAGTTTCATTCCGGTTTTAGCACATTAAAAATAGTAATATTTTGTTGATTTTATTTAGGATATTTTTTGGCTGTTGATCAGTGTATTATTTGCATTAGCGACACTCTAGCTGACATGCTACAATGCGTTCACAGCAGAACAAAAGCCACCAATAAGGGTTATATCATTTGCAACATCAGTGGGTATTGATGTCATTAATAATTAAATTTAAAGCCAAGAGTGAGCCATTCAAACAAGTCACATTTGTAGAGGAAATATGTAAAACCATTGCAATACTGGAAATCACATTTGAGCAGCTCTGGCTTCCTCTGCATCTATAGTAAAGATTTTTTCCACATTTGGTCTGATACAATCTAAATAGACTGAGAAAAGAGAAGGCAGCGAAACTGGGGTCCCTTTTAAATATTATAATAAACAGTTGTTGATTGACTTTCTTATTAATTTATGGTTTGTTATACTAACAGTGTACAATTAATAAGTGAAAACTGTACATTTGAATAATTATTTTTTTTTATGTAGCTGATTTGATTATAATTACTACTAATTACTAAGTACTGATCTTTCATGAAAAAAATCAAGTTTGATTTAAATACTTATTAAAAAAATCACTGGGGTGAAATCTGTATATTCTACTTTAAAAATATGGTGAAGCTAATGAACCTTGACATTGGAAGCCATATGTAGTGTACGAGCCCCTTCCCACTTCAGTTGGCCCACTTCAAGATTTGTACCAAAATATGCCTTTATTTACTTCTAAAACAATCTATTTTCTCAAAAACATTTTAGATACACTCTAGTCGTAAAAAATACATATTTGAAATCACTTATACCTATCACTAATAGAACATCTAAACAAATAAAGAATGTGCAAATAAATGCGCGAAGTTAACAAAGAAACAATTGAAAGATTACCATTGGGTAACATCATCTTTATTTTTTATTATGGCTGTAATTCTTTGGGGCATAGTGTTAATCAAGTTTTGGCAAAAACTTGGTGTAAAACAATCCCATATTTCTTGAAGCTTTTGTCTTGTGCCACAAAGTTTCAATAGGTGACAGATCTGGACTGCTAGAAACCCATTTCAAAAGTGGTACACTATTTTCTTCCATGCATTTTATAGCCTTTTTTGAGGGATGGCACGCTGCACCATCTTGCTGAAACACAAAATCTTGGCCGGATGTCAAACATTCTTCCATCACTGGTGAAAGAGATTCTTCTAAAATTGCCAAATATTTGTTTGTATCCACATTTCCATCAATAGAATGAAGTTTTCCTACTCCATTTGATGACATACTGCCCCAGACCATAATGGATGCTGGAAATTTCACTTTTCTCTCCAGACAGTCAACATGGAATGCTTAATTTTTTTGCGAATAACTCTACTGTGACTGTCACTAACACAAACTTCGAATCGGGCCTCATCACTCCATTGTATTGCACAGTATTGTTGAGGTGTCCATTGTCTATGTTCTTTAGCCCATCTAAGCTGATTTTTCTCTTGCAGTGGAGTTAATAGTGGCTTTTCTTTGGCCTATAAACAAGATGTGCAACTTTAGGGTTTTTACTTCACTTTTTTTTATAAGAAAACTTACCTTGCAAGTGCTAAATCCCCGTTTGTGGGCATCTCTATGAGTTGTGGACCTCGAAAATTCTCCTTCCAACAGCGTCACTCCATAGAGCACTTAATTGTAAATAATTGGCACGCCTGTTTTTTCACGATTATTCTTCTTAATGCTCTTTGGTCAGCATTTGTGATATTAAATTTTTTCACATATCATCGCTTAATATTAACTGGACCAGTTACGTTATATCTTCTAACAATATTTATCACACTGTACCGCGATAAGTCTAACAAAGTTGCAATTTCTGAGTTTGATATCCCAGAATTAAAAAATTTATTTATCAGTAACCGAATTTTCTCACTAATAACCTTTCCTCTACACATTTTGAAAACCTTAACTACCCAAAACTATTTTAAACGTATTCTGACAGCTGCGATTAATAAAAACAATTGTCATGGCTTTTATTTTTCACAGCCACCTATGCATTATAGACTTATTTTGCATTGAAATGAAAATAGGTTGATATAGTGGATACCAAATAAAACCCGATGCACGTCATCGATCTGGAGCTGTGCGCTGTTGCCAGAATTGATATGAGCTCTTTACACCGACTGTTAAGTTGTTTTGGCATTTTGGATACTTTATACCACTTCACAGTAACTTTTGTTCTGAGAAGAACAACTTTTAATTGGCAAGGCAACGATTCAAAGCTCAAATAGCGCAAAACTCACAAACTAAACAATAAAGAACTAATAGTACGACAAAAGGACAATGGCAACTGATGTCAACAAATGAGAAGTGGCAACCTCACATTTCTCTGCACGGCACTACCAACCGAATCGAGACGGGGAAATTTAAACTTCAAGTAGAAATGTCACATTGAATGTAGTCAACTGTTGGTAACCATGATTTTTATGAATGACATCACCTATGACGTGCATCGGATTTTATTTGGTATCCACTATATGCTGTAATTGCAACATGTGTTATTTTTATGCTGCAAATTTGATTAGGGAGTGATAAAGTTGGTGTTTTCTACTATATATTATCAAAATATTCAATGTTAATATTTTAAACCTATGACACCCTGCTACATTTTTATTTGTGTTTGATAAGAAAAAAACTAAGATTTCAATAGTTGGGCCAACTGAAGTCGGAAGGGGCTCATATTAGAAGAGTAATCTTATCTCACCATAGTGCAATTCGAACAAAATTCATGTTTTGCTCTTATTAAGTCTCCCCAATAGAATAGAAATTTACAACACACTGAATTTTGGTAATGGGACATTCTATGAACAATATTTGTGATTTTTTTTGTATGTCCTGTAAGGAGTATTATTATTTTATCATAATGTCAGTAAAGTGAATAAACTCAAATAAATTAATTTACACTGATCACTGATTTTTTTATAGCAATACAATGATGTCTTACCAATCATTTCATCAGCTAATTTTTCATACTTCAACACAGGTTGTATACTTTCCTCAGGAATTTTCTCATAAGACTGATGAGTAGAAATTAATTCCATCATCAATTGTTCAGCTTCCATAGAGTCTGTCAACAAGCCACAATTTAGCAGCTTGAGCTGAATTACCAAAATTCTCTTAATATGTATTGGAATTTGGATATGGTGACAATGTAAACAAGATATTTTCATGAGCGTTCCAATGATCTTGTGAAACAATGGATTAACCACTGGTAAGGGCAATTCAATATACCCAAAATGACCAGGACAGTTTGCGATGGTTTTAGCACAAGTGCCGCAAGCATCTGCGTCATCAGAAAGGGGCCCCAACCTTCTGTCGTACAAACCACCTGGTATAGGGTGCCCCAAGGCATCGAGAGTTAACGGTGTTACTATCTGACAGACACTCATCCGTTTGATTTCCTCGCTGGTGAACAAGGAAAACTGGACGTTTTCTTGTCGTAAGTGGATGTTCATTTTGTTTTTTTTTTTATTATTCAAATTTGTTATGAAGCCGTTGAAGAATCACATAGGTATAGGTTACGGTTACGAAAAACATGTGCTTGACATGTGACAACTGGACTAAGTGTAGTGATGGGAGTAGAGATGATCGATATATCGGTACCGGCGACTTTTCCCGGTGACTTGAATGGTCGCCGTTAGTCCCGGCGACCTGATTCTCCATGCAACCCAGATCGCTGTTTAGAAGTATCGGTATCGGTAACCACTGATCAAAAGCTGTAACGCTGTTTCGGTCGCGGTCGCTGCCAGGTCGCTACAGCGTAGCCTAACCTATTTTGTTAGTTTTTATTGTTATTGTTGTGAGTTCCTGTTTCATAGAAAAATGTTTCGTTTATTAAGCAATGTTTAACATATAAAAGAAGCATTTTTATACTACATTTGATATGTTTTAAAAGTTTTATTTTGACTGGTAAAATAGTATTTTGTTTTACTTTTTAAGATTCATAGAAAGATATTTTATTTATTTTTATGATTTTGTGTTTTGTGCTCAATATTGTTAAAAATAAAAATCTTAAATATAGTTTAATTCAAATTTTCAGGAATCTGAACATCTACACCTCGTTAATATCAATGGATAACCGCCGCCAAATATCGAGTAATTTAATCAGCGCCAGGGAGTCGCTGGCTGCTAGCAGCGGCCATAGATAAGCAGTGACCTAATGAGCTGCTAAATCTACCGGCGACTTTAAGGTCGCTGTCACCGGTATCCCGGCGACTTGCAAGTCGCTGCTAAGATCATCTCTAGATGGGAATTTCGCGTTTGACCATTCTTTGGAAGAGGATGGTGATAGAAGATCGAACTATCCTATACAGGGTGTTTCAGTTTATTGTTGCATAACTTTAAGATTCGATAGAACTTTTAAAATTAATGCATAAAGTCTATATAAACATGGGTCGAAAAATGCGTGTCTTCCGAAATACAGGGTGTTTAAATTTACTTTCTAAAATAGTTTTTTTTAAATATTTCGAACAATATTTGATGTATAACAGTGAAAATTGGTATACAAGGGTCTTTTGGTACGACAAAACGAACCATGGGCATATTTTTACTGTAGCCGCTAGAGGGCGCTCTCTACTGTACCTGTAGTGTATTAAAATGACCGAAAAAAATTTCTTAGTGCAATTTTTTGCTTTTTGAATAAAAAAACTGATTCTTCGCACTTTTCAACATAAAAAAGCTCTCTTGTGAGTTTTCGTTATAGTTAGCCGTTTTTGAGATATTGGGATTTTTAAGGTTCGATGCATTTTTAATTATTTATGGGAAAATAATATTTTTTTTACATTTTCGATTTGGGCATTACAAGTAATTAAGATGATCGTTTAGATTGTATTTTTAAACACAGCAATAATTCCTAACTCCAAATAAACACAAAAAAAAACAGAATATTAATTAACGTGGTATAGCATTATTCAAATAAGGCCTTATTTCTCATCACATGCATTCCTAATTCTGTCTATTAGCATATCTCTTGTGGTTACGGGAGTCTGGTACACTTTTTCTTTTAGAAATCCCCACACAAAGAAATCTAATGGATTTAGGTCAGGGGATCGTGGATGCCAGGCGACTGGTCCTCCACGGCCGATTCATCTTTCTGGATAATTTTCGTCCAGCCAGTTTCTAACTATTCTCGAATAATGCGCTGGACAACCATCAAGCTGGAACCAGGCCAAATCTTCTTAAATCTAACATAACATCATCCCACATATTTGCATGTTCAGCCTTTAAAAATTCCAAGAAGGTCGCAGCATTTAACCTTGCAGGCAAAAGGTAGGGTCCAAATAGTCGATTACGGTAGATACCAATCCACACGTTCACACTAAATTCATGCTGAAAATTTATTTCCCGAACTGCATGCGGATTTTCAAGCGACCACCAAATATGTTGATTATGGAAATTTGCCACTCCACGTCTAGTGAAGCATGACTCATCGGTCCATGAAACGTTACTTAAAAACTCCCTATTATTATCAGTTCTATCAAGAATCCACTGACAAAATGTGATTCTTCGTTCTCCGTCCCCTGGCTGTAGTCCTTGCACAGGTTGCAAATGGTAAGGACGTCTATGGTCATTTCTAAGAACACGGTGAACATGGCTTGCTGAAATGCCCAAGGCACCAGAAACTCTCCTAACACTTGTGGTCGGATCTCTATCAAACTCACGCAGAATCATACGGGTAAATCTGCGCTGACGAACATTTATGTTTTGATCCCTTTGGAGTTTTCCAAAACCATTTTCAATTATTTGGAGATGCACTCTTACAAATACTGAGCGAGTTGGATGTCGTCTGTTTGGAAATCTTCGTGTGTATTCTCTGGCTGCTTCTGCTGCGTTTCCATTTACAAAGCCATATACAAAATGAATATCCGCTAACTCTTGATTGGAGAATAAAAATGGCAGTTTTATAAAACTGACAAAAAAACAGTTAAAAGAAACTAAATTTCGTGCATTCACAATTGCAAAAAAACGTTTCAGGTTTCAACAGACAACAAAACTGACTGTCAACTAATTGACGTTTAACCTTATGCTGCTTTCAATTTCAAAAATATTTGCATGCACAGCCTACTTTTTAACGTTATTTTATCATAAATAATTAAAAATTCATCGAACCTTAAAAATCGAAATATCTCAAAAACGGCTAACTATAACGAAAATTCACAAGAGAGCTTTTTTTATGTTGAAAAGTGCGAAGAATCAGTTTTTTTATTCAAAAAGCAAAAAATTGTACTAAGAAAAAAATTTCGGTCATTTTAATACACTACAGGTACAGTAGAGAGCGCCCTCTAGCGGCTACAGTAAAACTATGCCCATGGTTCGTTTTGTCGTACCAAAAAACCCTAGTATACCAATTTTCACTTTTATACATCAAATATTGTTCGAAATATTAAAAAAAAACTATTTTAGAAAGTAAATTTAAACACCCTGTATTTCGGAAGCCACGCATTTTTCGACCCATGTTTATATAGACTTTATGCATTAATTTTAAAAGTTCTATCGAATCTTAAAGTTATGCAACAATAAACTGAAACACCCTGTATATAAATGTGGCACTTCTCAAAGTTTGATGTCATGTATGACATTTGAGAGTAACTTGACAGATGGCTAAAATAAAAAAATGTGAAAACTAGATAAAATCAGTGTATATTTTGTGGATAAAATATAGTGCAACGGTCAATGCAATGATGAAAAAAAAATTTAATGCCTCAGTGAAATTACATATTATATTATAATATTGCATTTACCGCATATTTTTCCTTTAGGCTACGGTAGTTTTGGTGCTAGATTTAAGAAAACTAGCCTCTCAAAGCTGTACGATATTTCAACGAAAACGATAAAATGCCAACTCCAAACAATTTTAATGCCTTTCTTGGGGCCGTTATAATAGGGGCAATAAGTGCTGCTGGGATGTATTTGTTTGAACACTTTAGACAACAAAAAACAAAGCATAAGATGGCAAAAGAACTAGCTAGATTGGATCAAGAAGTCTCTCAAGTTAAGAGAGAAGTACAACAGTTAATGGTTCAGAAAAATGAAAAGTAAGTTTTTTTCTCGTACTGGAGCCTCTTGAATTTAATACCCATGTAACAATCCACATAGGATAAAAATTAAACATTAATGGTGTTTGCTACTTTAATTACTACCATTTATGTTTTGTTAATGAATAATCTATCAATTTTATGGTTATTATGTTTAACATTGCCATATTGCACAGTAGTGTTATTGTAAATGTTGACCTTCAAGTAGTTTGGTTCGAGATTTGCTAAATTTTATAGCTCATTTCAATACCCCAGAGACAATAAATTCAAAACAAAAAGTTATACAATGAATAGTAAATTTTTGTTTTGTTATTTATTTAGCATGATTGCTACAATTACATTGTTTTAAAAAACTACAACAAGTACATAATATACAGATATTCAGGAAAATAAAATATGCATCATTTTTCACTGCCCATGGAATATTCCTTTAATTTTCTTTTAAATATGTTTAAATTACAAGTAGACATCATTATATACCTAGTTTATTAAATTCAAGTAATATTATTAAATATTATTTGCCAGTTATATTAGTATTGTAATTTTTTAAAGGAATACTTATATTTCCTCTTGTATAATAATTGTGGCAATGATTATTTAATTCTATGTAGTGTTCTAAATGTGGCAAAAAATGATTTTTTATTTTAAATATAAAAAGATTATTATTATTTTGCAGGACTTGTAATTTTGACAATATAGCTTCATTGGCAGTGAATAAGATAGTTGAACAATATAGTAAATGCAGTAGACTAATAATAATTGACTAAGACTATGAGAAGCCCTATAAAAGTAATTTTTTTTTGCAATTTTTGATATACCTAACGTATTCATAGTGATCTTCAAACTTTAGTTTACTGTCAATATGTATATATATATATATATATATATATATCCTTGAATTTCTTTGGACAAAGTATTGCAAAAGTACACTCTTATACCTTAAACTTGAGCTTTTGAAGATCTATGTCTTCATCGTCTGGAGCTGGAAACAATTATTGACAATAGCAACATTTAACAATTAGGAGGAAAAATAGTTACTAAGTCAGCAAGATTGTTGCTGAAATTGTTTTTAAACAACAATGAAGGGAACACAGTCTGAAACTAAACTGATGAGGTTTGATTAGGATGCAATTATTTTATTATTAAATGGCAAATGATTTTGAAAGGTTTTTTAACTTCAACGTTGATTGATTTTGGAAGAAATTTGGAAATTTGAAAACTATCAACCATTCAAAATTTATTCGAGATTTCATCTTTTTTTCCACCTATAACCTCCACATTATCCAACAGGTCAGCCAAGTTTTGGCCAAAGGGGCCCTGAAACAGGGGAGGGTATCATGAATCTTAAAAAACATTATTTCTACCCTGGGGCAATAAAAACTGTGTTCTTAGGCAAACTGGGAGGGTCATGTTTAAATTAGAAAATTGTTTTTTTATGACTCCTTATGCTTTGTTTCATATTTGATTTCAGGTCTCTCAAACCAAAAAGAAGTAGGAATGTGAGAAAGGCAAACTCTATTTTGTCTACTACAACTACTGTTACAGAAGACTATAATAGTGCCGTTTCTATAGACAGCTCAGATTTGGAGTTCTATGATGTTAGTGATGAAGAATTAGATGCACCCAATGCTAACTCAACAAATGGTTTTGCCATAAACAATTTGGATAATGTAAGCTTTTGCTTCTTAGTTATTTAAGTCATGATCTCCTAGTATTGGCCAAGAATAAATACAAAATCTGTATTCACATTTAATTTTATTATTTATATTTACTTTTCCACTTGGATGCTTTTCAAATACTGTAAATGTGTGAAAACATCTTATGAACTTTGACTCAAAAATTACTGATATGATGCTTGATTTTTCAAACTTTCTTGGTTAGTACAGGTTTTATATTTTGAACATATATGATTTTCTCCTTTTTTACAAAGTGTGATAAGGTAATATTTAGTTTGTTAGTATATTTTTGAGTATCAGATAAAATAAATGATTAAAATGTTTTTTTCAAGAATTTTGTATCAGATAATTTTTGTTCTATTATTCTAAATTAGTTCACTTTTAGATTTTGAAAGAAATTGACACAGAGTTGGATTCATACTCTGTGACACAACTAGAGAAATCATTACAGAGATTAGAAGATTTGTCGTTTGATTACCCTGAAAACACAGACATTTTGTGGAGACTAGGTAAGGCACACCACAAGATTTCTGAAAATAGTGATGATAAGGAGTTTGTTCAAGATCACATTTCAAAAGGTGAGATTCCTTTTAAATCCTACTGTTCAAAAATATGAACCATTACATATGTACTACATAAAATTGCACCTACAATTTTGTTTCAGTGATAAAAGATACTTCAGTGCTTTTTATATTATTTTGTTTTTTATATTTTTAATTATTGTTGTTATATCTGTACGTGTTTTACCTTTTTACTACTATTTACTTTTTCTATCTGCCTCTAACTTGTGAAAGCACTTATGTACAAATTATTACATATAATATCTCTATTTGCAAGCATGTTAGCTACCTAACAATGACTGTTCCAGGCATTGAGATCCTTAGCAAAGCCCTAAATCTGAAAGAAGATGACCCAGATGTTCACAAATGGTATGCAATTCTAGTAGGATCCAGAAGTGAGTTTGTTAGCCTACAAGAAAGAATTGATGATGGTCACAAATTCAAAAAACATGTAGATGCAGCTATTGCTTTAAGCCCAAATGATCCATCTTTGCATTATATGCTTGGCAGATTTGACTTTGAGGTAGCTGGACTTAAGTGGTAAGAAACAGTAGAATTGATTTGATAGATAGTAGACAGTGACTGATACAACATTTTTGTTGATGCCACTTTCAAAACTCTCAATTTTTTTATTAATTCAGGTATGAAAGGAAAGTGGCAGCAGCCCTATTCTCGGAACCTCCAAATGCAACATATGCAGACGCCTTATTGCATTTTATGCAGGCAGAACAATTGGCGAATTTCGAATTCAAAGAAAATAAGTTGATGATTGCAAAGTGTAAAATTGCAACTAGTGATTATAAGGAGGCTATGGAGTGGTTGACACAAGCTAGTAATTGCAAACAAGGTGATGGTTTGGTAAGTTGGTTGTCTTTTTTAATTTAGATTTTGCAGAAATCTCAGTCAATGTCTTTTATCAGATCCCTATATATGGGTGTGTCATAATAAAATACCAGTCTCTTGTATGTACTGTAATGGACAAAAGTATGCAGACAAAATAATATTTTTATTTTATTTAACTGGAACTATGAAGGCCTAAAATATATAGACAAATTCTTTTCAACATTAGTTTAGTACAGTTTCGTCTCAGAACAGGATTAGTTTGTGTTCATTAAGTATTGTGAATACTAAGATCATTGAGTTATACAAAGATGGTCAACGACAATTCGACATTGCAAAAAATTTGAAACTGAAGCGTAAAGCAGTTTGGGCTATAACCAATATATTGAACAAATATAAACAAAAAGGTATCTTGGAAGCCTCTAAGAGAAGTGGTCAGTCTAGAAAACTAAATGCTATAGTCAACGCCAAACAAAGTGGCGTGCACGTCATCAAGGTGGGTGTGTTGAAAAATTTACATTGTTGCCAAACTTTTTGTAAAATAATAAAATTTATTATTTACATATCTAGGTTTATAAGCAATATTAACCTCAAATGAGAACAAAAATAATAGTATAATAAAATTATAGATCTGTACTTGCATAATCATTAAGTATGACAATTATTGATCAGATGACACTATGAAACTACCATATTTAATTGATAGCTTAAAGGTACTGAATAAAAATCGAAATGGGGTCCTCCAAATTTTATGCATGGTATTTATTTTACAGAATTCATACAGAAAAATGCATTCTAAAATTAGGTAAGCTACTGGTGTAAGCTTTTTCTGTACAATAAAGTTAGTCGGAGTTTCTTTCTTCAGCGCTGTCTGAATCTTCATCACTCTCAAAGTTGATTATTAAAGGTTCGATGTCTGGTCGTTCTCTTTCATACCATTTAAAAATTTCTTGCTCAGTATGTCGAACACTATTTTTCCACATGTCTGGGGTAACCGTTTGTAGAGCCTCGTTCCACATATCCAAACAGTCTTTTTCACTGTTACCATCTCTACCAATATGTCTGTTATAGTAACCTTTTGCTATGCCCCAAATTAACTCAATAGGGTTAAATATACAATGGTAAGGAGGCAGACGAAGAACTTTGTGCCCATGTTGTTCCGCCAATTCATCAATCACGTATATTTTAGGTGGTTTGTTTCTAAAAAAGCAGTTATTTTAAGAAAAGGAATAAACAAAAGAAATATAAACTGTCGACCAAAATATATATAATTAAGAAGCATTATGTACCGAGCAACAATACTCAATAGCTCTGTTTTAAACATTGTGTTTAAAAATGGTATGTTTTGATTTGTCAACCAGTCTTGGATATTTTTTTTTGTCCATGCATTGTTGGGAACTTTGTTCAATATCATGCTGTGATAAGGGGCGTTATCCAGTATAATCATAGATGGACTCTCCAATTTTTCTAATAACTGATGTTGAAACCATTTCAAAAAATTGTCCTGGTTCATCTCTCCATGGTAATCGCTCAATTTTGTTTTCGAAGAAAATATCGCTTCACTACCCTCAATAAACCCATTTTCATTTCCTGCATGTAATATAATGTATCTAAAATATATTAGTTTTAAATTTTATAGTGCAAATTGTGTAAAAGTACATACCTTTTACCATCTGTTTTAATAGCTTTCACGCTTTTTTGGTTTCCATTTTGCCAAGAGCGACCTATGGTCCCATTTTGAAATATCCAAGTTTCATCGAGGAAGACAAACTGGTATAAGGCCTCAACCTTGGCTTGATTGTATTGCCTTAGAAATTCCACCCTTTTCAAAGCTATACTTGGTAGTTCCATGAGCCCTCGTCGCGGATTGTCCTTAAGCCACTTAAATCCAAGATCTCTAAGCAACCGCCTTAAAGATGTGGCACTACCATCAAATAATGCCCTATCTCTTAATCGAGACCATAAAGTTTGTATCGTAACTTGTTCTTCTGAAACCATGTGTAATATGACATTATAATTTAGTTAACAAATTAATGCAAATTTCTGATAAGTTATTATAATAAGATCTTACTTTTGTGATACATATTATAGAACACTTCTCGAATGGCACTTGTATCCAATGTCGCTGTGTTGGTTACACGTTTAATATAACTCCGCTTTTTCTTGGGCGATTCTAAATTTGCATCACTTTTCACACCCTCGGAAATACGACTAACTGTCCTTAAACTAATTTTTAAAGCAGCAGCAACACGCTACAAAAAATGAAATAAAATTTCACTATTATTAATATACATTACATATAATTATTAGTAACCTACCTCTTGAACAGCATTTAAAGGCAACAAAGGCCCGTTGTTGTCCCTTTCTTGCTCAAAGTAGTGCATTAACGAGGCCACGAGTTCCTTACACCGACTATTTAACTGTTTGGGCATCTTTATATACCAAAATTGCCTTTATCTACTCGTAAAATGAATAATTTTGTTTTGAAACAAACAGTTGTTGATTTACAGTATGCGGGGCCAAAGGATTTATAAAGATTTGAAATGCCACAAATTGATTCAGTGTCAAAATTAATACAAATGTCAGTTCCCAGTTTAAATAAGTTTCAAGGTGACAATGTGTCAATGCTGCGAAATCGGTTTAGTGCGTTTACATGTCGATAAGTGATTGGAGCGTTTGCAAAACATTTTATTTCGCATAATGCGTCTAAATTTATCAGAAAGCAACTTATGTGATATTTTAATGACAATGTTTATATGACTATTAACCATAATAAGAGAGTAATGACCATTTTACAATTTATATATCACATTAATATGAAACTGCAATAGAGCAATTGTTTGTGATAGAAACCTAGGCATTAGGTCGGGAAATTTTTATCGTGATGACGTGCACGCCACTTTGTTTGGCGTTGACTATAGATCAGTTAGATTCATAAAAGTAATTTCGTCCAAAGATCGGTTTAAAACCCCAAGACAAATAAAAGCCGAAATCGAGACAAAAGGAATTGTCAGTATTTTTACGAAAACTATAAGTAGAAGATTAAATGATTTGGAGTTATTTACACGTCGCCCGAGTAAGAAGCCGCTAATTTCAAGGAAAAACCGTAAGGACCGATTACAATTTGCACGGTTGAATCTTGATTGGAGCATCTGTGACTGAATCCAAGTTCAATATGTTTGGATCAGATGGTGTTCATTATGTTAGACGTCCTAGTGGACAAAGATTGAACTTCGAGTAAACTTTTCCCACTGTCAAACATGGTGGCGGGTCTGTTATGGTTTGGAGGTGCTTTTCGGGGTTTGGGATGGGGCCTTTACATAGAATAGATGGCATTATGGATAAGTTTGTATACACAGATATACTAAATCATGTCATGTTACCCTATATGGAAGACAATATGACCTTCAGATCAATCTTCCAGCAAGATAATGACCCGAAGCACACTTCAAATCTCACAAATAAATTCTTTCTGGATGATGTATTTTTTCATACCAGTTCTCAAATGGCCTACACAGTATCCCGATATAAACCCCATTGAAAATCTATGGGAATACTTAGATAGGCAAATACGAGATAAAAGTTGTTCAAACAAGGATGAACTTTTTGCCGCTTTAGAACAAAAGTGGAGACAGATTGATGAATCTTATATCAAGAAACTTCTACAATCTATGTCGAGACGATGCCAGGCGGTGATTGATAATAATGGTTATGCTACAAAATATTAACACAAACATGGTTGGTTTTCTATAATTCAATGAACTTTGCTTCTTTTTTCTATAATTGTTTTGCTTTTTCTATATATTTTTGTCTTGCATAGTTCCAGTTTTTTTCAATTCATTTTTTATTGAAGGGAGTCTAATGAATTTATTTATGTACAAGTGAGTATTACGCTATAACAAATTATGTATACAGGTTGGTGTATTAATAAAACCAGTTACAAAAGAAATACAGCACAATATTAATTTGTCTATATACTTTTGTCCATTACTGTATATAGATCACACAAAAATATGCTACACTACTCAAAAAAATTAAGGAAACAAGAAAAAATCAAAATTTTTCTGTGATTTTTGATAGGCTGTATTTTGGTGAAAAATGGTCGAATCTGGACTTTAAAAAGAGCATATCGAAGCTCCAAGATTATAGTTTTCAAGTATTTTAGCAAACAAAAATTTAGGAGCAACGGTTCTCATGCAATTCTAATAGCGCAAGAAAAATTATTTGCAAAATCTTTGCCTTCTACTTAGTCCTCGGGCTTGAAAAAATATTTTCCTGTTAGGCCATCATATGTATCGGATAGCCCGTTTATTCAGCCTCAATATTCTGTTTTCAAAATCTCGATACGATCATTTGGCGCGGAGATATCTGAACGAGCAACATTTTTGTATCAAACCATCGTGCAATCTGGTTGAAAATAGAAATATCATTTTTCTTCTCTTGTTGACACTATTGGATATCTGTAACACTTTCAATTTTGAAAAACAATTGGAAAAATGTTGAGGCTTATTTCAGTTTTCGGAAATATCCTTACATTCTCTGGGTGATCCCTGGTTACCGAGATATCAGTGGTTGATGACAAAAGGATCCGTTTTATCTTAATGTCAGATATCTCCGCGCCAAATATCGTATCGAGATTTTAAAAACAGGATATTCAGGCTCAATAAACGGGCAATCTAATCCATATGATGGCCTAACAGAAAAAAAATCAAGTCTGTGGACTAAAAAGAAGGCAAACATTTTGCAAAAAAAATGTCTTGCGTTATCTGTTAATATTGCATGAGAACCGTTACTCCTAACATTTTTCAGCTAAAAAGCCTAAAAGCTAGTCCCATAAAGCTTCAAAATGCTTATTTTAGAGTCGAGATTTTTCCCTGTCAAAAATCAATGCAAAATTTGGATTTTCTTGCTCCCTTAATTTTTTGAGTAGTGTATTTCCCATAAAAAATGTTCTACGTAGCTTCCCTACGGAGATACAGGCCCGTAAGGCTCTATTTTATTACTGTGCCGCGCAAATC